AATTAAATAGAGGGCCTATTTGAGATTCTAGAATAGTATAGTTATTTATTTCTTTTAAAACTACCAGAAATTATAAAGATATATCTAGTTTTTTATATAGAGAAGCTATAAAAAAACTCCTAGAATTCTTTATTAGGTTAAATAAACCCGGAACTACTTCTATTAATACTAGAGAATAGTAAATAGGTTATTATAATTAAGCTAGTAAAAAATAGGCTAAAATATAGAATTTAGTAGATTAGTTAGGATAAAGATCTAATATAATATCTAGCTTTAGTACTAAGTAATAGCTCTCTGGTTTTATAAAGTTTCTATAATAATAATATTAATATACTAGAACTTTTATAAAACCTATAATATTAGCTAGACTATATAAAAAATAATACTTATCTAGAACTATATAAAAATAATAATAAATTCTCCTAAATTATATAATAAAAGTACTAGTCTTTTATATATAATATTTATATCCGAGATATTAGTTTTATTTTAGGAAAAAGTATAATATAAAATTAGATAAATTAATAGCTTATATAAAGCTCGGGAATAAGCTTATTATAAAAGAAGAAGTAATATTATAATTTCTAGATACCTGATATTTGAGATATCTTACTAGATACTAGATACTTTCTAGATATATATAATATAGTTGTTTTATTAGAGAAATATACTTGAAATATACTAGAAATATTTAGAAAACTAAGCTTTTTCGGAACTAGTATACTATAGGATATATATATTCCCTTATAGCCTTTTATATTCTAGTTTTCTTTTTCTTAGCTTTGAATTATTTTTATAAGGAATCTTTTATTTTGCTTTTTAAGCCCTAAATACTATATCTATAATATTTATAATATAGTATTTTAAAATAAGAAAAAGTATTCGAAATATTATATTATAAGTATATATTTTCCGGTAAAAGTAATAAAATAATTAATAAGATTATTAAAATAAATCTCTGGCTTATTTATTTTAGTTAAGCTAAATAAAAATAAAGTCTTTAAAAATATAATATGAAATTATACTTACCTAATTAGTATACTTACTATTATAAATCTAATAAAAAATACAGATCTAATACTAAACTAGATATTAATTTAATCTTTAGTAGTTTTATTAAGTTTAATACTATTATTAATTTACTAGAAAGCTTAGAATTAGTTAGAACTAGTAATTAAGTATCTAGAGATTCTAGTATTAATTATAACTTTATAAAAGTAGTAAGTATTATATTTTAATATATTATTAATTATAAAAGTCTAGGTATTTTTTATTAAGAATTTAATAGGCTTTAAGATATAGTTTTTATTTATTATCTAGTATATAAGAGAAAAGGAAATAAGATTATTTATAAGAGTATTAGCTATAGTTATTAGTAAAGTAAGAATAGTAAAAGTAGCTAAAAAGCTTTTAACTAAAATAAAATAGGAATCTAGATAGTATTTTTTTTCTTTATTTATTTATACTAATAAAGCCTTAAAAGTATTATTTACTAGTTTATTCTTATTGCTTTTATTACTTTCTTTATTTTTGGCTTTAGTAATATATTATATATAAGTATTACTAAAGTATTTATTAAAGTTATAAGTATTTCGGGGTTTGAACTAATAAATATTTCTATTCCTAAATCGAGCCTTTTTAGCCTTTTATTTCTCTAGTATATATTTCTATAAATAGTATTCGGGTTTCTTATATATAAAGTATAATTTCGGGATATAATTATTATAATTACAGGACTTAAAGTAGTTATTACAAATTCCGAAGTTATAACTAGATTCGTATTAATAATTTCCGGAAGAATAATAGCTTAGAGAGTTTTAAGAATAGTATTATTAATTAGTAAAGAAAGTTTCGGGATTAGCTTATTATTTGCTTTTATATATAATAATAAATAACTAGAACTTATTAATAAACTAGCTAAGATTTATAAGAAGATCTGAAATTATATATTTATATATCCGGAAGCCTTAGTAAGAAATAATAATTTTATTATAAAGGAATTCGGTATTTTATAAATTAGATATAAGATTATATTATAATTAATATAGTTTATTAATTAGTAATTAAATAGTCTCAAATATTGTCTTTTCCGGAAATTTAGTTATTATAGAAGCTAATATAGTAGTATTCTATTTGTTTAAATTTCGATATTTAAATTTAGGGCCTTTAAAAAAGCTATAGATATTAATATAAATCTCTTTATATATATATTAAGAGAGCTAGTTACTATAGAAATAGTCTTAAGCTAGTTTCTTTAATATAATAAAAAAAGCTCGTATTAGTATCTTTTATAAAAGCTTTATATATTAGTAAATATTAAAGAAAATAGTAAGTTTATAATTAAAATTATTATTAAATCTATTATATTTTTATTCTTTAATATAGATCTTAGTAATTTCTCTAATAAGTCTTATAATTAAAGGAAATTAGGAATTATTTAAATATAATTATAATAATAATAGTAATAGAAGTATATTATTTGCTTCTAGAGCTTTTATACTAGTATATAAATCTAGTAGAAATATAGGATATAGTAATAAAGAAAGTAGTAAAAGAAGTAATAATATAGGAATATTAAAAATAATAAGTTTTAGGTACTTGTTTTTTATAAGAATAATAAAGCCTAATAAGATTAGTTCCTTAATAAGATCTAGTCTAGCTACTAATATATTCTTATTTAATTATATATACTATTTATTCTCTTTTATAACTATATATAAAGTATTTATAATAGTATTAGTACTATTATTCTATTATATAAATATACTATTATACTAAAGAGTCTTATATAGATATAGTATCTCCAAAAGTTTAAATTTATTAAAGTTCTCTTAATAAGTAAAGTTCTTAAAATTATATCTAAATAGTTCCTAAAAGTTATTATTAACTATTTTATAGAGAATATATTAAAATAGTTTAGTATCTAAGAACTTAGTTATTTTATTTGCCTTAGTAAAGTTTAGATTAATTTTATATCTTTATTTTCTTACTAATTTCTTAAAATTATTATTATCTATAGAATAATTAGATTAAATAGATCTAATAAAGAAATTATTTACTATAGTATATTTTATTATTATATATTCTATAGACTTATACCTAGTTTGAGATATAGTAGTTTATAAGAAGAATAGATTTATAAAGAGAAAAGTAGTTTATAGAATAAGTAGTTCGTAAAAAATATTATATTCGAGGTAAAAATTTCGTCTATAACGAGAAATTTAGGAAGTGAAATTTAAGTAGTAAAATATCGAGATTTCGGGAGAACTTAATAGTTCTAAAGCTTAAGAGCCCTAGAGGTTTAAAAGAAAGTAGTTTTTAAGAGGGTTTTATAGGAATTAAATAGAAATAGAATAGAATAGTTAAATAATTAATCGTTTTAGTATTTAGTAAGATTAAATACCCTTTTGACCTATATAACTAAATTATAGATAATAGAACTAATAGATATTTCTTCTTTTAATATAGTATAATTAGATATTTAATAAAATTAAGTATCTTTCCTGCTTATATAACCGAATTATAAATAATAGAATTAATAGTTATTTTCTTTTTAACTAGAATAATAGCTTTGCCCCTAAATAACTGAATCTTAGGTAAGTATAGCTTAATTCTTCCTAATCTATATATATAAACTAATTAGTATTAGTTTACTAGAAATATATAATATTATTATATAATTATAAAATACTATTTATATAAGTTAGTAAAGTTATTTTTATTTAGAAATAAGAATTATAGTATTATAGTATTAATATGCGATTCTTAAATCTATTAAGCCTAATAGAGACTAGCTACTAGTCAAGTTATTAATATAATACGAGGTTATATAGTTATTACCTATATCCTATTATCTCTAGTTATTTCTATATTATATAACTATATTATATAACTATTAATAACTATAGCTATATTAATACTTAATATTCTTTATAATATAACTTATATTTATAAATTTAATAACTTTAAATAAGTTTATTTTAAACTTATTAAATTAATAAAAAGTAAAATCTTCTTATATATAAGGCATTTCTTTAATTTAAATTACTTATAAAATTTTTGCTTTTTTTAAAGTTTTAAGTTTTAATTATATAAGTTTTAAATTATAACTAATTAGTTTTAAGTTTATAATTAATTAATAATTATATTATAAACTAAAATATTTAATTAAGAGATCTATTTTTATTAATATTTAATATAAAGATATAATCTTTATTTAATTATTAACTAGTTAAGTAATTTATATTCTTATTTTATTATACTCTTTATCTCTTATTTAAATTAATAATTCTTTTTTAAGTTTAATTAAGACTAGTTTAATACTTATAATTACTAAGGATTATTCGAGCTTATAAGTCTTTATTATTATTATTATATTTAATTTTAAGCTTTTCTTATTCTTTTAATAAGTAATTTTATACTTTATTTACTTTTATTATTATTTCTTTCCTAAATAAATAAATTATAAGTCATTTAATTACCTTATTACTAATTAAGTTATATTTTTATTAAAATATAATATTTAAATAATTTAAAAAATAATTTATTATTATTATAAACTTCGATTAAAGTAATATTAATTTAATATTAAATATATTATGATTTTTAAGAAATTTAATATAATTATATAAAAAATATATAATGATTAATTAAATTATTAAATGAAAATAAATATAAGATTAAAAATATAAAAAGTTTATTATAAAAAACTTAAATTAATATTAATTAATATTTTTTAAAATCTTTTTATAATATAAGTATCTTTAAATAAAAAATTATATTATAACTTAATTATTATTTAATTTATTCATATATATACTTTTTATTAATAAATTAATAACTTTATTTTTTTAATAATATTTTTTTAATTTATTTTTAATATATAAAAATTAATTACTTTTAATTTAAAGTACCGACACGACTAAGAGAACTCTCCTACACTTGAGTCTTATTCAACGTTGCAGCGAAATTATATCTCAAACATCCTACATCTCGGGTCCCGCCAGCTCCACCATTATTACCTAGCATCATCTCAACATTAGCAAGAATAAATCTATTTGTAGAAGCTATGTTAACACTTACAGTTCGTAAAATCCTCCGTTAGTAAACTAACACAGTTCACATTAGGACTGCCTAGACCGAGTGGTTGTTTCATACTCTGCTGCGTCGCCGTTGTCATACACCTATCAATCCAGCTCACTGTATAATGATACGGCGAAACGCCATCCCTGTATTCTATCGATCCCGCGTTCCACAGCACGGGAGCAGTTCCCGAGGTAAAAGTTCGATCGAAGTTACTGCAGAAGGTTTTGGCCCATTCACCCTGCGCGTATGGAGCGATATCGCTGTGTCTTCCGAGTTCATTTGTACCGTAACACTGCTGGGATTGCAGCGCTGGAGGAGATAGTGTTGGAGTGGGCTGCGGTAGAGGAGCAGAAGATGATATTGACATTGCGAATATGCCGCAGCTATCCTGTAAACTCGCCGCCCCGTAAATAGTATGACTATTGAACTCGCCTATTTATTTTCTTAGTCAATCTCGCAATAGGTAACTAAGAAATGGAGATATCAAACTTACAGGATGTGACTATTTGCGCGTAGCTTGCGTTGCAGCCGAGAGCGCAGGTGTCGGCCGTTTGGCTGAAGTTGAACAGTACAGAAATTCCGTCTGCGCCTTGTAAGCCGGACGCACTCCCTGGTAAAGTACTACTACTGTCTTTGGATAGATCCAGGCCGGTACAGAATTTGTTAGCAAGGGCCTCGAAAACCTCAACATCTGCACCCACGTTAGATGGGTTGCATTGCGCTGTTACTAAGGGGGCAAAGTCGTCACTCGTGGGAGTTGGCCCCGATGCAGTCATGACGACTTGGTAATCTTGATAGTCTGTGTATGGCGGGTCGACAATTGCCGTGACGGTTCCTACAGCACTGGAAGTGGTGCTTACAGATACTAAAGGGGGGTTGGGCGCGACATTGACATTTCCAATGTATGGCGTTAACTGGAAGCTCTGATAGAGATGAATTGCCGGCCCGGCTGTATTAAGAACGCCAACTGCGAGTATGACTGTTGCAAGTTGGGTTGCCTCATCCAATGTAAGCACGACTCCTGATTGGGCCAATGTTGACACAATCTCAGACCCAATGGCTTCTACTGTCTTTCCACCAGCGCTATCTACAATTGGTTGTAGAGTTGCAATTAATGCTGGAGCAATTATAGCAGCAGCAATTAACGCTGTCGGAGCTGCTCCTGCAGCGGCTGTCGTGGTTGTAATGAAGGACACGTATGCTGTCGATGTTGAGACTGTTGTAGCGCCGTTGGTCGCTGTAGTAGTAACGGTTTCAACGTCCAGATACGAAGTCTGGACGGCTGTCCAGACTGCCTCGTTGGTTGTGAGTGTGCTCCCAGACTCTGTTATAGTAGTCGGTTGGACTGTGAGCCATTCGTAGCCACCATCAAGGGAGACCAATGATGGGAGAGTATTAATGCCGACGTTGCAACTCGTCGAACCGCCTTGAAGAGTTGTACAGGTTGGTTGTATTGCATGGATTATAGCATCTTCGGCAGATAGGGGAATTCCGTTTGTTCTGCCTATAAGTGATGACAGCAATGCAAAGAGAACAAAATGCAGAAGTGAAGAGAGATGAAGGGCTAAAGACATAGCTGGAGCACGAATAGTATTGACTTCGTAGTGAGTGATAGGGTATGAAGAGCATTGAAAAGAAGAGAGACAGAGCCATTAATATAGAATGTTTTGAAGCAGACACAACAAAAATGTATGGTCTTGACACAACCTCACACTTACCAACCTTGGCATTCTATAGATAGGCACAAAAAGGAGCGACTACAAGGAAACACGATAATAACATTGATATCCTATGAGCTTTCTCTTTGGCGCAGTATGTTGGATTCCTCGAATCCTTTCACTTTCTCACAATTCCTTCTGACCCGTGGTCTCTGGGCTCAGGAATGTCATGTCGCTCGGCGGCCGCGGCGCTGCGGTTTCCATCCTGGTCTAGGAAGCCCCATGGTCTCGAGTATCTAATAAACGCCGTGAATTTATTGCGCCACAGTGTCCGTCCTGTTTGAAGTTAATAATAGAAAGGCTAACGCGCCTATAATCGTTACCTTCGCTATCTTTCTCCTGAATCCACGCTTCTGGCTTAGCCCATTCATAGACGGTGGCTGACTCCGGGTCGTAAGGCTTTGGTAGGGGCTCATCGGCAAAATCGTCTTCATCTGGTAATGGTTCGTACCGAGCCAAGCGCGCGCGCTCTTCGTACTCGGACCTTTCTTGATCTGAGATCGCGATGCTACTATCCCCAGGCCTCATGATAGCCACAACAACCTCTTGTTCCATGGGCTGCTCAGCCTGGGGCTCATTGGCAAAATCGGCGTCATCATCATCTGGCAATGGCTGGTACCGAGCCAAGTCCGTAGCCTTTTGCAAGTCGGCCTTTTGTTGCTCTGAGATCGTGATGGTACTATTTCCAGGCGTAACGATAGCCACGACACCCTCTTGTTTCATGGCCTGCTCAGTCTGCTCTGTATAATTGGCCCAAGGTGTTGGACCTTGGTCTGTTTGATCCTGACGCGGCAGTGCTGGCTGAATGTTATCACTCTGGCCGGATTTAGCGGGAGCCATGCTCGTTGGATGTGTTGCGGGCGCGGGGATTGTTGGAACTTAAGTCCTGATTATAGGCACAAGGCCTTGAATATGTAGGCAAGAAGGCGCAGTAGCGGTGCGTGGATGGGAAAGTTGGGCATGGAGCTGGAAGAAGAGGAACAAGGCAAGAAGAAAGGGAAAGACTAAAACGACCCCCCCCCCCCCCGATTGGGGGTGTCGATTGGGGCAGGGGTATTTAATTGGCTATCTGAGCTCTTTAAAAATCTGAAATTAGATTTTTCAATATAAGTCTAAGCTAGTATATTATAACCCCTGTATTATAATCACGTGCTCTCTAATTTATAATAAAAAGATTCCTTAAAATACTATTTCAATTTTAGGGAGTCTATATACTAATTTATTAAGTTTTAGTTTTTGAGCCCTATAAGGCCTTATAAATTATGGGCTTATAGGGCTCTTAAATCTGGTTTTAGGGACTTTTTCGCTAAATTTCTAGGCTTACTTAAGCTTATCTATAGGCTATAAAATATAAAACTTTTAACTTCTTTAATTTAAAGAGCTATTACTAATCCAAATTTTATAAAAAGTTTATATTTAAATAGCGCTTAATTAGCGCTATAAGAAAACGAAACAAGTATTAAATTATATTAATTTATTATAAAATTAAATTAAAATGAAGAAAAAGCCAGAGTTTTGGTGTTCCTGTCCGAGCGCCTAGCCTGCTCCCAATCGACACCCCTAATCCTGGTAATCGACACCCCTAATCGACACCGGGGGGGGGGGGGGGGGTCGTTTTAGTCTTTCCCAGAAGAAATGCAACATTCAAGTTAGCGCGTGCATAAAGGCAACAGCGGCCGCCTAAGGTCAACCTTGCTACGGCCAATCAACTCGCTTCCATATCTCTAGCCAACCTTCGTATAACACCGTACCACACCTTCCCCACCAACTGCAGACATCCAACAGAATGGGATCCTAATGTGATACTACGACGGAATTGGGGAGGCCGGCCGCCGGCCATGGCGCAGCTTTACCTGGGCATATGTAATTGTCCTTCATTATCAATCTTCGATTCTCTCATGGCAAGACTTCCGGAATAAGTACCAACGTACTTCAAAATAGATTTCTATGCCGAGATAATATGGCTGTGCTTTGAGGCCGGCCTGGCCGGCCGGACTCATCTAATCAACAGGAAGGTAGGATTGTGCAGGCTTGAAAGGTTACGAAGGATGTTGGAAATCCCAAAGAAAAGAGGATTCTCAGAATTCGCATATAACACGCCGAAAGTACAGGAGAGATCTTTTGAAATCACTCAATATTGTCTGAATCATACTATACTTTCCCTTTTCACCACCCCTAGCATGTCTCCAAGCACTCTCTGCACAGCCTCGCAGCTGGTAATCGCTGCTATCTGGTTATTTTCACTCTCTCCCACCCTCTGTACAGCATGGAGTATAGCCCCCGATTGTGCGGCTTTCCCTCAGGTTTCAGCAGAAATGACCGGCGCACTTAACATGGCAATATACGGGAGGATGAGAGCTGCCAACGATCCGCCTCGTCTAGGCACGTCGATGGCCGACTTACTCGCAGCGCCAAATGAAAATGATCCCGATAACCTCCAACTCGTTCAAAGTAAGTTTCTGTTTGTCCTTCACATGTTATCTTGCGAGACACCTATTAAATTCCTACCTATAGCATGGTTTGAAAACGTCGTCGACGCTGCTAGCGTTCCGAGCCCGGGCGGGATAGTGATTCACTGTTCTGACGCTCATTTAAACCCGACCGACGCAGCGAATAGAAAGTATATTGACGCCGAGAGGGGTAATACGGTAGTGATTGCTCCGGCCCCTCCAGCAGGGATTACACCTACGAATAACGCTTGTGGAGGTTTCGTAAAGGCCTTCACTTATGCAGCTGGTGGGCAACAAGTCATAGTCCTATGTTCTGATAGTGGCAAAGGTTCACTGAAATCAAGTTTGGCATCACTCGACCAATTTCGAACAAGTGGAAACTTGAAGAACGAACAGCTTGTTCAGGCAAAGGGGCTTAATGCCCTGGGCATGTATCTGAGCACGATGATACTGCATGAGCTTATGCACGCTGCCAGCTTCGCGGAGCAGCTAAAAGCACTACAACCTGCACAATGTAAGTCTTCTCTCCTACTAGCCAGTTAAATATTATATCTATTCTAACAATTCTCAAAGTTCCAGCAATCCTCCCAGATCAAGTCAATAATCAACCCGTCGGCGAAATGTAACGCTCCTGAAATGTCCATGTTAGTAGAACCCATAGCTAACAAAATACAGTTACCAGTACACTCCGATTTCAGGCAAGAAACTCGGCGACCAAACATCGTCAGGACAGCCAACTGCTAATAACCTCCAACATAACGCAGATAGCTTTGCTTTATTAGCTGCAAGTACGGACTCCTAAATTCTATCCATACTATTTGGATAGATTAAATTACTAATAAGTATTTAGGCTGGTATTTACCTCCTTATGCATGGCTTAATGGGGAGTGTAAAACTATAGGAGCACCTAGACAAGCACCAGGTGAATACCCTGGTTCTCCTACACCTCCCGGGCCATCATGAGTTCTTAAAACTGAATTATCTTGAACATCGCGACTTATTTCCAGTTATTTGACTTTCGAGTTACTACCCCCTTATCAGTTGGCCCGGTAAGAGAGGATAATGTTAGAGGATTACATTTTGAGAAATAGTTAATATAAAAGATAAATACTACATAATAATAAAAATGAGTATATATCTAAATATATAATTAATATAATTGAGTATATTAAAAGGGTTTATTAAAGTAAACAAGTAATTAGACATTTTTAAAAAAGCCTTTTATATATTATCTTTTAAATATCCTTTTTATTATATAATTATTATTTTGATATAAAGTTATAATTTTATAATCTAAGTATTTTACTAAATTAAGTATTATTTATATTAATTATTATATTTATTACGCTTATGTTTCTTATTTCCTTTATATTAATTTGTGCCTTTATATTAGTTATATTATTCTTTTTTTAATTCTTTTTAATTTCTTTACTTAATAAGTTCTTTACTTAATAAGTTCTTTACTTAATAAGTTCTTTACTTATCTTTACTTAATAAGTTCTTTACTTAATAAGTTCTTTACTTAATAAGTTCTTTACTTAATAAGTTCTTTACTTAATAAGTTCTTTACTTATTAGCTTATAATAAAGCCCGAGTTTAATAGTATTATTTTTAAAAATCTATTATTATTATTAAATAATTAGAGAAAGGATTTAATTAAAGAAAAGGGGGAAGGGAGGAGCTTTAAATAAGCTAGGGGTCTTTAATTATATTAAGGATATTTGATATTTAATTAACTTTAGAAACTTCGAAAGCGGGTTCTTAACCTTACTAATTAATATAATTTATAAACTTTAATTTCTAAATACTCTTATTAATAAGGTCTTCTTATTACTTATTTTATAATATAATACTATCTGCCTTTATAATAAGGCATTTCTAAGTATTAAGTAAGCTAAGTACTAAGTTAATAGTTTACTTCTTTATATATTATTCCGGTCTAAGAGTTAAGACTTTATAAAACACCTCTGTAATATAAGATATTAAGAAACCCCGATACTTATCCTTAGTAAGGTTACTATTAAGGCAGAGGTCGATCTATATTTAGTCTAGAGTTAACTTGAGAAGGGTAAAGTAGCTATATATAAGGTGATTAGTAGTTAGTAACAGGTCCGTGCTTTGGGGAGCGGCGCTGCTGCTAGGACTTAGAGGGGGGCTCGTATACTCCGTACTTACTCTTTCTAGTCACCCATCACCCTCTTGCGATAATTTTCAGTGTCTAGGGCAACTTCGGGGCTGTCGTCTAGCGGCTTTTGGTCATACTTCTCAATCCTCCTCTCCTCTACTGCCCTTTTTGCGCCTAGATCACCCTCGAGGAACCTGCGTTTCCTTAGCGGGGCCATCGAATCGAATACGCCGAGCAGTGCGAACGGCCAAAAGGTGAAAAAGCCGGTGGGGGGCGGGGGCGGGATACCTGCAGAGCCCGGAAGGGACGCTCGAAGGTAGAGGCCGAGAGAAGTGGGAGGGGGCGAAAGAGCAGTGAGAGCAGTGAGAGCCTAGGCACCAGGCCGCGCGGATTTCTCGTTCTGAGAGGGGGAGGGGGGGGAGGGCCGCTGTTTAAGAAAGAGTTTGTTTTGATGCTTACTCCAAAAGGGGGGGAAGGGGGGGCAGGGGTGCGGACCGGATCGTAAGCGAGTCCAGAAACGGCGAGCGGCCGGTCCTCAGGGTCGATGCAGTTTGCTCATAAGCCGATTGATACCGAATAAAAGACCTCGGAAACTTGAGGCTTAGACCTCTGTTTTCTGAGGGGTTTCGTTTTGTACTAGCTGCGTGAATGTCCCCTTTACCGGCCTCGCCCCGATCAAAGGTAGTATTCATAATATAAATTAGTTAAATTCTGAAAATGTTATTATTCTTAAGTGTTTATATACCTTTATTGATCTCAACCCTATCGACCATATCTTTTTGCACTGTGCTCTATCTGATATCGATGAGATCACATGACACGTGTATTGGGGCCTATCAATAAGCCTTTACCATAGGTAATCCTAAGTCCTGAGTCCTGAGCAGACTAATGAGTCAACTGGATCATGCTCAGGGGATCCTTTTCCAGCCCCCTCAAATCGGTTATAGTTTCCATGTTATCTTTATATAAATCTTGCTAATACCTATTGTCTGGAACACCGCCACCTCCTTCAACCTGTCAAGGTGGGCGGTGGGGATCCGCTTTTATCCTGCATCACACATTGCTAGCATTAGTCCCCTCTCATGGGCTCAAAATGCGCAATGGCAATAACTCCGACCGTTGGTGGGAGATACACGCAGGCACAGCCTCGGGCGCAGTAGTCCAATAAATCATCAATACTTCAAACGATTGGTAGTCGCAATTTACGATCCCATGCATAAAATGTGATCCGATATGCATGCGGCCGTACGTTGTCACCCAGCTAGCCTAGCGCAACCATGCTCGAGCTGAACTCGGCATTCAATGATTTAAATCAGGCCGCGCTCCAGGTTATCTTGGCAGAATCATCTCCGCGGCCAAGATGATGCTACCGTCTTTCCGTACATTGGTTACGTTTCAAGTAGTGTTTATATCTTTAGCCTCGGCACAATTCTTTACCCAGCTACGCTTTCAGAAGTGGTTCGAATTCCACAACGCTGCGCCTAATATATCCAACTCAGCATGCTCCCACACTTTGTCACTATATGAAGAAGGTGCCCGCATCTTCCCACACGCAGAGTCAACTCAAGTACTTTGCTTAAATCATATGGAATGCATCTTGGATACCATGGGTTCTTCTACGCAGAATATGTTTGGCAGTGCTTTAGTTCTTCTTGGTCTCACACCAGCTATACTTGCGGGAGTAGGATTCACGGTTGGAGAAATCGCGTATATTGCAGTCCATCGCCCAGGTTTATCATTCTTGCTAAGCATGGGGTCACCGGTGATATTTTCGGGACGTGTGCTGTCTTACAGCGACCCGGAACAGGCCTGGCAAAATACTGGCTCGTCGAAACTTGTTCTCAATGGCATGAACCCTCGATTTGGTGTGGTCATATCAGTTTTGCAATATATCCTCGCGACAGGCTCCGTGGCAAACATCTTCACACTCGTTGTTGAAATCAGTACGCGATCTATTTCCACATTCGATTGCATTGATTACTACAAACCGATAGTGTGGGCTATTGTTCCGATATTTATACATCTCATAGCGACTGTCCCATACTTGATGGGAGGGAAACGCTCAGGCAACCTGTACGCATCTCCATGGCCACAATCCGACCTAGGCACGCATGTTCAAGTTGCTCTGCTAGGATCTCGAAAGAAAAACTCTTCCCACCTGAACAAGAGTTCTCTTCAGAATCCTGTTTCGCAATCCACTTGCGCCCGCTTTCTTTGGAGGACGAAAAGATATATTATCGAGGAAATGACCATTTGCGCTTGTCGACCACCTGTGTCGCTTTCTTCTATCACTAAGGTGCCGCTTTGGTGTGTGGGCTTCAACACCACGGCAAGTCTTATCGGTCTTGTCCACATAATCTTCGGGACTATTGTATTATCTTCTGTTTACTTTATTCGAGTTGAGATTGCCGTATATTGCATAGTTAGGTTCATTATATCTGCAGTAATCTGTCGGTTGATATTGATCGTAGAGTTTGCTGGCATGCGGGGAGATACGAAATAGACAAATGAAATAAAATGACATAAATTGTGCCCATTGCTTCGGACAGCGGAAAGGCAATAGTACGACGCGGGCCTCTGAAAGCGGGCGTGTAATAGCTCTTTCACAGGAGCAGAGAATAGAAAGAATGAAAGGGAGAAGTATGGGCAACAGAGAAGGAAATGGAAAGAAGGTGGGAGAGGGACATGGCCGCCGCCTTTCAAGAGAGGGGGCCCAAGACGGCTCCCACACCCTGGCCCGGGGCAGCCTGTCAGCGGCAGCGTAGTATGGGTTAAGGCACCCCCCTGTAATTCTTCCTACTATTGCCTTAACCAAGTCATGGTACGCGGCCTGGTAACGCACAGGAGGGGAGCCGTCCGCTATCATCACGGATATCCGGGGGCCGGGTCTGTTGGTGATGAGGATGCAGTGTTGCAGAGGAAGGAATTCGCGAGGCGAGAGTTTTCTTTCGGTGATGCTTAGGCAGGATACATCACAGTAGCGAGGAGGAGTCTTAGCGGGCCCGAGGATCTGCCGGGGGTAGTGACTTGATCGTTCCTCTCGTCGGGGTCGATACACTCTGCATTAATCAGCGTGATATTCTTGAGCGAAACCACCAGGTTGATATAATGAAAGAAATATATCGAGGAGAAAACCCCGTGATATCCTGGTTGGGACCAAGCTCTCACCACAGCCCGAGCATTATGGCTCTTGTGAATCAGGTTCATCCTGTAGACAATTCCAGTCGGAAACGAGAGATGATTCTTCTTGCTTTGAGGTACAGCAAGTTTAACTTCCTTCGGGCTTACACCTCCATCTTGCAACGCGCGTATTGGTACCGCACCTGGATTATTCAAGAGGTTTTCTCGGCCACGAGATTGTTTATGCAATGCGGTTCCGATATCGTTCCCTGGCAGGCCCTCGTTAGCTTTCAGCAATTTCGTACAGCCGAATGTTATGACGAAGTATAAGATCCGGGTGGCAGAAGGTAGGTGCCTCCGATGAACGGAAATCATCGGTGGGTGCGTTTTGGATACATAACCCGCTCTCAACTAGCAAAAGTTGTGTCGGAGCAGACAGATTCACCAACCTTGCTGTGCTCCAAGACCTGAGGAAAGTGTCGCCGAATGACGAGGAGGAAGAGAGTCTCAGGCGTCAGCGGACCTTAGATAGACTCTTGTTCGACAATTGGGATGCCATTGCGACCGACCCACTAGACAAAGTCTTCGCCATCTTCCGCTTGGCCTCAGACGGAGACCAGTATGGAATACAGGTGGATTATGATTCGGACGTCAATGCCGTTAATCGCCTTTACACAAACATCATCAAGAGGTTCATTCAACTGTACGGCAACCTGTCAATCATCCTCCCCAGGAGGACCCAGAACCCAGATCATCGTCTGCCTTCCTGGTGTCCCGATTGGAGTATCACTATCCCCGCCTCCAGAATGGGAAACTGGCAAGACGCCTACCCATTCCAAGTCTCCTCAAACAGCTGGGACTATTTCGCCGCCGGCTACCAGTCACAAGCTCAAGTTTGGTATAACAACAATAACACTGGACAACTCATGTACGTCAATGGCTTTCGCCCCGATCTAATCCACCACGAGACAAATAATAAAGCCGACTACTACATCAAAGAGACGATCCCTGGCAGGAGATCCAACAACTTCATCCGCACTCTCCTCTGCTTCTTGCCCCCGGACCCCGAAACCCAGACCATCAGGCGCAAAGTCACAGATTTTGAGAAATGGTACGCGATGCACAGGCGCGAGCTTCACGCCGGCTTCTCGCGCGAGACGACAGTCACGCATAGTATCCCTCTCGGAAACAAGGCCTTCTTCGACTAGTGCACGAAGAAGCACGAGGAGTTCTTCTGGGTCCTGCATCGAGCCACACACCTGTTAACTGACGAGCAGCCTAAAGCCAGCCGTACCGCCAACACGAGGCACCTCTTGAGGAGGTGGAGGCGCAATGGCAATATCCCTAACGGATATGCGGCAAGGCGCAGGAGCAATGTTATGGGAGGGGGTCTGAAGGATGTGGTGAGGGAGATGGGAGAGGTGAAGATTAATGAAATTTATACTTGCTTTTTCACGACGGAGAATGGGTTCATGGGACTTGGACCTGAGGGGCTAGAAGAGAGGGATCTGGTGGTTGTTTTGAGGGGGTGTGGTTTCCCTGTTGTCTTGAGGAGGGAAGGGAGGTCTTCTTTCCGCATTATTGGGGCGTGTTATTTGGCGGGATTTATGTTTGGGGAGTTTTGGAGTAAGGGGTGGGGGGAGAGAGTGAGGGAGGAGACTTTTGAGATTTGTTAGGTCTGCTCTGGCTTCTGAGATACCCAGATAGGAGGTGGTGTTTTGGGTTTGGCAGTGGAGTTGATGAATGGAACGGCCTGGATGATTTTAGATTGATGATAATGAGTTTATGACGAAATGAATATTCGAGATAGTATGTTATAACTTATATACGCCTTTCTATCCACGCAAGATATCTATGAAATTAGTCTCAATAAGCATATCATAATGGCTCTATTTATTACAGCTTTGTGTGTGATGGCGTGATGGCAATCACCGTGCTTCGACTTTAGACGGCTGGGGTTTTGGAAGAAGTTGGTTTTAGCTCAAGTTAGTTGCTGTGTGAGGAGAGTTTGGAGTATATCTTCGTTTTCGGATTTGTCCGAAGTCTCGTTGTCAGAGGTTGGGTTTGGGGTTTATTATCAAATGGCAATGTAAATGTCGGTATATTACATAGTTGACAGTAGTCTGCTCTGCTGGAGGAGGCAGGTGTGAAGTGAGCTTACATGATTGAGCACCAAGCTTGGGTTTTCCTATCCGGGAAGGGCAGCCTAGCAAAGAGCAATGGACCCAGGCTGGTATGTAGTAGAAAGTGGCAGGTGAGGGAAGGTGGAGGAGCTGTTGGAAGACGTTAAATATGAAATATGTTTGGTCGCAAGGAAAGACTGTTGATTGATTCATTGAAATTACCCATTGCAGTCGAGAAATTTGGAACATGGGAAAGCAATATGAGGGGTAGTGACAAGACACAGCACCCGGTGGGTACCTGTGAAGTCTAGATTACTTTTACGGTATTCTCACTCAATGCTACTACGCAGATTTCGGTGACCAAGCACTATGCATGTATACACCCATCGACTCTCTGGTATGTATAAGCTTTTGGCGTCCAAGCACCATACATATGACAAACCGCCCGATGCATCCAGAACACTCTCAAACGCTAAGCAAACCCGCTCCCAAAACACCAAATACAATCAATCATATACACATCGATCCACCCCTCTCAACACCCACCCATCTCAACCTCTTTAATCAACCCATAATCCAAGAACTCCGCCTCCTCAAAATCAACATCCTCCCCCACAATGCCGACATTCTCCTGTCCGCTCCCGTTCCCCAACTTGCCACTACCAACCCATTTCTTCCTTCTCGGCACCGCCAGAACCCTCTCGCCCAGCACCTTATCCATTCCCGTCGCCCCACCAAACACAAATCCACCCTCCTCCCCATCATCCTCAACGAAACTCCTCTTATTCCCACCCGGCGTCATAATCTCCCCGGAACTAGAAACCGTACTCACGCTCCCCTGGCTACTCCACGGCGGCAGCATCTCATCTGGTTCCTCCACCTCGCCATCCTCACCATCCGCAAACGCCTCTTCGCCCGCATAAGGATCCCCATCCCTTTCCCTCGCCATATTCCCAATATGATTAGGAGAGTAGATACCCCACTGTTGCTGCGCCATTCCCCCAACCTTCAACAACCCACAAAACGGCGTCAACTCTCTAGCTCCTGCTCTTGGGCGGGTTGTGGGTCTGGCCTTATCCTTCTGCTGTGCCGTGCTTTGATTCGAGGGTGTAGCGGGCACGGGTGTTGAATCTGAGAATAATGAGAATCCAGAGAATGGTGACCCAGTTTTATATCCCTCAGGTACGCTCTTCCGGATCCGCATCCCTACTTGTAGTAGATTTGACTGGACATGTGGTGGCAAGGAGGGGACGTTCGAGTAGGTTATGGCGGAGGCGGTTAGGGTATCTGGGTTTTGGGTGGTGAAGTAGGAGGTTATTGAGGGCTGGGAGCCGTTGTAGGGGCGTTTGGCTTGGTGTGTCATTCTTGCTGGTGCGCTCTTAGGAATTGCTTGTAGAGGAGGTGGAGGTGAGGAAGTCCTCTTCAGGAGGAGCGGGCGCGTATCGATTGCTCGTATCTGTCTACGAGGTACCCCCACCTTGGATGCGCAGAGCTCACAATTGAAGGTATGGTCGTTGAAGAGGGAAGGAAAAGAATCGTGGGAAGAAGAGGGGCCGTGGTTGAATAAATGAGTGGAGTGGAGTGCGTTCGCTGTGTCTATTGTGGGGTGAATTGAGTGGGATTGAGGTCACAATCGAGCGCGGGGGTTTCGCGTCGAAATCTGGATGGGAAACAGGAGGTGGCTTGGCTCCTTGTCCAACTCGTGGATACGAGTTCCAGGTACAATGGAGATCTCGATCAGGGGGATACTGTATGTGTTCGGGTTTAGATTCTTTACGGAAAATGTTTGAATTGAATTTCGGTTTGCGTTCACATTTAGGAGAAATTTTCTGCTCCGATTTCTGCAGCCTTCCTATCAAATGGAGGGGACATGATTGGGCACTTGGATATATCTGCATCTGCATGCAGAATCAAGGATAATTGCGTCCCACCTATCAGTCTGTCCTTAGAGACAGCTGGCCTATTGAAAGAAAAGTAACTTCATGAGTATCAGAGGCATTTCCAAGTCACCCTGAATCACAAATTCATCAGGGAGCACTTTGTGGGGAACTTATTTCTGTATGCACAAGCCCAATCACCATCAACTGCTCTGGGTATGTAGCAATCCTCAATAAGCGCACCACGTCCTCGCATCAAAGATCGATCCACCCAGACTCTACCAGGCAGATCTCCTCTAAACACTCAAGTGATATCGCCATTTCTGCTCCTTCCCATGCAAGTTTTATTCGCATATCAAGATATGCAACAGATCCACGGCCACTTCGATTCAGGATACACAAGGAAAAGAGAAAGAAGTTCATCGGAATTTGATGCAAGATATCCGGATTATTCCCAAACGCCCTTAATTTTTGCTGCTAGCTCAAGGATTTTTGGTCGATGTCCATCTTCTATCCGCCAAATATGTATGCGCAAGAGAAGTGAGAGCCATCGTCTAAACTCTCATAATGAATGCAAACCGACCCGTGGACAAAGGAAAGCAGACGAGGGAGACATGTCTACTTTCTTCGGAATGAGCAGCCCTCAGTCAGACGGGCCTTTCCACCGGTCGGTTGGCACAGGACAGTCGAGCAGCCGGCGCAGATGACGACGGTTTGCGCGTGTGAGAAGACCGTGGTGATAGTAAAGCAGCCGGGGCACTTGACGTCCATGAAGAAGGATCGAGGAGCAGGGACAAGGTTCTGAAAGCGATAAAAGTCAGCAAATGCCCCTCTTCCGGAGCGCACAGCTCAGATCATGATGCTTGTAGCATACCTTGAGCTTGTGCTTGCGCGCCTCAGCGGCAGGAGTTGGGTTGAGAAGATCTACGGCGAGAACCTAAACAGGCAGTACCATGTCAGCATTTGATCTCCAAAATCCATTAATCAAGCCCATGTCCCTATCCCTTCCATCTGTATCACGCCGATATTCCTTCAGACCAAGTTTCGTCGCAATCCCCTCGACTTTGATGCAATCTAGCGCAGGTCGTGTGCCAGATCCCCTCACCGACATGGCGGCCTCGATAATTTACGAAGGGGCAAATCCTTACCATCTTGACCGTTTGAAGTCGAAACTTGTATGTGCTCGAAGTGACTGACGGGTCTTTCGTCGATTGTGAGGGTGTCGAGGACGTAGATAGCGAGTGTCAGTCGTTGTCGATGGTGGAAGGTGGGAGGAAATGGGAGAGGAGTCAATCGTGAAGGCAAACCCTACTCGCTAGCCGAATTTTGGAAATTTGGCGGAGGTGCGAGTCACAGTGCGATTCGCTTATGAGCACGTGATGAGCGAGGCTCACTGACGGCGCTGGAGCAGGTTGGAAGCTTTCTATAAGATCGACCTCAGAGGTACCTTTTTATGATTCTAAACAATTCGAAATGAGAATCTAAATAAAACATAACGAGGTTTTGAACAATGAAAATGGGTTAATTCCAGGTTTTGCTGCTGGGAATGCTCCCCCCTACCCCACCAAGGCTGCGGCGTGTTTGCTCTGTTTGCTCGCGCAAGGCGACCGTATTCTGTACCTGAACATACGACAGCATATTTCCTTCCTCAACACCACACGACAAAATGGCAGCTCCAAAAGACGAACGCATAGCCGTACCCATAGACGATCCAAATGCCGACACTGAATGGTACCTCCTCCTCTTTCCCCCTCCTCACTCCCACTAACCCTCCCCCAGGAACGACATCCTCCGCAAACACGGCGTAATCCCTGAGAAACCACCTTCTCCCACCCCCCTAATCGAAGAAGCGATTCTCGAAGGACGACGCCTAGCCCACGAGAACCGGTTAGAAGGTAAAGACCTCGACGAGCTCGACGCCCTGGAAGATCTGGAGGACGAGAATTTTTTAGAACAGTATAGACAACAACGAGTCCAAGAGCTAGCAAATCTCACCAAGAAAGCGGTTCACGGCACCGTGTACCCGATCTCGAAACCCGATTTCGTGCACGAGGTTACGGATGCGAGTAAGAATGGGCCGGTGTTGGTTAATTTGACCAGTGGACTGGGCACGAATGTCGAGAGTAGGGTGTTGACGGAGCTGTGGAGACGGGCAGCGAGGGAGTATGGAGAGATTAAGTTTTGTGAGATTAGGGGTGATATGGCGATCGAAGGGTACCCGGATCGGAATTGCCCGACGATATTGGTGTATGATAAGGGGGATATTGTGAAGCAGATTGTGACGCTGATGACGATGGGGGGTGTGAGGGTGGGAATGGAGGAGATTGAGGCGTTGCTGGTGGAGATTGGGGCGGTGAGGGATAATGATATGAGGATTCTGAAGAGGAGGAAGGAGAAAGAGGGTGCGGAGGAGGAGAGAAGGGAGCATGGTGGGATCCGGTCGAGTAAGGCGACCGTGGAAGAGGATGATGATGATTGGGATTAGAGTTGCATGGTTTGGAGTTAGGAGTCAGGCGGAGAGAGAGCTTAGAGCCTCTGGAGTCTGGAATGGTATCTCAATTTGAGCTTCTGCCATCTCCTGCATCTTCTACATGGTTATTGGCAGCGCTGTTGTGTTCAAGACAGTGCCACCTGTCCTGCTGACTGTCAGATCAAAGCAATGATCCTGAGAAGGTGGGGAATGTAAGTGGAAGACCGGCACTACCAAACTCTACTGAATTCGCTGGTTTCAAGGTCATCACCTAACAGCGCAGTCAGTATAAGGGTGGCTTCTTGCAACCAATCTGCAAGTAGTGAGGATAGGGCTGATAACGTTCCCCCAGGCACCAGCTAGCGATTTTTTTATGAGGTTTAAGTTCTCTGGAGCAGCGGATTTCACCAGTCTCCGCTGTCGCAAGTTCTGAGATGGACACAATGGACACATGGCAGGCAGCCCCAGCTGTTCTTCAAACACATTGTCGACCGACCGACCGGCGTTCTCTCCATACGAAAACCACACCCAACCAACCCGGTATTCTGAAAGAACCATCTGATCATTCACGCTGTCAAAGACCCTGTGTCTGTCAATGGACTCCACACTTGGGCGGAAACCCACCAACGCTTCCTGCTGATAAAAAGCCGTCTGGTCCCGAGTTACGCGATGCTGTTGTCAAAGAAGGTGATGCTGTCAAGTCTAGTTGTGGAATTACCAGTTTTGTGAAACTCTCCGGTCTCAAGGAACCTTTGTAAGCCAACTTCTGGAACCACAGCCTTGGCTCACCTTGACCATTTCAGTAGCGTTGCACGAGAAAAACCGGCGAAGTGGGCTTTGGGCGCAATAGATGGGGTTGTTGCTGGTACAGTGTGCTGGGTGGAGACTATTCTCTTCTATTGACGTACTTATCGAAAGCTTTATAGACTTGCCTTCTTACCACATAATACTAATTCCGTCTTGTACTGTTGGTGTTGACGGGAAGAAGTTGGTCATTTGGAATTATCACTACCTAAATTCGTTCACAGAATTGCATGTCTCCGCTTCCCAGAGTACACTGGCCTATTTTGTTACAGTGATAACCATAGCAGGGCTTCTGATAGCATCGCCTCTCGTGGCCTTGTACTTGAATGTTCCAACCTGGCTAGCAGTGAAAACAACCTTTCCATTGGCATCTGAAAGTACTCCAGCAAACAATGCCCCAGGAACAGGCCAGCCAGTCGGACCATCCGTGATCGTTAACACTGCTGTATAACCACGTCTAACACCCACCATTCTGGGCTGGACATCCAAGATAAGGGGCGCATTAAAAGCATTATACGCCCACAAAATCTCATCTGTCGGAGCCGGCTCTTCTTGGCAACCTCCCACTGGTGTGAATTGGAAGTTCTTAAGTATATCAGTCGTCAATGTAGTCGTTCCTAAAACACGTCAGGCAATGTCGCCTTACGAGGAACCCATCATCCTGATAAACTCTCACCTGTGATGGCCGTTGTTGTAGTTGTGGTCCGTGTTGGCATGATTGTTGCTGGATGGACAGTAACCTTGAGAAAGCTCGAGCAGTTTTGCTTGGCTGAAAATTGGAAATCAAGGCCTTTTCGTGAGCCATTGACCGCTCTTGCACAGTTATCCTGACTGCAGGCAGTTGTAACGGTTAAAAAGTGTCCAGAGATAAGAAGAAGAAACCCGGAAAGGAGCTTCATTGTGATTGTGGAACGAAGTGGAAAGATTTCGAGGAGATTGCAGAACGAGAGTGCAAGTGAACGCTCCCAAGGAAACTTGTAAAATGCGAAAGGAAGGAGCAATCTCAAGGAGACCTCTCAAGCGAGAAAGCAAGAAAGGATCTCAGAGAATCGGCCGAACAACTCAAGGACGAGTTCCCAAGCATATGAACCCCTCTCCCTTCACAGTCTCTTGGTAAATCGATCGCCATCTGATTACACTGCAGCTTCAGCTGAAAGTCACACTGGTTTCTATAAATTGATCTAATAAATACGGTCTCCATTCGGAGTAGCATCACTACACAAACTACGATAACATTCCACAGGAGAGACTCGGGTTGCAATCTGGGGTTTTTGTGCTCAGCTGGTTGTATAGATAGAACTACACTTCGTTTCGTTTGAGGCTAGGTAGCACAAATTTGGGTAACCTTGATTCTTTAGCAGTGCTACTGACACCTAGGACTGTGTAGAGCTGGTCCATAAATAGAAAGTCGACTCTTGACGAACTGGTGGTAGTCACAACAAGAATTCTCTTGATAGTCTACGGGCCGTCCTAGTCGTTTTATCTCGGTGGCCCAGCTAGGCAGCCTTCTGTGGAGTAACTTTCAGCATAGAAGATGTGGCCTGGTGCCTTGTTACATGGGTTGGGTTCCAGAATATCTCTGAATGCATCTGTAGATTGGAAGAAAGGATGCTGCCAAGCTGAATTGCCAGGTTGGCGTAGCGCTGCTCGCACGATTAGGAGTCTGAATTACGGCCCAAGATACAATTCTGGACTCGGGGATATCGGATTCTCACTTTCTCGGATTTTCCAGATGTTATGCTCCTCGTTCATCTCGGAAGAAGAGAGATGGAGATTTCAAATCAAGGAACAGGCGTAAGCACGTGACGGGGCTGATCATGACGCTTTTTGGCGCGCTTTCGTGTTTACATTCGCCGATTGCTCCCGATCTTTGGACCTACTCCCAATTGACGCCAATTCTGGCCAGGGAGGCATCAGAGCCGTCGTCCAAGATGGCCGATGACCTTCCCCTACCAAGGCTTGCCTGGAATCCAACCACCGAGTCATTCTCCAAGAATCCGCCGCGGAAACGCGTCCGTCCTAGCAGCCCTCCTATCTCTAGCGATCCCCCCATCTTCTCGAGTGACGATGATCCCAGCGCAGACAACTATTCCACACAAGCACGCCGCAAGAAAAAGTTTCGAGGACCGTGGTATCGTCAAAGACCCGCCTCGGACGAGGGGTCTCAAGATTCGAATGAACACGACCAGAAGAAAAGGAGGAAGTTCGAAAGGCAATTTGACAGTGGTGTTTTTATGGGAAGTGATGGCACGGACATGGATGAATCTATGGAGGAATTTGAATCTGGGCCTGCTTCGTTGCCCCTGAGACAATCGCGCGTAACTCGTCAATCCGAAAAGGCAGCTCCGACTCCAGAAGAATTGGCCCGAGGCCAAATTCAGCGATGCCTGGAGGAGGGGGATGAAAGCATTGATTTATCGTATGTCTTCCCCGAGAAGCCTCGAGGTGGACTTTCAAGGCTAACCAATTGTCCCCAGGTCTCGAGGCCTCACGACTCTCTCCAATGCAACCATCCGACCGCTCGCTACATTCACACGCGTTCCACCCGTCACTGAAGGAGTCTTTACCCGACTCGAGCCCAAGCTAAAGATCTTCCTTGCCTCCAACCAATTGACAACATTGCCCGGCGAGCTCTTCAACCTCGATCGTCTGACTGTGTTGAGTCTTCGAGGCAATCAACTCCGCGAGCTTCCACCGAGTGTTGGGAAACTTTCAAACCTGAAAGAACTCAATCTATCGCAAAACGGCCTCCGCTATCTCCCCTACGAAATTCTCGAGCTCTTCTCCGCCAGGAGTCGTCTCAACAGTCTCCATCTGCACCCCAATCTTTTCCACGAACCACAATTTCCGGCAACCGAGGGAGAAGTGAAGGAAGAGGAAGTCCAATACAAGATTGGTCTTGGGAATCGGACTCGAGCCAACCTTCGTCGAGGTGCTATATGTGCAGTTTCTCCAGACCAACGAAGACGATCTTGGCACACCCAATGGAGGATTACATTTCAAGCCCGGACTGAAGTGAGGTTCCTGAACATCCATGGAGATCTGGTGAAGGGGCCAAGCCTCCCGGCGAATACTGAGGGCTCAGAGTCATCTCACAACAAGATACCAGTTGCCGAAATGAGCGATTCTCTTGAGCCTCCAGCGTCAGACAATGGACTTTCCCGAGCTCCATCTCTTCTGGAGGCTGCTTTAGCTGCTTGTGCAAAGACTACGCAACTCCCATTCTTGGCAGATTTCCTACCAGAAGACGGCCCTCCCTCCCTTCGTGGGCTCTTGGCCGACGCTGCAGAGAAGAAGGAATCCGGAGGCAGCAAATGTACGATATGTGCAAGGAGTTTCATTATACCACGAACGGAATGGATCGAGTGGTGGGAGATAGCAAAAGTGCTGGAGATCAACTCGACAGCCAGCGCTGCCAGCCCTTTAAGGCAGATGGAGAACGAGAGAGATGTTTTGGAGAGTATGGTCCCGCTGATGAGGAGAGGCTGTAGTTGGCTGTGTGTGCCTGAGAAGGTTACTATGCCTGACGAGGATCCCGTGGCTATGGACGAATGAGAGATCGGGATGAGCTATCACGCTCGCTATATATATGGGAGGCCTTATTGATAAGCTGTGGCGTCTGGTGTAGTTGTACAGCGGTGTTGTTTTCGTAGCCTTGGCTGGTTGTGGCGTTTGGATGAGTATATTGTCTGACCCGCCCCTTTCCCTCTTGCGACTGCCGAGTTCCGGTGTATACACTTCCTCCGGTGAGAATATCCGACGGAGCAAGGCGTCCCGATTCACTTCTGTTCTTGGAGCACGGCCTCCCATCCAGTTTCCTGAAATTCGGGAGGCCTCGTTTTTGCATTGCCTCATTGGCCAAGTGACTACAAAGCACGGGGCTGTCATTTGTTTTGTTGCACGTTTCCAGGGTTTCTTCGGGACTTGGGGAGGTCTCGTTTGTGATTGAGCTCATTGGCTAACGGTTGCAAAGCATGAAGCTGGGACGGGAATTTTGAGCTGTTGGTAAGACAGTCTCTCCCCCCGATGCGTTTTTGTGTTCGATGCATTTGTCTTTCTAGGATCTCGGGAGGCCTCGTTTTTGTTGCGGCCCGTTGGCCAAGGTTGCAAAGCACAAAGTCAGCCAACCTGCTATTGGAACATTTCGATTGGGTAATGTTATTACTGGGAACAATGGGCTACGTATTCCTCTTAAGAATTTGGGGAGGCCTCGTTTTTGCTGCAGCCCATTGGCCAAGTGGGCGCAAAGCACAAGGCTGGGCCGACCTGCTATTGGGACAAGGTCTTCGGTGTGTCTGTCCTTGCTTCTCCCGGCATGCATCTCGCCCACACCTGCCTGCTCTGCGCATAGCGGTCAAGTCAGCCGCTCAGCTACATTGAATGGGCGGCCTCGTTTCTCGCTCGTGTATTTAGGAGCGTCGGATCCCACCCGCACACTTGATCTTGAAGACCACGAGTCATTCCTTGGCGGCCTTTGGGCGACGCCCATTTCTTAGAGCCTAAGCTCGTCGAATTACATACGCATACTTCTCTGAAGGGACAACGAGTTACCTTCTGGCGGCCTTTCGGCCGTCAGCCCTTTCTTGGAGTTCGAAGACTTTACTTCGACCTCCTCTTCAGGCCTCCAGGCCAACGTTGCAGGACTCCGCCTCGCGGACGGCGGAACCCTGCGCACAACATCCCAGCAATTTACTCTTCCAGTTATGATGTTTCAGTTGTCACACAGTTCCCAGTACTGCAAAATGTGTCAAATCACAACTGCTTCGATTCTCGAAACTCACGATCAAATTGTTCTGTTACACAAAACTTCTCTGAGCAGCTCCTGCGAGGAGAGCACCTTGAACAGGGCGATCTTTTTGCTGAATCTTTCGAATATTTCCCGTCTGCGGATAATTGCTTGCACCCACCAATCGAGTCATCTTTTTTTAACTTTCCGGGCCCGGGCGCGGGGGGGTACTCTCAACCGAATTTTGAACTCTGCAATCTACAACTTCCTTTCGCGCCAGACAACCTCGCCGCAGTTGAGCTCGTTCCGGCCGCGGGGTACTCTCAACCGAATTTTGAACTCTGCAATCTACAATTTCCTGTCGTGCCAGACAGTCCCGCCTCAGCTGAGCTCGCTCCGGGCGCTACTTTCTCCGACCTATCATCTTTACCCCCGCAGAACCCCGCCTTGGACCCAACGCTGAATCCGCAGCTTCTGTTAACTATCGGTGACGTTCAATTACAAGGAGAGGAATCGGTCGTCGGGTCTACAAACCCGACGTCTTCTAGCCCTCCCGGCGCTTCATCATCAAGCCAGTCAACCACGATCCGTTGCGCCTGGCCTTCATGCGAAAAAGACTTCAAAAGCAGGAGCGACTACAAGTATGTTGAATCCTCCCCCTTTGAATCTCCCATCGAACTGAGCTAATGTGCTTTCGGGCTTTAGTCGCCACTGCAGATACCACACCCTGCCATTTCAATGTTCGTCTTGTCCAGCTCGGCAAGCCACAAAACGAGAACTTGATCGGCATGTCAACTCCGTTCACAACCTTACCGAAAAGTACTACTGTACCGTCTCTACCTGCAATCGGTCACTGAGCAGAAACGGAAAACCTTTCTCTCGAGAGGATGGCTGTAGGAAGCACATGAGGAGAAGGCATAGGATGACGGATGATCAAGTGGTTAATTGTGAGATGGATGAGGAGACGAAGAGGATTCGACGGCAGAAAAAAGAGGCCAGGCGAGCTGCAGGATGATTGTGGTTGAGTTCTTTCCTTCTGTCTCTCAGTGGCATTGTTCAGCGAATCTGTTCTTCCTTAACGGCAATGAGTACTTTACGCCCTCAGATGAGACCCCCAGATTGTTTTTAAACATATTGCCATTTATTATGGGGGGAAGCTCCGCCGATAGTACCCTTTCCCAGATACCCATTCCCGCAAGGCAGGTGCTCCTTCCCCTATGCCCCAATCCCAATGTTAATGGGAAAGCGCAAGGCCGAGGCTTCCCTACAATTGTTGCCTGGTCAGTTCACTTCCGAAATCCAGCATCACATGTTTTGTCTCTCTCGGCCGGTACGGCTCCCTGCAAGGCAGGTTATCTCCCTTTCCATCACCTAAAGATTCTCGCCCGATTGCAGCTGTGTTTGAGACGGGAATGCAACATTCACCGATACCAAGAGCAAGGTCACACCCTGTCCGACTCCATCTGGGCGCATTATCTCAAAGATCCCGTGCGAGATGGTGGGATAGGCAGCGAGGCTGAGGCTCCGCTGTCAATCGCCATTGGGTCGAAGGATTTAAGAGGCCTCACTTGGCTTCGCTTACTGCCACCAGATAACACTGGTCAGCTGCTGGTGATATGGGAAGCCTCGCCCAGCTGCAATGGAGGGCCCATCCCCAGAGGGACACTTATATCTGGCTCCTCGGCTTCCTGCTCACACTCTTTAAACTCAACTTCAACCTTCAACCACTCTTCCTGTCCTCTCCAAAGAAGTTTTTGGAAAGGGTTTCAACATCCTTCGCGAGCGCCGCTCAGCGGCCACCAATTACTCAAGGCTGAGACGCCTCGGACTTTTGGCTAACGCGCCCATCAATTCTTGGCCTGCGGGTTCTGCGCAGGCGCAGCACCAATTTCTCTTCCAAATATTTACGTCCACGACCCCTGCGTTGCTTCAAACACATTCCAGGAACATCGTGACGACTCCTTCTCAGAGTGGAAAAACAGTACCACCTACCAAAACGGACTTGGTTCAACGCCACAGTCCCGCAATTCGTTCGACTACCAGTTAGAGTGTAGCCCAACACACTCAAATCTAACTTTATCTTCCGGGTCTGCTTCTCGCCCAGATATCAATTATCATTCAGGAAGTTTTCCTGTCGATTTTGACCCATTTCAGAATCCAGTCAGCTTCCAATCGGTTGGTAGCACGAATCACTCCTTCGACAGCAGCAAGGAAACATATTTCTCGCCGCTCGAGGCTTTATTGCCTCAATCACAGCAATTCGCCTTCCAGCCTGCCAATACCTACGGCACAGTATCCTACTCCTACACTCCAGCGGTTTATTCAAACCCAATCCCGCCAGTCGACGACGACGTTCACTTACAGAACGCCCTGGGTAATTTCACTTTTGAATCAAGCCCGTCTCTATATACAGTCATTCCGTCCGTCACCGTGCAATCGCCATCAACTCAGTTGCCAGACTCGATCGTTTTCGACAGCAATCCATCGCACCCAAACCCAGGAACTCCCACGCCACTCGATGACAGCCAGAGTCCAAGCCAGGGTCTATCTTCAACAGATGAGATTCGGTGTGTCTGGGACAAGTGCAATAAGGTCTTTCCTTCCGTTCACGCATATAAGTGTGTCATCTCACCCCTGGTACTAACATTTACTAACATGGCTCAGTCAACATTCAAAGAATCACACGAAACCTTTTAAGTGTCACTTTTGTCAAGCCAGACATGATTCCAAACGCCATCGTGACCGGCATGTCAATGAACGACACCATAACACCGAAAGGTATTATTGTCGGGTCCCCACGTGTGGACGTTCACTGGCTGGAGGCGGAGAATATTTCCCTCGCGTAGAGAATTGCAGGAGGCATATGAAGGATGTCCATAGATTCTCGACAGAGGAGGCGAGATTCTGTGATATGGATGAGGAAACTCGTAGGGTGCGAGCGGGGAGGAGGGTTGGGAGACGGGTGGGAGGTTGAACTTCATTCTTTTGATACATGTCTAATACGAGTTTCTTTTGTTATCTAATGATATCTATTATATCTGTTCTTTGCATCCTATTTCCTTGCTTCTCAAACTACGAAGTGTTCCTTTTGGTTTTTTTTTGGGGTTTTTTTTTGATAGAACAAATCTGCTGCTAGCCGGTCTCCAAGAGCGAGGGCTTTCAAACTCCGATTCTCATCTGCCGAAGGCACAACGGCGGTGCTAAGCTCAGGCTGCACCCCCCAAAATTATTGGGCATCTCTGATGGGTATACTTTTTTCTTCCCAAAACCTGATTTCGCATAAAAGCTCCACCCTCGGATGCTTTGACTCTCAGCATTGGGTATAAACGTCATTAAATGCATCTCCAGGGCCTGATTTTCGAGTCGGGGCACACTCTGCATCACATCTACGGGCAAGGCTAGCACTCGGAGCAGCCGGACAAACAGCAAGTGCAACTCTATTCTCGATAAGGCTGCGGACACGGTTTTCTGAGAATCATCGGGGTGTAACCCGGCGATTCGATCTTCGATTTACCGTGACTTTCCAATCAAGCCTGGTGCTGCCTGTTTCGACGTTCGCCTTAGCCTAGCAGAGCGAACTTCATTAACGCCTTGACCACGCCGTAGATCCTTCTTGTGCGGCCAACCTCTCCTCGCAGACTCACAAAGTTTCCGTATCAACGAAACATCAACAAATTATTATTTTGGACATACTTCGCCACTGATGAACGCGTCCCACCGTCTCCGTTTCTTCTTGAGAGCTCAATACGGTCTGTGGTCACACTTCGGACCAACTTATCATGCCCTTGCCAGAATGCCTCTCTCCACCCGCAAAATATTCAGGCAATTCTCCATTTCGGATTGTTATACAGGAGATCCGGCAACTGGTCTTTTCAGGATAAGTGATGGCTTTGGTAAGAGGATTTGTGATATCAATGCGTGGACATTTGAGCCGAAGATGTTTGAGGATTTTCCCGACTTGTATAGGGTTGCGCCGGCGGCTAATAATATTCCGGTATGTGTGGGGGAGAGGAGGGGAAGAAGAGGAGGTGGATTGTTAGGGTTGAGGAAAGAGGCGATGAAGTGGGGGAGAGGGAGGGAACGGTGTGGAGTTGGGTGTTTATTCGAGGGGCTTGAAATGGCATAAGAATGCTGACAAGGGGAAGGAGGTTTTTTCCCATACTTTTTGGTAGGCGGGGTTGAGATAGGGATAAATACTGCGATACCCATTTGAAATGCTTTGACATTTTTGTTTGGAACACACCAACCCATTTATATCGCTTCTTCGGCATTTTATACGGTCGGCCCTGCGATATTGAACAGGCAGCAAGGCTTCGCTGATTTCCGGTGCTTCCGCTGGTTTGCAGCATATCAGAGGCAGCATATGCCTCGCTTGCCGGCCAAGGCTCGATCCATATTTAAGTCGTCAAAGGGAAAGCTTCCCTGGAGTTCAACCATTGCCATCATCTCCTTGGGACTGCATGGCTCGAAAAGCTGCCGCTTCTTCAAGAGACATATTCTCAGCGTACGTCTTGTCATCCATGAAGTTCTCCGGCAGGCTCTGAATCTTCAACATGATGGCATTGAAAACAGCCTGACTTTCCTCTTTGCCTTGCCTGTCCAGCACGCACGCAAGATTCGACAGGGCTCGCAGCGTGTGGTACCCATCCGGCGCCAGTTCCTGCCTAATTTCGAGCGTTTTGCGACAATGTGCTTCCCATTCGGCGTATTTCTGCTGCTCGGCCAGCGCAGCTTCGAGGTTATCGCGTATCGCCAGGATGGCTTCATCATGAGGTGGAAGCGTCTGTTCCTTCACGCCCAAAACTTGTCTGAACATTATTTCGGCCTCAAGATACTTCTGTGCCGAGTAGAAAGAATGGCCTAAGACTGTTGCGGTGAGGAGGGTTTCCTCGTGCGTTTTGCCGAGAATGGCGGCCCGCTGATGGAGCAATTTTAGAAGTATCGTTTCGGCTTCGTCGTGCTTCCCTTCCTTCCACCGCAGTCTGCCCATGTAGTGAAGAGCTCGAAGAGTGCTCGCATCCTCAGCTCCGAGAACTTGTGTCCGCCCGGTTATAACGGCCTGGAACATCAAATCTGCCTTGTCATACTGCTCTAACTCGACATAGGTGTTCCCGAGAATTTCCATCATGATGAGGACATCAAGCACTGACCTCGAAGCTAGCTCCTGCCTCGTTTCGAGTTCAGCCTCTACTAGCTCTCGAACGAGATCGTACCTTTTTTGCTCGGAGAGAGCTTGAGACAATGATATGATACACCATAGTGTCGTGGGGTGGTTCTTGCCGAGTATTCTGTAGCTCAGGGCTAGTTGTTCTCGTTGCAGGGCTTCGGATTCCTCGTATTTTCCCAGCACTCTGAGGAGAGTACTCATATTGTGATATGTGATAATGGTGCTTGGGTGCTCTTTGCCACACAGCACGGTTGTGACGTTCACCGAATGTCGGATGAGGTACTCGGCCCGAACAGAGTCGGGTGGTTTCAGGCTGAGAAGAACGATAGCCAGTTCGGTGGATGTGGCAGAGGTCTGTCTAGATTAGTTAGGGTACAAAGTGGTTAAGGTGCGGATAGGATCTCATCCAATAAATATACACACATCAGGGTGGTGCTCTCCAAGCACAATGTTGCGTTTAGTCAGGCACTTGTTGAGCAACACCGCAGCCTCATCGCACTTGCCCAACCTAAATAACGCCCATCCGAGAGTATGAAGACTAGTCAATCTGCACATTGTCAGTAACAATATTGTGTCTTCGGACATGGATTTTCTGACATGTCAGGGTGGTCCTCTGGCAAGCGGATTTCCCTGAGATGAAGAGTCTCTCTCCCCAGAGATTCTGATTCCTGCAAGTACTTAGGGAACAACGTATTTGAGAGTGCGGAGGCTAGAGCGTCGCTAGTCTCAAGCGTTTCCAGGTGGTTTGATCCCAATAGTTTTATCTGAGAGTCCTGAGATTTTCGAAACAATTGAATGGCAGCATCTGTGTGTCCCAGTTGGTTTATCACGGAAGCCAATCTGCATTCGACCATTAGAGCCTCGCTGGATTCGACTTCACCAATTTGTTCATATAAACTCCTGGCCTCTTCTAATTTCGTCTGGGCGAGAGTATAGTTCCCTCTCCCCTTCAGGTACCATGCGACGTGGGAGAGAAGTTTGGCGCGAGCAAAAATATCAGTTTTGTCCGAAACATTGAGGCTCCGGGGGAGGACAGACTCGGCATGGGGTAAGTATCGAGCACACTCTGCCCAATTTTCGAAGACGCCGTCCGGGAACTTGGAGGACACAAGTCCCAGCGCCTGTAGAGATATATCTCTTGTCAATTCTTCGCCTTGATCTCCGAGCCAACCGCGGGTCACGATCTGTACGAGTCGATGCATGTCGTACCCGCTTCCAGTTTCGTCCGGAGAAACAAAGGAGAAGGCCTCGAGCAATCCTATCGACTCATCGAAAGCTACCACATTTTCAAAAATACCACTGACGAGAGACGCAGGTATACTGTCTCGATCCATGAGACTCATCAATAATAGAAGACGAGCCGCCCGAGGGTTCTCAGCTTGGATAAAATTGAAGGAAACCAACCATGCGGTTGAAACTGATGAAGCCGCTTCGGTGTCAACAAACATGTGGTTGAGTAAGGTTATCGTTGATTGCTCGCTATCTCGAAATTGGCTGAGGTATTGAGGGATCGTCTTGTGTCTTTTGGTCATGAAAGAGGCGGCTTGTTTGATTGCCAAGGGCAAGTGGCCAAGTTCGGTAAGTAATGCGTCTTGTTCTTCTTGGGTACTGGTCCGACGTGTACTCTCGCCGAAGAGCAAGCGCGCTTCTGCAGCACCAAGAGAGGAAACAGTAATCGTATATTTTTCACCTACCAAGTCCACGGATACATCTCGATTTCGAGATGTGTAAAGGATCAAACCGTTTGCAACTTGTGGCCTTAGGGGGCAAGTCTTTTGTCAGCAATGGACAAAAAGTGAAAAATTGTTTATGATGAAGGTTTAATGTCTCGAGTTGTGAGATACGCAACGGTTGGAGTCCGACTGCTCATACGGCTCATTTAAAGCCTGGAAAGAAGGAGAACTTACAGGTATTCCAAGGCCGATTTCCCATTTTCAGTCTTGTCAAATATATGCGCATCATCTACGCTGTCGATTATCATGAGCCACGGCATTCGATACTGGCCCTCGAGCCAGTTTCGCACAAGTTGCAAAACATCCACCCTCGGGTCATCCCTTCCCGATAGCTGAAACTCTTCAGCAATGTTTGCATAAGACTTTTCAAATCTGGATATGTTGGATGCGTGTATCCAAAATATTGAAAACTTTGAGTGAAGTTCTTGTTGACGGTACGCATATTTCAGAGCGATTTGCGACTTTCTGTGGGAAGTTAGATGGAATCAAGACTTGGTATCAATTGGATACATTACCCAATGCCTCCTAGACCACACAAAGCAGCCTTTTTAATCGTTGTGGGACCAGTTTCGCCCCCCCTCGCGAAATGCTCGTCTAGTATCGTCATGATATCAAGACGGCCTAGAAAAGAAGGATTTGGAGCAAATGGAACAATAAAAGCGAGCTTTGATTCCACTGTATCAGTTAGGAAAAAAACGACTCATACTTTATTGCGGATATAAACGATTTGAGATGTCACTAAAGGGCGGGTGAAGGACATCAGGCCGGCTAATTCTTGAACCCACCCTCTGCGCTTGCGGGCGGTGTATATATGTTGCCGCTCTGTCGATTGTCACATGAAAGACATTTATGTAATGAAATCGCGTCTTACTAGCAGAGTTATCCATAGTTGACCGGTCAGAGAACAGCTGAAGCTCGTCTAGTCTTTTTAGGACCTCCTCCGAGTTTTTGACGACGTTCGTTTCGCCTTTCACATTGAGCGCGGTGACTCTATTGTGAACATGTCAGTAACTCTTGTCTCTCAAAGGCATTCAACTCACTCCAATCTTGCCTGCTGCTGCATAGTGATCAAGCCCATGATCCAATCCAAAGAAGTTCGAAGTTTTTCCAGCTTTTCTCTCCCACGGAGAGTCTTAAATGCTTTCCATCCCTTCTCAAGGCTTGACCGCTTCCACTTGAATGCTCGACCGCTTGTTGTCTTGTTAGGGATAACCTTGAGACCTTCAAGAAACAGACGCAACTCTTCAGCTTCATCTGAACAGATTTTTAGGGCCAGTTGCTCGTGGTCGAGTTTCGCCCTCCCAGACTCATTCATTTCTTTCATCGTTTTCAAGACTAGCTCTAAGTGGCTTGACAGAGTAACAACTTCTGCTGGTGCGCCAGCTGCCGCCGAGCATTCCTTGATGAGGCCACATAGCTTCCAGCCTGTATCGATGAATGCCACTACGTTGCTGACAACGCCAAAGGCCGCAATAGCCTCCATATGTCTAAGCTCGTGCGATGCTAGTCTTTCAAATACCTTCAAGCTTATATTCCACCTATTGTGAAAGGAGCAGGAAGAACAAGGCTGTTGCAATCATGTTCCAATCTTGATGCTGAGCTGGAGAAGTTGAGAATGCACACCAATTGAGTTGAGTGGCTAGATATCGACACAGGGAATGAAGTCTCTCAATAAGTTTCACTAGTAGAATAGAGACTACATTCGCTGATATCGAGACCGTTCAAATCTCACGCCTCCGGCGTGGCTGAGGAGTGAGGACGGGGTGGAGATCAGCTGAAAGATGAGTTATGTGTATGCTTTTCTTTTAGCCACGGTTGCGCCAACGCTCTGCAAACCATCGCGTAGCAGTTTCCGGTGCAGTTTGACGAAGTCCTCAACCGCCAAGATCGTATACCCGACAGGAGGAGGCTCACTGGTGGCCGCTCGAGCCGTACTATAAAGCTGAAGATGAGAAGATTGCGGGCGAGGAGCATCACGAAGAGTTCCTTGCTGAGTCAGCCCGCTTGCCACAATTTCCGAAGTTCCCCCGCCAGCCCCAGGCTTGGCTTCCCAAACACACCACTCGACCTTCCCTTCCATAAACGCCTCCAGTACTGTCTGTTGCAATCGCGTCCGCATCGCTCAATCCACAAATCCAGCTGTGAGGTGGAGGTCATGTCAATGTAGACTACTCCCCGAACCAACGATGCGCAAACTATGAACCATATTGGAGTCCGCCCTGACGGCATTGCGGATTTTGCCTTCGGGGCCTTGAAGTTGCATACTTATCTCTCATCTTGAGCAAGCCCTCTCCGAGAGGCTTCACCAGCGCCTCCCAAGATATTTAAAACACAGCAAGGCTTGGCTGACTTTTTGGTGCATTGATTGGGCTGCAGCACATCGGAGAGGCTTGACAAGTTCTCGCTTGCCAGCAAAGCAAACTTGTGTACCGTGATGCAGAAGTGGCAGTGCAGGGAGAAGGATCCCGATGGGAGGCCTCATCGCAAGTGCGACATTTAACAAGGCCCTCTCTCGTCAACCCCGAACTTCACAACTCATCACTTCGACCTTCAAATTTCTTCTCACCTTTCTGCATCAAGTTGCACAACACTCACAAAAGCCGCTTGGCGACCCTTAATTTCCCCAAGGCTTGCAACTTGCAAGCCTTGGTAGTGGAGCCTGAGAACCCTCGAACATCGGTTCGCAGACGTCCGCCTTGTGAGGGCGGGCTCTGCGAGATACAGTCCCGATAGCCTCTTCCCAGGCACCTGGTAAGTGAATATGGTCTCTCGTGTTTTGTTTGTATTTTATCTAATACCTAAAAGATAAAGAAATCAATCAAAAATACAATTGGTTCACTACATCAGGCAGCGGGATTGTGGATCATGGCGGGGGCCTATCTCACTCCCAGGGAAAATTATCTATTCTTCAAGAGGAATTCATCGACCCGAGATCACTGTCGTTAATCGAGAGCCCGGTTGCCAATTCCTCGGCCTGGACGACTCCGTACGGGACCGACGTTCAGATTGGTGTTTCCAATGCCGACTATGAAGCTTTCTTTTCGCCTCTTATCTCTGGTCTTTCGTTCGATTCACAGGACCAAAATCTTTCAAAATTTGGGCTTCCATCACTTTCCTCAACTCTCAGCGAGCCTTCCCCTGATTTTCAAGGCCAAAGTTGGTGGGAGAACGAGTTTTCTATTCCACAACCGTTGAACGGCTTCACGTTCGACACTACTCCCCATTTCGATCAATCACCAAGTATTAATTCGTGTTACACGCCCAGCACGCAAGGAGAAAGCCCTATCCGACCTGCTTCTCCATCTTTGGCTTCAGAGCACTCTCAAACTTCATCACCGTCAAGTGATCAGGACAAGATCTCACTCTCTCCATCTGCTGTCTCGATCTCATCCACAACCCGAATCGCCTGCACCTGGCCCGAATGCAACAAATCTTTCCCCACTCGCTCAAGCTACAAGTTCGTAAACCCCCACGTCCCTCTCCCCATACTAATCCCTCCAATCAGCAAACATTTTCTCAACCACTCCCGGCCCTTCCAATGTCACATTTGCCCTCTCAGACACGCTACAAAACGCCACCTCTCTCGACACATCAACGTGCATCTCACGACAGAGCGGCATTATTGCTCTGTTAACTGTTGCAAGAGACCGGCAGGTAGAGAAGGCAAAGGCTTTAGGGACGATAATTATAAGCGACATTTGATTCTTGTTCATGGGTTCTCGGACGAGGAGGCGAAGGCCAGTCTTGCGGGGCAGGAGAGTAGGAGGGGAAGAGAAAGATGGAGCCGGAAAGGGGGAGCCATAACTGAGGATGTATTTATTGTTTAGAGGCTAAGAACTTTTAAAGCTATTAATTGCTTTTATTATAGTTTTTTACTAGCTATTTAAGCTATTTTATTTGTTTTTATAATAATTATATTTTAGTTTTAGTTTTTCGAGTTCTTGTTTTATTTTAATTAGTTTTAAGGCTAATAATATAATTAAAGAATTTCTTAACTAAGTAATTCTTTTAATTTAAAGGGTTATTTTCTTTATTTTATGAATACTTTGATATATTTTTAAGAGAAGTAATAAATCTTGTATTTATTTAATAATTTAATATATAAAATGTCAAACTTCCTCTTATTTCCCCGGAAATACTTTATACTAAAGCTTAAATATTATAAAGTCTTAATATAAACTCTTTATTAAGCCGATTTCTAAGCTATAATTAGAATAATAATAATAATAATAATATTACTAGCTTAATTAAGAATATCTTAATAGTAGTTTACTCAGATCTATGCTAGCTTGTACTCTCTATAATAGGGTATTGAAATAAAGAATGATTGAGTACAAAACTTGTCGTTCGCTAGCCCGGATAGGCAGTTCCGCGATTGACGCCTTGCTTGGCAGACTGCGGCAAAATGCTACCCAATAACTTGCCGCCTTAATTTACTATTGGATGAACGACGCCAGGTGGCTTTACCTCGCCTCTTTCAGTTTCTTTTCTGCTGATTAGTGTGAGGGGTCGATGGTGCATGTTAAAAGAGGGGTTGTCGCCGGGCGGAAAAGACAATCCACCGCCAGCACTTCAGGTAACGACAACCTTGACCGGCTGCTCCCCTGGGGTCAACGTCTTAAGACACCAAGACGATCCAACCATGGTTCGTTAGCGCCATCTAAACCCAGACAATCTTTCTCAAGAAGCAAGGACTAAGAAAGTTGCTTACTGTACATTAGGCGCATCATGAAGGCTACGATGCACCAGAATTGCGAGTGTTTGACGGCCTTCATCCTATAGGTTCAGCGCAAGATGTTTATAAGTCTCATAAACCAGATGAAGCCACCAGCTGGGGAACTCCAGTGCAGAACCAGGGGATGGAAGCACCAAAGCCCAAGAAATGGAGGACTAGGCTAGTGATTGCAGGAGTGCTGGCCCTTGGGGTCATTCTTGGTGGTGCTATTATTGGCGGTGCTGTTGGCGGCACCGCAGCGGTCAGAAAGAAGACTGACGCCGTGACTACTGCCATGTACGTTCAGATGCGGGTTGAATGATTCCGTACTCACATGAGAGAAAACGACAGGGGAGTCAAGAGCTGACATCTCATTAGTGCTAGCTATTCTTCTACATCATCCTCGTCAACAGGCTCGCCAACATCCTCATCAACGATCTCTGTAGCTACTGGCACTCTAGGCGTTACGACTGACTGTCCCTCCTCAAATGGCACAACTCATGCACCATTAGCTACTATTGGTAGCCCTGGTAGTTACACCTTTGTTAAGCATTGTGGCTTCGACACAAGTGGTGGTTCAATACTTGCCGATGCATTCGTACCTTCCTTCAATGATTGCATAGATATGTGTTCAGACTTTAACTATGATGGGCAATCTGGCGCGGCTTGCTTTACTGTTACATTTAGAGTCGACCACACCCGCCCGGTAAATTGCTGGGCCAAAGGTTCAGGTACTTCACTCGTGCCTTCAACTGGTGCTGCTTCAGCGTTTAGGCAATAGCCATGTTGAGGTATGGCTTAGTTCTCGCGTACTCAACTTTTCGGAGAAGGAAAGCTTTAATTAGAAGCCAAAATTGTCAACTTTGCACTAGTGGAAGGCTTCGGAGAAGGACCGCGGCATTGCGGAGTTTCTGATAGAATGCGAATTTCGTTGCACTTCTTCATTTTATGACCAATTTGAGATACTAGCACTATGCTACCTCTCAGAGTTAAACTAAAGTCTTGTCCCATCGTATCTCACAGATGTTTAGGAGAAACCACGGGCCGAAAATGAGAAACGTAAGTTTGTATAATAATACCTGTCTTGCACTTCACGATAGCCTTATTAGTTCATTATTCTCTTGGGGCCTCAAGACGACAGACTTTTATGTAAACAAGTAATAAATACTATTGCTCTGTGGAAAATTATATAGCTCTATTGAGAGTAAAAGCTGCAAATGTCAGACAGAACAGCTTTCTTTCTGCAATATGAAATGTCTTATATACTCAGCTATAATTGCCGATTTCTTAAAGTCCAAAATTAATTTCGGTTTATTATAACTTTAGTTTAATTCTTAAAATACTATAATTACTAAAATTAATTTTAACTCTTAAATAAAATAAACGAAAGGTAATTGCTTATAAAGAGTACTATTAATATATAATAATAGCAAAATATATATATATAATATAGACTTTATATTAATTTTAGGTTTTTTTTATTATTTCTTGCTTATATTAGGCTTTCTTTATTACTTAGTATTTCAATTAATTATAATTTAGTTCTCTTAAAAAATATAAAGAAAAGCCTTATTTTATACTCTAGAATTATTAATCTTATTAGTATTTCTTATTTCTTATTTCAATTACTAATTTGCTATATTATTTATGATGCTTTCTTTACTACTTTTATTTATTTATATTCAATACTTCCTTTTTTATAATTTATGTCGTGGGGGTGCTCGCTTGTGGTTTGAGGATCGTCAAAATCGACAACACCAAGTATGGAGGTTGATGGTCATTTTGGCAGCGGAATTAAGCGAGTTGAATGGATTGGAGCGCAAGCGAGCTGGTTGGTGAGTGGGGAAAACGAAAATCTTGGGGAGATCGAAGGAAGAGGAGGATTCAAAGGGAAAAAAAGTGGGAGGAAAGTCTTTTATATGGGATCGAGGGAAATGTCATGTGAGGCAGCGCGAATGGCTTCTTTGAAGAGACGGAGGGGAATTGAGGCTAAACTTACCGCATTGGGATGTTACGGTGCTCAGAGTGAGCATTCGAGAGAAATGGATTGGATCTGGGAAAGTGAGGAGGACAGAAAGGGGGTGTTCGGTGATGAAATGACGGTGAAATGTGCTGAAGGTGGTTAGAATATTTGCAGTAAAGCATTCTGGGCTGTTATGTGTGCTGTAGTTTCCAGATATGGTGCTGCGGGAGGTGTTGAAAGGGTAGCTCCGCAGGGGAACCCGTAAGTTGGAGTAATAAAGTGTGCGGGAGCTACTAGCAAAACTGACAACATGACATGCAATGTCAATTCAATCAAAATTTTCAAGACCAAAACAAATGAAGGCTGACAATTAAGTCTATAAAGACTATCTAAGCTAGTCATGGTCCAGCTTGGAACTGTACATTTGCTGACACCCCATGGGGTAAGCCCGGCGTTTTCGACCTACACCTGCCCGCAACATCCCGTTTCTAATAATTCTGAGAGGGGCGGGAATTTCCACTGGCATGGTGGCTGATTCCAATCAAGCAGCGCAAATCAAGTTGGGTTCAAATTGTGATAATTCGTGCCTTCGCCAACCTATTTCGTTCTTCTAACCAGGTGCTGCGGTGCTTCATATCCGAGAGGGTTTCTTGTTTTGGTCACTTTCTGATTCGGGAACCAATGTATTTGGTCTTTGGTGTGGTAAGGTAACATCAATAATTGCTTTGCTGTCGACTTGAGGGGATGCGGACGGTAGCTCTTTGTTGACTTTCTCGGCTGCTGGAGGTGTATTCTCGCCAACTGCTGGGGTTGAAGGAGGCTCTCTCCACCCGCCTTCACTCTTCGTGGGGACCTCGGAAGATGCTGTTGATTGTCCTGAAGACAAATGATCCTTTGATTCCTCCTTTGTCATAATTGTCCCGCTTGGTATATCATCCAAACTCGCCGGAGCAGCTGAAGTTGAGATGTCGCTACTTGATGACTTTTCCAACTGAGTGATGACCCTCTCTTCATGATCCTTCGACATCCTCAACGCAGCATCAACCTCTCCAGTCAACTTCTCAATCTCAGCCTCCAGTATCTCGTCCTGTGACATAGCCTGTCTCTGCTCTCGTAATCTCGCAGCCTCTTTCTCCTTGACTTTCCCACCAACCTCCAGCCACATCGATTCGAGTTCATCTCTCCATCCTAACGCATCTGCCAGCTTTTTAACGCCTTCATCACAGTCTCCGAGGACCACCACATCGTCCGGTCGACTCCCAAAATCACCAACTATCTCTTTGTTAATCAGTACCCGCGGAATTGCTTCTGATGCAAACTGTGGCAAGCTCGCAAACGGCTGGACGCTCAAGCTAGTTCCCATCACGATCACCAAATCTGCCATCGCGGGAACATGTCTATTCTGAAAGAAAGCTTCTGGAAGTGCCTCGCCGAAGAATACAATATCTGGCTTTACGAGGCCGTTGCACTGCGGGACGGTGCAGTGCGGGACCTCGCCACCCTCGACAGCCTGTATCATCAAATTGTCAGGATACTCGGTCTTGCAGTCGATGCATCTCTGTGTCGCAAAGCTTCCGTGCGCCTCCACAATCTTGTCACCTGGCACGCCAGCCTTTCGCTCCAAGCAATCGATATTCTGAGTAAACAGCATCTGAAGCATAGACTTCTCGTTCAGCAAGGCGACGAACGAGTGCGCGATGGTGGGGTAGAATTTGCCAGGGTACAGCTCCTTCGCCAGCACATAGAACGGATCCGGATTTTGTCTGAAGTACGAAATATCAAATACCGCCTCCGCATATGGTAGATCGAGCCTTGCAAGGTTGGCATAGAGTCCCGTGTCAGGTGATCGAAAGTCTGGAATGCCGGCCGAGGTCGAGACTCCAGCTCCGGTCATCACCACGATTCGCTTTGGCCTTCCATCTTTGATGTACTCCGCGACTGCTTCGAGAGACCGTGCTGAGAGGGTTCGAGGAGGTGTGCTGGGATCGATCTGCTCGTGCGAGTTTTCCTGACCCATCTTGTCTCGTTTGGAGTGAAAGCCTTGCCGTTTGGAGTGGCGACGCCGGTGTTTTCGACCTATCTTGACAGTGGTGGAGTGATAGTGATCCTGTGGACGTTTGTAGTTACCCTGTCTCTTTTCAATTGAAGACGAGAGACGAGCCGGCGAGTGTCACAGCCCAAGTTCTTCCGTACTTGGTCGTGTGAGGAAGGTCAAGAAAAGCGAAAGAGGTTTAGATCAAGCGACATTCTTCGGGTGTGGCACAGGGCTCGTTTATCTTCGGCTCAGCCATAGTTAGTCACGTGCTGTGTGGAAAGGGGAGAGAAATGGTGGAATTAGGGGGGGCATTTGACCTGTTTCTACAGCCCAATATAAATCCAAATATTTACGCCTCCCTTTTATATCTCTAATTGCGGGTAACTTCTTTGGGTTGTCCTCTCCGGCCACCCAATCCCATCCATGGCCTTGTGAATCAAAAGGAGGCGTTTTCGCTTCCTAAGTCCCTTGGATTCTGCCCCTTCAAAATTCAACGTTCATCCGCTACAACAATCCATTAAGCTCTTGAAGCAACCTATTTTTGGGTCATTATTCCCAAGTTTATTTGCCACGGCTCAAGAATAGCAGTACAAGCTTCTCACGGAGCCAGACGGCATCCGCTGGATCGAACTCCAGCCTTCCTCCAATCCCGCAGCCGCGATTCGGTGCGGCCTGATCCACCGCACGCTATCATTAGAAGATCGACGAGATATCTTCAGCCATTATACCGCACTCTCTTATGTCTGGGGATGTCTCGATAAGGTGAAAACAATCGAGATTGACGCCGCGCCTTAGAAGATCACCGCCAACCTTTTCTCCGCTCTTCACGATCTGCATGATCGGAAAACTCATTCCTGCTATGGGCTGATGGAATTTGCATCAGTCAAGATAATAATGAAGAGAAGGGACTTCAAGTCAAATTAATGGGGAAAATCTATGACAGTGCAATGAACACTATCATCTACCTTGGCCCGACATATGATGAAATTAATGAATGTCAGTGTTTGAGATTAGCGAGACAAGAACAAACCCCATCGAAAGCCCAGTTGTGTTTGATCCTCAATAAAGAATGGTTCACTAGAGTCTAGGTAATCCAGGAGTTAGTCTTCGCTGCAAATCCTTAGGTTCCGACAGCAAGATTTGAGCCACATAGGAGGCTGTGTATACTGCAATGGTAAACACAAAGGCATATTCTCTCGTCATATACCAGAAACAGAGAATCAAAATTGTTTCTCGAATGTATCAAGCTTGGGACGGTCATCAGAGGTCCAAGATAGCGGCACATATTGAGGAGAGCCACCTGTTCAAGTTGAGTGAGTGCCAACCTTCTGAGAATTCTATGTTGGAGTTGGCAACGGCCAGGAGGGGTCTCTGCGTTTCTGATCCCCGAGATATGGTCTCTGCCCACGTTCGTTTTGCTTCCGATGGACAGGATAGAGACCTCAAAGTTGACTATTCCAAAACTTGTCAAGAAGTGTTCGTTGACTTCGCCCGATTCATCGCATACAAATATGGAGGGGGGTCCGTATTGGAATACATGGGGAATACACAGTCCCACCTATGTCGCAATGACTTGCCTTCGTGGGTTCCAGACTGGACTGTTTCTTTTCTCTCGCCAATCAACTCTCCAAAATAACGTCTGTTACTGGATCAACCATCTCTCAGCGCCTGTTTCGTACGCACACACGTCTTTTGATTGCTAGAAATTGCCAGCAACCATTACTAGTGTCAGTACTCAATATTCAAAGCTAGTATCTGTAAAAATTAGAAGTGTTTCGCAAAATGTAAATACTCAACAATTATCGCAATTATGCTGGTTTCAAAGTAATCTCCGGTGACTTTAAATCTTAAGGCTAATTTTTTTTTTTTTTGTAATTACTCTATATAATTATAGGGTACTATAGCCTAATATTTATTCCTCTCCTAAGGCGAAAGTTGCGAAATAGACCCTCAGATGTTTATCAGAGCCGGCGAAATTGCTGTCAAAATCTTCAACACAATCCTCAAATTTGTCAGCCCAGAGCCTCACTTTGCCAAAGTTCTAGCTGAAGTTGGACACCGAGAATCTCGATGCGACGGAAACCATGCCAAATTGTCAAAGGCTACCCTATGAGTTTGTCGGTGAAAGTTTTTCTGACAATTCTGATCCATTGTTGGCGTTTGATAATTACCTCTTGCTGGCTCTGCAATAGTGCCAGATGAGAGCATGATACAGAAACAACGTTTCTTGGGATTCATGGAATGAAAGATGCAATGCAGCATGAAATTTCCACAAAGAAAGAGCGTTGAGGAAGGGAGGGAAATGTCCGAATCAGCTCGGAAGAATAGTATTTTCCCAGTTCCGGATTCCACATTCAGCATTTCAAAGAATGTCATAAGAGATCAATCCAGAAACCGTTCGAATAATATGAAGTACCATAGAATAATCTGAATTTTGTCCTTGGCGATTTTCTGGTCAGGGCTCCCAAGGCATTGCAGTGATTGCTGCGAATGAGGTCCAACGCTGAGAGTGACTTTATGAGGTGGTGGCTGTGCAGCCGTGGACACCACCAACCGTCAAGATATCCGCCCAACGGGAATACTTCGTGGGAGATAGCCCAGACCAGCACGAAATAACAGCACTGCTAATTGCACAGTCATATAGCGTCCTCACTCAAGGAAGATTCCGTATTAGGAGGCTCCTCGGTTTTGATAACTCCTTCAGACTACAAGGCATATGCTTTGGTGGTGTGTGAACCCTGTCAACCCACTGCAGACAGCCATTTTAAACGGGGACAGCTAGAGTCGCAGATAGATTTTAGCATAAGGAATAAGTCGCTAGTTGTTCGCCAATTCCAGTCTTTTGCTAATGATAGCGATTAGTTGCAGATGAACACTGAGATTGTCAATACAGCGCGAGGCGAACAACTTCATGGACTGCTACCCAAAGTGCTTAGTAGCGTGTTGGTGAATGTCTGCGTGATAGTAGTTTATGAGGATCCGTTGAAATGTCTATTGTAGTTCTGAATTAGTGCAGGACCGGATAATGAACAAACGAAAACGTTCTACTCAATTGGGGGACCGAATAACGCAGTCTTCTAAATTTCAGTATTTCATCATAACCAAGAAACGTAACTTTGGGGCTAGCACGTATCAATTGACAAAGCTAATGATGGCATTTAAATGCATTAAATTGCCTCGGACCTCTGAAACTTGGCAAGTGCATGTTTAGAACGGAAGCCAATGTTTTGAGAGCCAGGATACTCTTGTGTGAGCAATTGCCCCAAAACAGTCGTGATGGGGAAGAAGCGATTCTGGAAGTGAGAGGTTGATTGCAATTCCGCCGGCCGTCAAATGGGACATGGGAAGGATGAGAAGGAGCGCTGGAGAAGCATAAGATAATGCGGAAGGATTCAGCATCTCACCCTCCTCTCTCGCCGCCCCCAGTCCGCTCTACGCCATCAACAGCTCACACTCTCCAACTCCAACTCCACTGCAGACCCTTGGCCAAATTTTGGCCTCTAGAGTCATTAAAATATCCTCATTCCCTTGTCGGGTTGGAGATTCTCCCGTTTTAATCCTTGAGTCGACCTTGGACCTCAATATATCCCGCCTTCACCACCTAGTGCAGCCCCCGCTTTTCCTCCACCGGTTCAAAAAAATAGAAACCCCTCTTCTGCAGATTCCATGTTGTATTGTTCCTCGCCCAAGTCTCCCTTCTCCGAGGATGTGCATCCATTTGAACAACGGTCCGCGCGGAACAGCAGCAGCCTCTCCATGTTCTCCGCATCCACGATACCAGATTGACAGATCTCTCCCAGATTCAGCCACAGCGAATGCAAGCCACAATAGGTGCAGTGTATTCGGTGGCCATTTCGTACACTAGCACGAGTGTTCTAGCCATTTTTAGGCCCTTTCATGCCCCAACTCTCTCAGGTTGCCCTTCTCTTGGCTTCCAACGACCATCCTGGGCCATGGTAGCTTGTTGAGCAGTGGCGAAGACCAATACCATCATTTCGGCATGTACCTCTCTCTTGGAAAGCTCTTCAATACCCGATTCCTTCAGGTGGTTCTCTCCTTGCTCTCCCTATAAATCGGCGATCGCCCACCTCTTCACCCATTTCCTTTCCCTCGACTGCTCCCAAACTACTCAATCTCTTGGATTTAGTGTTCCTCGTCTCACTTAGCCCTCAAATCAAAATTTCTCGTCAATTGCGATCCTGCAATGTCGCCCAGAACCAAAAATGGTGGTGTTGTCGATTTTGGTGAGGAGGAAGTTCGGGTGCAGCCACGCGACACCAGTAAGCGAGAAAATTTGGGTGTTCCTGCGCAACTTCGCGTCGCGTATTCTTGATGCGCAAATTGCGAGTTGGGATAACTAACATAACACAGGCTATGGCAATTAATTCACATTGGATTCAATTGTGGTCGATGGGTGGTGGTTGTGGGAACATTTTTGTGAGTTGGTGTTTTGACAACAGTTCGCTTGACCGAGGGTGTCTGGAACTGTGTTCCTGGTGTGGATTAGGCGAGACTAGCTCCCGCCGCTAGTGGCACGGACCACTATTTCTCCAAAATATTCCGAGCTCAAGTTGACATTCTTCGAGGCAGGTCATCGATATCTTCTTCCTGCCCACTGGGTGTCGAACATCTTGCTACGAATCGCCCGAGCTGTCGGTGATTGATTCTAACGTGCTCTGCGGCATTCCTCGCCCTTCATTTTGCCCTGTCTGTCTCTCTTGGTGGGCGCAATCATCTCTTGGAATCGAGTCGCTGTTTCTGCAAAAAGAAAAAAAAGGGGGGTGCAAATCGATCTTCTTATGCTGATGGGTCGTGGATTAATCTTATCGCGTCACGTTATTGTCATTGGATCACTTGATTTCCGTTTTTCCGCTGAGTAGCTGCGACGGTATGTTGTTTGGCATGTTGATTGGTTGCTGGACCGAACGTTAATTTACTTGGGCTTCTGTCTTACAATATCATTTATTAATGTTGTTTTAAGCAGCTGATTGGGTACATAAATCTCTTCTATTGACGTGAGCATCGTTTCAAAGCATTAAAGCTCCGCACAAGTGTGTGGATTGTCGAGACTCCCGTCCTCTTCGAGGCGCGTCGACACTAGTTGGCATCCTCTTTAAGCCCACTTTTTCCAAAGAGTAGATTTTCACCCATATCGTGCCAGCCATAAACCGCAAGGACTTCTTGGATCTATTCTAACGTGCCGATCACCTCGAGTCAGCAGGCCTCACAACTCGGGACTTAGGGATGATTTCTGATGGACCGATCCATGGCCCAAATCATATTTCAACTACCTCGCGCCCAATATTTTTTCTTCTAAAAACCATTCACTCTCCTTCACACCAAAACCGAAAAGTTGAAATATTCCACAAGCATGATATTCTCCCCAGAAACATCCCGCCGAAGTCATTCTCAGCGCCTTCGCATTGTTCAAACACACCTCCATTTCAATCAATGAACTCTTCCCAGTTCTCGATAACCCCCTTCAATCGAATCCTTGCGTCGCATTCTCCGCCGAAATTAATCTCTTCCAACCTTCAGCCACGTTTACCACAATTGGTAAGGACCGGGCATTCTCTGTTGAAGTGAAGTGTATGACTGAATCAATTCAAATCCCGATCTTGCAACTCAAGTGGGCGAAATATGGTGTGGCAGGAAATTATAATAAGATTCTACTTGCTTGGTATTGATTGAATTCTTTCACATTTGGGCTTGCGTACTTCTTGAAGGGATGGTACCTACAATTGGTCTCCACATGGGGCATTCCGAGCTTGTTTGTGTTGAACCAGCTGTAAAGGCAGTTTTCAAAACTAGGGATGAGCACACTGTATGCGTGGAGTGGATGCAATGTTAGTATCCGGAAATTTTGCATGTTGTGTTTGTAGATCGATGATGGATGCATTGACGGAACGTTCTTGTCAAGTCTTAATCTACTGATGCGAACGAAACCTCATAACTCCTCTCCACTTTTGGTCTATTCATTTCTAAACTTAACGTTAGATTGTTCATTTAGACCATCCATTGTACAGCAGTATGAAACTCCCACTCACATTATATATTCTTACAGTAACTGACCCGTTACGAAATAATCATGACTCTGCAGATCCACCTAACAGGTTCAAACTGGGTCATCTTCCATAAACTGCCAGGTGAAATTAGCATCTGAAAACATCTGGGGAATAGCTTTCGACATACAAGGATCTTGGGGATGTGGCTTGGGATATGGCACATGAGGTGGTGGGCGCTGCGGCTCTGCCATCGTTTTTCGTTTACGTTTCGGGCGTGTCGATGAGATTGTACCGACTTTGCATCAGAGTTCACGATTCTCAGAAGACAATAAACCGAATGTGGACGTGCTCAATTGCATTCTATCAGTCTCAACAACCAAGCTGCGGGTCCTTTAAGATACTTTTCACTTTTCCTCTCTGCAATTGCCCTCGACAAGGGCCGTTCGTTCCGTTGATACAGATCTCCTTGTCCTTGCGCTCCCTGCACAATTACATTCACCCCAAACTTCTCCTATTATTCCTGTTCTCAAACACGGGACGGATCTTGTATCTCAAAAAGGAATATTCTGGGAAAGCATAGCCCAATAAGAACGCATTTATGAGGGAAATCTGCTCGAAGGATGCGGACATTGTGTTCAGCCAGCTCGCAAGGTAGTCACACCTCGGTGTCATTGCTGCATATCACATCTCGTAAAAAGAAGACACCGAAGCATCAGCATCCGGCTTTAGTTGGTCCCGGCACGATGGCTCGTTAAACTCTTTTCGATCAGATAGGCGTATGTTTCCAGCGACCCACACTGTCAATTTATCAAAACTCCGAGACCCACATGTAGGCTTCCGGTAAACTGGTAAGGTGGACCTTGTTCCTGCATAACATGCATCGACTTGGCATTTGGAGCTCGATTCTTGGAGAACTCCGAGGGCGGAAAATCTGATATACCCTGCTGTGTTATCAGTAAATCTGACATACCCTCTCCACCCGCCGCATTAAGCTGGCCAATTAGTCAATGGGAATTCTAAAGCCATTAACGTCCCTATTAACTTCGCTATTGACGTCGCTATCGCTGTCGCCATCGCCCCCTAAAGTACCCTGAATACCCTCAACTCTGCAACTTTTTAGCGAGGATATCGCGATTTTAATTTAATCGCGATCTATATATATTATAGACTTTATATACTTCCATGCATTACTCATTTATTTCATTTTCACGATTTAAATATACTGTTAATGAGATTTTTATTAAAGTTCTATCCCTTCGTCCGGTGAGACATGGTCCGTACTAGCAAGGGGGCCTGGCTCAGGGCGAAAAGACGTACCTTTGCTTAGAAACTTATTAGTCATAAATCGCCTTTTTGCACTGAGCCAGGCCCCCTTGCTAGTACGGACCATGTCTCACCGGACGAAGGGATAGATTTTGAGGATTGGGAATAGCGAGGTTGCAGCCTTAAGTGTTGCCTGGCAGCGAGGGAAGCACTGTAACTACAGGGCCTTGCAGGCTTTCTGGGCCCAAATATAGCGCACAGGCCCTATGAATATTGCTAAACTTACTCTTCCTACAGGCTGTGGAGCCTGTAAGGTTCATTCCATTGACTAATTGGCCAGCTTAATGCGGCGGGTGGAGAGGGTATGTCAGATTTACTGATAACATAGTAGGGTATATCAGATTTTCCGCCAACCCCGAGGAGGTTGAAGGACCCACCCCACTTTCCCGCCAACCTTATCTATACGACGTCAGCATGCCTCCCTTTTCAAGACCCACCCGAGCAAAGAATCGTCTAAATTGGCCAGCTCTGGAGAAACGCCAGCCACATTCTTTAACCCCGAAGTTTCGTGGGGTCCAAAATTTCCCAACAGGGAGGGGGTTCGGCGTCATTTCGCTGTCCACATCCGGCCAATTTTGCGGCCTGCATCAGCATATATGTGCCTTATTCCTGGCAGAGCAAGGATACCAAATCAACCGCACCCCCTACCCGCACCCCTTAGCCGCCCTTCAAGAAAGAGAAATCCTCCGCGAAGCAGCAAATCACCACCCCCTCGTACCGATCCCAAGGACTCGGGCGCTTGTGCTGACAAAAGCTTCCGAGGGCAGGGTTCCTGGGCTTGTGACTTCGGTAAGTAAGTCAGAAGGTTCGGGGGGCAGAAGCGGAATAATGGCGGGGGTTGAGCAAGGTGCAGCATCTGATAAGGGGGAGGGTGGCTAATTGTTTGTGGTACCGTACTTGAGGAAAGGGGCGGTGAGCTGATGCTTATCTTACGTGATAATTAGTTGAGGGATGGAGGATGTGATTGGGTGGTCTTTTGAACTTTTGGAGATTATTGGAAATGGATATCGAGATTGAAGGAGGGCGTTTGCAGAAGAGGCTGATGGTGACAAGAGAAAACTAGCTGTTGATGAGAGTATCTCGGGTTGAAATTTTGATGCATGACTGGTGCTTCGTTTCCCTGGCGCTCGAAAGATAATAGTGGAGGAATTCTTTTTCAAATTTAGCCCAACTGCAAAAGGGTCCTGTTCATTCTAGACATTACGGTTACATGCCATGACGCAGGCGATGCTTGCTTGTCCCTTTCCCATGCAGGCAACTCTATCTACAAATACAATCAGAGAAAGTCAAAACACTAACTTCCCCTTTCTACACCTACACACCACTATCAATCTGATCCACAACATCCGCATTGGTATACTTCACCCAATCCGTACACGTCTGCTTCATCACCATTGGAATATTCTTATCCTTCCCAATATCCGCCGGCCGCTCCATGAAGTTCGCGTACAAGCCCCCACTTACATGCCAGGCAATATGGCAATGGAACGGCCAGACACCAGGATTGTCAAGGTCATACTGCATGACGAAGTGCCCGTTTGCGCGCACGAGCTGCACGTCGCGGCGTTGAGGATTGTTGGCATTGACGATCGTGCTGCCGTCCCAGTTTCCGTCGCCTTCGGAAAGGATTTGCATATTGTGTCCGTGAAGGTGCATAGGATGTGAGGCGGGAGAGGGGTTATTGACCACGACGCGCACAGTGGTGTTGGTGCCGAAGTTCTTTACATTCCATTCATCGGGGAAAGTGAGGTTTCCTTGTTCGGCAAGCAGGAGGACGGGATCATTGTAGTCGACACGGGCAGAGGTGCCGTCTAGACGCCAGAGGAAATTGTCTGTTGCGTTAATAATGTAATCGATGACCATCGTCCTCGTTGTCGAAGGGGTGGCTGCTGAGATGGGAAAGTAGGGAACGGTGAGGGAGAGGTTGTCGTTTGCACAAGTTCCTGGGTCAGGAACGTTCCATGCTATGCTAGTCGGGGCTTTGGTAGTGTCGGCTTTGTCATAGTAGATTGCTGCGAGGGCATTGGGTTGGTTGGCTTTGGAGCAAGCGGTCGAGATGTTGGAGCGCATCCACCAGGCGGATTGGGAGTTGCCTGCGGTTGCCGTGACTAACACGTCAGTTCGCTGACCGATTCCAAGCGTCACGACTTCGGTTGTGTATGGTTCCTATGGATTGTCAGCCTTTGGGCAGAGAGCTGGACGAATGAAGACTTGCGATTGGTACAAAGTCATTGGCAATGACTGTCATGTTGTGGCCATCAATACTGAATCGTTGAAGGCCCTCAGATCCAGCATTGATCAATCTCAGTCTGTGGGTCTTCCCAGTGGTGAATTTGAATTTCGAGATTCCAGCGCCATCTGTGCACGGAGTGGGATCCCCAGCGGCCACGGTGGAGCAATCGAAGTTCATCTTTCCGTTTATGAGGTTGTTGTCGGATGCTGGTCTTGGGTTCCCGCCAGACTGCAATGGCTTCATAATTTCCTCCACAAGCTTAAAGTACTCCGTATGATACCAGTCAGTGAGGAAGACGGGGCCGAGATCAATATCGTAGTTTGCATTTTTCGGGCCGTGAACGATCAGAGGCCCAAGTAGTCCGCCTACAGATCGTGTCAGAGCAATGGTCGAGTAGGAATTCAGGAGACCACTCACCAGAGTATTGAGCCGAGTAATGAGAATGATACCAAGTAGTTCCGTACAAACTGGCCCTGAACTGGTATGTGAAAGATGATCTAGGCGCAATCGGGCACTGTCCCACCGAAGGCACGCCGTCAAACCACGGAGTCTCCTTCTGAAGGAAACCATGCCAATGCAAGGCAGTCCCTTCTTCTGGTCCCGTAATCTGGTTGTTTACTGTGACTTGTATGACATCTCCCCAGTTTGCCTCAATCGCTGGTCCTGGGAATTGACCATTAATTAATATTACGTCTCTTTGATAGCCATCGGGTGCTATGGACCCTCGACTTATTGTGAAGTTATAACTTCGAATTACCCCGGTGTTGGGAGCCTGTGTGTAGGGGTCACTCCCAGCTGCCGTAAGGAGACCCCATGGAAACCCGCTTGGTAAGGGGTTATTGGTAAGGAAAAATGGGAATGTTGGGGCTGAGAGAGTTCCCCACAAAGATGCACTATTTCAATGTCAGTCTCGAATTCGTGCCCGGAAGACGAACTTGGGGAAACGAGGTTGGGTAGGCGTAGACGATTTATTGCTCACCCATTAGTTTGTTGTTGCGTCAAGGCACCGACTGTGCCAAGAGCAGTGGTGACAACGTTGCCCATGCTGGGCCAAAGAAAACGAAAGAGTGTAAATGAATGAACGAGTGTAAATGAACGAAGGAGCGTCAAGGAACGAATGAGAGTCCAGGAATGAACGAGAGTCGACGAGTAAACACAGTAGGAGCCTCGGTAGCTGAGCAAGATTGAGAAAGAATGGGCAGGTACCAGAATAAATAACTATTGTCAGAACTGTGGAAGATCTTGGGTAGAGATAAGATTTCATGCAGATCCATGGACGGGAAGCTCGAGCTGTCAAGCCTCTGGCGCCGCACCCGGTCAACAATCGGGATCCATGGCGCCAATAGTCCTACTTAGTGTGTATTCTAAGACGGGACGTAGGGCCTCAAAGGGGCCCAAGGCTCTCCGTAAGAGATATTGTGGGGCGACTCAAGATTAGACATGGCGACTTGGCATGAAAGCTCTTGACATCACTACCAAATTGACTTCTACCGTTGACTGAATTGTATCCCACTGAAGACAGTGATTGCCTTGTAGCAAAAAATCATACATGAGGGAAAAGTTCTTGACTTCGCAATTTCCACAGCATCTCGAGACCTGGTTGAGTCAGGTGATGAACCTGTGCCCAAAATGGAAGAGATCTGCTAGCAGCGGAGACACAAGCCGCGACGTCGAATCAAACATATTACCTTCACCGTTCTCATCACGTCTGACCCCTTGAACGGTTCCCATTTCCGCCAACGTCGATCGTCATGTATTTGGATTGAGGCTGAGTGAGACATACATATGATATGTCTCACAACCAAGTTGGGACCGCCCTGACTTTAAGATGGAGAATAGCACCTCTTCACAGGAAGCACGTACCGACCAGGTCTCGTCGCTAGACTGATTCCTACTGAATAACTCAAAGTCGCCAGATTACCATTTTCGCACGACGAAAAGGACAAGCTTTTGCCCCTTGTGGCGTTGAGCTATTCATGTTGGTGCCAAGCCCGATTAAGCGTGGACCACCTCCCGCCCCCTATCCTTAAAAAAGCGCCTACGGACTTCCGAATCACTCTTTCTTGTACTACGGTACGGGCGCTAGTGAAATGACCCCCTGGGTTGATTCTACGGAGATAGGGTCGATCCCGCGTCGCATAGCGCGCGGTTAGCTGGTGTAACTACATATCGCTTTCTACACACCCGTGGGATGTATATCAATATATATTCCCACCCCGTCACCCTGTCGCATTTCTCTTTGCTGTAATGAATTATAATGTATCCTACAAATCCTGCTAATATCTACTCGCTAATAAAGCTCGAATTACCCCTAATAATAGCACTTCCTACCCGGTTTAACAAAAATTGCATCGCGTCATAGGTATACCTAATATATTTAGAGATTTTAGGGCTAAAATACAGGCTTGGGGTGCCTTTGGCATAACTCGCCTAAGCTTTACTAAATCGAGATTTTAATCGACCCAGGGGGAGGAGGGTGGAGGGGTGGAGATCACTTCCCTAATTCCCCTACGGTACGCACGGATTTTCCCCACGAGTACAGTAAGTCCTGCGATGATCTTGAGGCAATGTTGATCCCGTCGTCAGGTACGCCTGCATTCTCACAAAACTCTTCCATGGGCCATCTCAGCACTTTGTGCCAGGGCTGCTGTTCAAAAGACCAAGCCTATCCCCTGCATGTCAATGCAGAATGGGGGCTGCAGTGTCTCCCACAGTGGAAGACACTGCAGGAGACTGTGGGAGACACTGCAGGAGTGCGTTGGGACAGAGATGGGAAATTCCCGACCTGTTGGTCTCGGCCCGAAAATGCACAATATGGTTGGGTGGGGACAGATCTTCTGCCCCTGAATTTCCTGCCGTCAGTGCAGCGTTTCAACCGAAGGAGAGCCGCGATCAAGCTCTGAGACAATGCGTCGTGGACCGTGGTGCTCGGAACAAGCCTTCAAGCACCCCTGAGCTGACTTCGTATCCAGAGATGTCAGATGTTCTTGACAGCGCTTTTTACTAGGCCTAGAGTGTGCTAGGTTAAAGTCCGAACCGATTGACAAACTTTTGAAGAAAGAAGGGATAGACGAATTTATTTAATTTATGTAAATAATATTGGTCGAAGCTAATAATAAATGCATAATATTTAAATAGAATTCATGGTGTTTATGCAACATTAATCCAAAAACAGTGGAAGAACAGAGATTGGATTAAATACTTAATTGATATTAAGAGAAGTTCAGATAATTGTGCGAAATTCTGTCCTCACGTGACAGTAAACCTAGTGGTTTTATTAGTTCGGTGCAGGCTCTAGCCTATTTGGGAAGGACACCTATAAATAGCCCTATTTATTATATATTATTGGTGTAAACCCCATAAACTTATCGATAACATTATTGGTCTTCTAAAATCCTTACATATGTCACCCCTACTAGAAGAGTGAAGCCAGCAACACTTATGTTTGGAGATATTATCCCCCAAGGATAATTGCTAGATGCCTCCACTGCCCCCCAGCTTTCGATGAGGCACGATTTCTGAATGGTTCGAGTCCTAGTCAGCCATCTTGCACTGGGCAAAATTGGTCTGTGTATTGATCCAAGGGTACAGGTAGAAGGTTCAAGAAGGCTGTCTGCCCTGGCAGTGACTCTCAGCCAGCTTGAAAGGCACTTTCTCGGCGGACGAAGGGATAGCAATTATTCTTGGGTGGGGGGGGATAGTAACAGATGCGATTCAAGCGCAGCCGAGACATGCGAGATAAACGAGACGATGATGTATCTGGCGAGTCTGGCCTCCATGTGACTTCCGACCAGTAATCGAGCAAGGTCAGCCCTGAATGCTTGGTGAAGTTGAGTAAACACCAACCCTGCGGCCATCGGCGATATATCCGGAGTCTGGCGTGTGGGGAGGAGCGGGACGAACTAGATATTGAAGGTCTTAATAGGTTGAGCTCCGGGATTTGGCTTGAAAGTTGAAGCAAGAGTGCGCCTGGGGCAATCCGGGGCTGAAGAACATGGACTTCTTGGTTCGTATTGTCAAACAACGAAAAATAAGAAGAGAACTCAAAGGCTGAAGACTGTCCGATCTTATCAACCTATTCAGATCCGTTGTTTGGGTGTGCTCGCGGCTTGTCAATGCGACTATCATAAGTAGTGACCTCATTTCGTATTCAGCGCTAAATTCTACAGTCGGTCCGATCCAAAAGCGACAAAAAAAAATAAAAACCACCACAATACTAATTGATATAAATCGTATTAATTAAAACTATACTATATACTATAGGAATTAATTCTATGTTCTCAAAATTATAATATCTTTATTATTAAGGAAGTTATAATGCACGTGATTAAGCGAGCAAATATTTTTGCGTTTTATATAGTCGTTTTTTTACTTTGGTTATTACGTGACTGCCCCCCTTAGTTAACCGCTCTTCTATAATTATATTAATATCTTAATAACCACAAACCCAATTCAGTGCCCCTTTTATATACTTCCAATAGCTACCTCTGTGAGCCTTCAGAAACGCAAGCGAGCTAATTCGACTCTTGATTCAATTACAGTTCTTACCATAGCTAAAGAAGCTACAATCCAAGCATCTATTAACGAACGGCATGGGAAACCCTCTAATATAGAGGACGATTCTAATAAATCAGATATTAAACAAAACAATGAAGTAAAGCTTGAAGATTCGACTCTCTTTTGGGCTCAGCGAAAGCTTATTATTAGTAGTAATAAGACGATTATTTTAGAGAAGCCTACATTCGCATAGCGAGAGCAAAGACTCACAGAGCAGGCTAGTAAGTTTCTTATCTTATTTTATTATAATATAAGTATACTAATATTATTTCTAGCTTCCAGAGGCTCGTATATTCCCAAATTAATAAAGGAATTAGCAAAGCTATTAAGAACTCAATAAAAACATACACATAATTAGAGAGCAAAAAATACTCAAGTCACAGAGCAATCTAGTAGGCTTAAGACCCCTATAATCATACCATCTTTTAAATAAAAGAAGCTATAATTCGACATTATTAGGAGGTTAATTAATATTCCTAGGAATATGCAATTAAGGAAAGAGCAAAGGCTTAAAGATAAAGACAATGGAATAAACGAGCTACTTTTGGATGCCCTTATTAGAAACGCTTGCGGAGATAACAAAGCTCTAGATATACGAATGACTTACCAAGAAGTCCTTAATAATGTGGATATTAAGCTAGCTCAAACCAAAGAGCTATATACTCCACGTATAATCGCTGACTTATACTTACTCCGGCAATATACCCAATAGCTTCTAAAGCTAGGGCAATATTGACTTGGAAGGGTTAATGCATTGCTCTTAGTAGCTTCTAGTAATCACCGCTTGAACGATAGAAAGATATTAGCTCGGCGAATTAGGGGGCTATTTAATTACTATTGACAGTGGCATGGCATTCCCCAAGAAACTAGGGGTGGTAAAAGAGAGGGTGCCTCTTATCTGGATAACGAGGATATTTTTTTAGCCTGCCATACTTGGTTAATTAATTAAGAGCTTGGAATAATATTACTAAACGATTTCCTAAATACCATTAATCAGGAGATTTTACCTCGATTATTATTAATAATGGAAAAGCCTATCGCCCGCAGTACAGCTTACTTATGGCTCCCTAGGCTCGGCTTTTATCGCCATAAGACTAAGAAAGGGCTTTATATGGATAGACACGAACGCCCTAATATAATTAAGTATTATTAAGAGGTATTTTTACCCTTAATAAAGAAGCTTTTATCATATATAGTTTAATACGAGGAGGATAAAGCTAGTACGTGGCATATGATTTAATCTTTACTTCTAATTAGAGTTCAGGTACACGTAATGTACTTCCACGATAAGAGCTATTTCCATGGATTTGACTATAAAAAGAGCCTCTAGCTAGCAGATAATCAGTAAAAAATGCCCGGAAAGAGTAAAGGGAGGCTAATTCACGATTCTGAATTTATAGGCCCTAAGGGGCGTATTAGGGTACCAAATAATAAAGGCATTTTTATCCCGGATAATCCTAATTTGGATGCCCGTTAAATTATATATCCAGGCTCAAATAGGGACCCCTGGTAGGATACAAAATAGCTACTAGTACAGATTACTAGGACGCTTAATATATTTAAACAGAAGCACCTAAACTATATAGCTGTTCTAATATTTGATTAGTCTTCTGCACACGCTTCGCATAGCAAAGGTGCACTAAACGCCTTTGGTATAAATAAGGGATTAGGGGGGGTTAAAAAGGGTAATATTAAGGCCTATAGAAGGGATACGTACTTTCTACCAGAGTATATGATTCCGGGGTTACAGGGCACTATTCAAGTCCTTTGGCAACTTAATTCGAATGGAGAAAGAGAGCCTAAGGGCGTGGAATAGATTCTCATTAAGCGAGGTTGCAATATCCCTGGCTTAAGATTTAAGTATCTAAAGGGTACTAAGTGTACTGCACCCCTTAAATACCCTCCCGCTATCGAACAAACGTATTATTTAGCTCGTATACTATTGAATTACCAAGACTTCTTTAAAGAGAAGTCCCAAGTTAAAGAGCTTATTACAGATCGGGGACATAAGGCTATATTTTTACCAAAGTTCCACTGCGAAATTAACCTAATTGAGATATACTAGGGGTATAGCAAAACTCGATATCGTCAAGTAAAGAAGACTAGCTTCCCAGATACCAAGATTAAGGTAGTAGAGGCACTTGAAGCTTATTTAATTAAGACTATACGGAGGTTTTGCAACCGTACGTTCCGCTAGATGGATGCATATCGGAAGGGATTAAGTATTAAACAAGCTGCTTGGTGTATACGGAAGCAAAAACGCCATAGAACGATATCTAAAAAGGTAATGGATAAATGGGATAATATGCAAAAGTAAGGGAAAGAAGGTAGCTAAGTAATAAGTAAGGTTTATGGATTTAGTTCGGCCAAAAATTAGCTTAAAACCTGTATAATTAGGGACCTACTATATATATAATATATATAGTACCAGAAAAAGCTATATTTAGTATTTAGGAAGGCTTACTTGAGCTTATAGGGCTTAATTATTATTATTATATTAATAATAAGGCTAGTGAGATGCCGCGATCTCCCCCTAAAGCCCGGGCTCACGTGACCTTAGCGAGCAAATATTTTTGCGTTTTGTATGGGGAAAAATCAAAAAAGTAAAAAGGGTCCGTGCACTTTAAGCCTCGATTATTAATGAACTACAAATTATATTAAAAATCTAATTAATAGGTATTTTTCGCCTGGTTCTATTCTATAATCGCATCACTTAGTATAAATTAATTAGGGTTGTGGTTAAAAAGTTATTATGGGCGTAAAAGAGCGACCGTTTTGTCGCTTTTGGATCGGACCGACTGTACTGCCAGCTTTGACGTGAAGCTAGCTGGAGAAAGAAGTTTCTCTAGGCCTGCGTCAGGTACCACGGGTCATCTGTTATGTGGCGTTTTCTGGAAAGCTCCAAGCCAAGGAGGTCTCGTTGAGAAGTCTGAGATGGGTTATCGGACCAGTGCTTGAGAATTGAGATCAAAACAGAGGCTTGGCAATGTGTTATCCTCGCAAAATGCTGGTGTAAAGTGATCTTCGCTGGTTCCTATTACATGTGACTTATCGCTGACTTCGGGGCTCTAGTTTATTCCGTGGAAAGTTGTCTGCCGAATGGTTGATGTTCCTTGGCCCTGCCGGCCTCCGAGACGGCTTCGTGCAATCTTGCACAGATATGTGGGATCATACTAGACGGCGATCTGCACCTTGATTCGCTATCTGGCCGACTTTTTGGACTGTCACTTCTCCACCAGTCCCCACTGTACAAGCTGCTAGTACTGTACAGAGACACCCTCATCAGAAAGGCTCGCTTCTGGCCATGACTTCCATCTTGCCTTTCAAGAGATTTCCATGCATCTGTGAAGGGCATGAGTGTATGCCATTATTGACATGATACATAAGGTTGTGAACTCAAAAATCTGATGGGAGTCAAAAACATACCACACACCGCCACTCGCCACTCCCTGGTAAGCTTTGGTTGGAAAGAGAGGGGTCTGAAAAAAGGGGCTTGATCAAATGGATTGCCCGACGGACATCAGGTCATTTGGTCTCGTTGGTGCTGGTCCTAAGAAATGGTGAGAGGCTTCCATGTGAAAAAGGATAGGTGTGAAGGAGGTAAGCCCCAAGTATGCAGATTCGAATCCAGACCAGCAAAGGGTAAAAGGGAAACAGAAAAAACCCAGGGGTTCCCGCCATGAATGTCCTAGACCATGGAACTCGAGAATCTATCAGGGATTCAGACAGTGCACAGAGCAGAGCGGCATTGTTGATTCCTTCACGAGGCATCCTCGACCAAATAAAACAGGTATCTCCCATTTTTAGTCTCCTTTTCTCAACGAATATCAACAGTCGTGTGGCAGTTCTGAGCTCACTCTTGGTTCCTGGGCTGAGGCCTGTGAGACTCATGAGCTTTCATTTCATCCCTTTTCTTGCGAGACCAATTCGAGGCCGGACTTCTCGCCCGGAGGTTGACAAGGACTGAAATTTTTGACACTTGAAACCCAGCACATTTCGAAGTTACTACCAGTATTTGGGGGAAACAACACCACAAGGTTATGCGGCAGTAAAACAAGAGAATGGGTATTTGCTTGCTGTTTTGGTACAAGGACGAATCTTCCCAAGAGGTCTTTGAGACACTTGAAGGAATGATCCTTATGCGGAGACATCTCTGTTGAATCTCCTGATAAAATCCAGGATTTGGACATGCCCCAAATAACGCCGATGTGCCAGATGCAAAGCAACCGGCCTGACCACCCTTTCCTTTGTTTCTTTTTTTGTGCATTTGATTTATTCGTTCCTCGATGATCTGTATGCATGTCGTGGCATTATTATCGGGCGTCGCCGGGATCGAGCAAAAGCTTCTGCTGCTTGTTGTGAGACCGTGTCTGTTCTTATAATGCTTCCAATTGACATGAAGAACCTAGAAGTAAAAGAGCATTAGCGCTCCGTCGCAGATCGTCAATTCTCTCGAGAGAATACGTACCCAAAGGTTGCTCCAGACCCAAGCATAAATTGTCCGAGTGTTCGCATCACACCGTTTGGCCCTGCTCCGTGCCTCATGATATTGACTGAGCCTTGAGGAAAATGAGAAGGTTATTCGAAGGAAGTGGAGTGTGGGCAATGTACCGAATATAAACCCAATAATAACACCGACAGCTACAGAGAGACGTGTCAGCATTTAAATTGGGCTTTTGATCAGCCAGTTTGAACTTACTGCTCCCCATCATAGCGCCCATCTTCCCTGTGAAAGTGGTAAGTAGCTTTTTTGCCTCCATCCTGACCAATGGCAGAAGAGCGGACGATACGTACACTTGTCAAAGGTGGATGGACCACCCATACCTGCTCCCACGGGTACTGGCATTGTGAAAAGATTTGCTGTTGATGGAAACAGAAGTTGATCGATCCACGAGACAAGATAAAGAGGCACCTTAAAGGAGCTTCAACATTTCGTGGTGTTCGGCAACTTACTGGTGCACGGACCATATTAGCTATATCCATCACGTGAGTGGCCAACATCTACAAACCAGGAAGGGGAGATCGGCCAGCAAAGAAATCTCCAAGGCTCTCCTGTCGCTCACTATAGGAGCTCTTTCAACCACGTTTTTGATATGGCAATACAGTTCACGTGGTGCTGAGAGTGTGCCCCATCCCGATCTCGCAAGCTGATAGGTCCTCTGGACTCGCGTGCGTCTCACGACCCGTACCGATCTCCAAACTTTCCCAAGTTGGTGACTTCAGCACCCGAAAGACATATCTCCCACCACGAACAATTGGCTTTTAGTGCCTCTAAGACACACATGTGAGTCTCCTGAATCATAACATTTCCTGGGAGACCAACACAAGCTCGTGCTGGAGAGGTCGCAAGTCTCTGCAGGCCTTGCCGCCTCATCGTCATGGCACCAACCACTTGAACACCACAGCTGACAGCGTCCAACAACAGAGTCCGATACCGAGCCGCATACTTAAAACCCATCACAAAGGAGGATACTGTCTGTTTGTTGGATCTTAGCCCCCTTGCTGGAGGATTCAAGTGAAGCGCCCAGGTCGTGGTGTTGAGGTGTATGGGGAGGTCAGGACACATGAGCATTACACAACCCTTCGCCAACTGTGTCATCCCCCATACATCTCCTTCTAGAGGAACACCTCACGACATTGCAGATGACGGCTGTTGCGAATCCTCCGAGTTTCCAGCAAACCAGTCGGTCGGCATGGAGTGCTAATGTTAGCCAAGGAGGTCTGAATGCCATGAACGCCGACGAAGTCGCCCGAATGTTCATGCCACGGAAAAGCGCTCAACGCGCCAACTCATCCTCATCTATATCCTCAAACTCCTCTACCTCTTCGACAACTACAATTCCTTCGCCAGCTCCTCAACTAAATGGCGTTCCAATGCAACCTTCGAACGACCTCAGCACGTGGGGAACCGCTGCAGCAAGGAAGAAGACCCAGAGAGCAGGGCCATGGCCAACAAGCAAAGCGGAGGCGTTGTCTGGCGTGTCAGGAGCGCGACCATCGTCGACATTGACCACAAATGGTGGGCCCAGTGCGACTTCGATGACAGCGGCCTCGCCGATTGTGCCCTCACAACACCTCCTCCAGAGCCCCACACAACAAATAAATGGAAACCGACCTGCTACTCAACCTGTCGGCGAGGGAAATCCCGTTCTGTATCTTCTCTCTATGAATGGAACCTTTGAACGGAAAACGATATCTGTGCCCTTCTATCCCGATAGCCTACGAATTGGACGACAAACAAATGCAAAGACTGTTCCTACCCCCGCAAATGGGTTCTTCGACTCGAAGGTTCTGTCGAGGCAGCATGCAGAGATATGGGCTGATAGAAATGGTAAAATTTGGATCCGGGATGTCAAGTCTTCCAATGGCACGTTCGTCAACGGTGCTAGACTTTCTGCTGAAAATCGAGATTCGGAACCACACGAGCTTCAAACTCAGGACCATCTGGAGCTTGGTATCGACATTGTGAGCGAAGACCAAAAGACGGTAGTTCATCACAAGGTAGCCGCAAAAGTTGAGCACGCAGGATTTCTAGGAGCAACGAACAATGTCATGGATATGAATTTCGGCGATCTAGATCCAGCCAACGGAGCCATGATGTTGCCTTCCCAAGGCTCTCTACAAATGAGGGGTAGAGCAGGAAGCCAGGGGTCAGTAGGTAGTAATGGTCGATTGGGACCTCCGACCAGTGTGGCAGGAAGTCAAATGAGTGTCATCAGCCAGCAGAGACCATTGAACTTCTGGCTAACCCCAGTAACGACAGAACAGATTGTGAAAAGGCTCGCGGTAAGTCGCCGTCTCGCTGGTCTACTATACAGACTAACATCATTAAGCATGAAATGAGAGCCGCAAGGTTACAATCGAACGACCTAGGACGCACTGACACGTTTTTTGGATCGTTACTTTCGAAGGAGGATATAAAAGAGAATGACAAGGCCCCTGCCGTCGAGGCCGCAAAAGCTACACAAGTGAATGGGACGTCACTCCCATTCCGAACCGACCCCAAACCTCGCTTCTCGGACCCCCCCGCGCCCCCTCCTCAACAACCTCTTCCGGAGAAGCCCGATGTTGCACGTACACATAACTTCGAGCCTTCTTCTCCTTCCCTCAAACGAACAAACACCGAACGACCCCGATCCGTACCAAATGAATCCCCTGTTCGCCAAGAGCCGACAAGTCAGATCCTCACTCTGGTCGAGGCTTTGGCATCTGCCAAGAAGGAGATAGATATTCAGAGCGCTCGAATGAAGGATCTCGAAGAAATGCTACAAAAAGAGCGGCAGGCACGAGAATTGGCGGAGGAGGCAGCAAAACGGCTAGAGTTATTACAATCCGAGCCCAAGACAAACGGCCACGTCAAGAGCGTCGATGAAGGATCGATTGTTGAAGACGCGTTTGAACCCCCGGTGGAAGTTGTTGAGAAGGCCGGACCAGAGTCATCCGAGCCAGCTCTCGATGAAAAGGCTGTTGATTCGAAAGTCGTTAGCGAGTCTACACTACTACTTGAGAAGCGGCTGGAGGCTATGCTTGGTGATATGCAAGAACTGAGAAATCAAATGGAGGCTTTCAAGCAAAGGGCTGAGACTGCTGAATCGGAACGGGACGAGGAGCGAAAGGAACGAAAGACTTTGGCAGAGATGGTAGAGAAGATCAGGCAGAAAGAGTCAGCGAAACAATCATCCCCGACTGAAAGAGCAAGGTCGCCAGCTGGCAAAGTAATAGCTGCGGAGCACCTACTCAACGGCAAAGGCGACTCCCTGCATGCAACTCTGGGCCCTCTTCTTGAAAAAGCTGGGCTCACAAATGGGAGTCCTGTTAGCTCGGACGAGAAGGAGTTGGGACGCTCTGCTGTGGGCACTTTATCGAGACCACCCGGCGGTCCTTCGCCCTTACTATATAACACCACGCCTTACGCCTCGATGTTGGGAGTTGTGCTGATAGGTATGGGGGTAATGGCATACTTAAATGGTTGGCAGCCGCCGAAGGTGGATCGATAAAGAAGTTTCAATAATCAACATTTCGACACTCGTTCTTCTCAAAAGTTGACACAGGCCTTCGAGCCCAGGCACAGGTTTCGTTTGTCGTTTCCTTTCGACGATGTAGTAGCTTTTGCATGAGGCGTTTGCGGGCATGGTTGCGCATACCGATGGGGTTTGGGATTGCATTTACTTGACCATTTGGGTCGTTCTTGTTTCTTTTATTACGGTGATGACAAGATGAGATGAGGTGGGGATGCGTTAGGAAAGAGATTGATGATCTTCTCGAGCACGCTTGAGAGATACATTCGTGTCAGATTATGTTCTACAGGATAACGAATCGAAAGGTTCAATTTGGCAGTGGTTCCCGCTGCTTCTTCAAAGCTCACTGACCCGCCCCGGCGTCGGGCTTTACTGTGACGACCACCATTATAAAGCGTTGTACAGTGCCATTGAAAATCTTGCAGTCCCGGTTATCTCAATGCCAGCATATATTTCGTCTCTATTATCTGCATCCGTAGAGTATTTGCACCCGGCGTGGTGGCCGGCCATCCAAGTACCGTAATCACATGTGTGGGTGGGTTACTTGATTGGCCGAGGCCAAAAGGCCAACATTCCCGATCTCACCTCTGGCAGCCGTCCAGATTGGGCGCACACCGATGGGCGCTCCCCGCGATTTCTCTCTCCGAGTGTCTGAGCGTGCAGCCCCCAAATGAGAATCCAAACCTCCCAAGCTTCGTCTCATCTCATAATGCTCTCAAACCAGCACGGTGTGTGAATGTGAATGCCATCCACTTGCCATCTGACACCAAAGCCACGTCTTCAACAGCGACAGCGCTATGAGTCGTAATCATCTCAGCCTGAGGAAGCACAGAGCCGCCAGTGAGTCGTGATGGACACCATGAGCCAATCCGAAGGAAGGCTGGGAGAGGATGCACAACTCGACGGCTACAGACCTCAATCGATATCGTTTGCACCTCCACAGACACTGATCAGCTATGGAACCCAATTCATGGCTCAGAGCTGGCCGCCGCAGCCGTCTTCGATGTGGAATGAGATCTATTCCTCTCAGTTCAACTGGCAAGCCGCTGCCTCCGCCACAGCGATCTTGACACAGGAAGGTGTCTTATATACCTCAGAGGATCCGGATCTGGGGAGTCCTCAATACAAATACGAATCCGCTGCAAGCCTCGATGCTGCGCCTACTTACTCTCAGCCGTATGCCCAGCCGATCAACCAGCAGCTATCCTCCGAGTTCCGAACCCCCCGCCCTTCCCAGACCCCGCAAATTGAAACTCAGCCACTCTATACTAACATTCCTACCTCCGATGGAATCGACTACTCTTATCCATATGCGTACGGTACTGATCTACGTCCACCAATGTCTTTCGATGCGGCTTGGCTACCCATCGGAAACGAGAGGGGCCGAAGTATCCATGTTGCATCGGACCCTTTGCCAGATCTGAAAGCTCCTGAAACATCCTCAAAGGGGTTGGTCCTGGATTGGTCGACCAGTGATCAAATAGCTGGACCTCCTACTACTATCAACAACTCTTCTTACCAGGCCATAATACCAAAACGAAAACACACCTCCCCCGAGCCAGCGCCCAGGAAGGAATCGACTTCGACCCAGGGCGAACTCGACGAATTCGTCGTTATCTTTGAGAACGCTCCTGGTGCGTTGGCATCTGTTAAGCGGAGACGGAAGTTGGATGCTCCTGTCAGGAAAGCTGCAAGAGATGTCCGGAAGGCGGGTGCTTGTCATCAATGCCGATTTCGCAAACGGACTGTAAGTCAACTTAGCATCGAGAGGGGGCAATAGCTTACAGGATCATATAGTGCTCAACAGGTACACCATGCAATTCTTGTCTAAAGAATGGCAATGGGCTTCATGATCTTAAATGCCAAAGGGAAAGCCCATTCGTTGGGAAACCTATGCATCAATGTAAGGCCCCCACTCTTGTCTCAATCTCACTCTGACAGTTACAGATTTTGAATATTCGTCCAAAAGACGTGTGGTCTCATTTGACCTTCGCATTAACACAAAGTCTTTGAAATCTTTTGAAGAAGAGATGGTCACTATCGATGGCGTCGGACGCCTCTCGCATCCGATCCAGCTCCGTACCCGGCGGAAGGCTCTGAAAGATTTCAAAACAGCCGAACGGGAAATCATTAATCGCACTCGAGATTCAAAGAAGCTTGTCAAAGCTCAAGATGATGAGCTCGAAGATGTCTTGATTCTCGAGGATGAAGCAACGTTCGGAACGCAGGTCGAGCAATGGGCCTTGGAATACTCGTCCAAATTTGTTCACGCAGCTGGCCCAGAGTTCGCTTCCACAACCGCAGCAGTAATTCTAGGCACAGCCTACGTGAACAAAGGTCTTCCCGAAGTAAACCACACCGGTCCTTACACAAACAACAAAATATTTCTAACAATCCCTAGTCCACCCTAATAGCAGCCATGGTCCGCGTCGCCTCCCTGGCATTCATTCTCCGCGCCGGCGTAAAATGCACCCCCACAACTAATACCTCCAAATTCTCCTCCTACCGCACGATCCAAGCAACAATCGACACAATCCTCTACGAGCGTCTCAAAATCGCGGAAAGAGATCTATTCCGAATGCTGCAGCGGCTCGTCTTCCGCTCTGCGGGGTATCTGAATAGAGAGCAGGTGTACCCCGTTGCTTTGGTACTCTGGCAGCTTTTGAGAATTCTATGTATCGGAGCTTCTCACCTTTCCAACCTCGTGCAGAGATTTAGGATAAAAGGTACTTTGCCCTTAATTTTCCCCAGCTTACTTCCTCCTTTCCAATCAGCTAATACCTCCGCACCCAGCCTGCGAACAAGCAGACTACCAATTCCACGCCCTCAAGCTCGTCCTCTCCACACACCTCGCACTCTTTCGCTCCTCCAACCCGCTCCTCCTCGATTTCAACGACAAACTACACCAAGACCTGCTAGGTGGCGATCAGGAGTTGATAAAGCTGGCGATCAAGATGCGCAAGGTGGTGGTAAGCTTTAGGGAGAAAGGGTTTACGGATATGAAGGGGAGTATTGCGTATCGCAAGGAGTATTTTGATCTTTTTCGACGGGTATATGATGGGTTGTAAGTTCAGGTTGGCCTTGTTAGAGGCAGGAGGCTTTGTTTTCTTTGGTGTTGGTGGTGGGAGCTAGGGGTTGGATTGTTCGCTTGTACGATGTGGTGGGTTTGGGCGTAAAACGGAACGGATATGCGTGTGGACAGGATGTAAGTTGATTAATGGATCATGTATTTGTGGGATCTCGTCCCTAAAATGGGGTAGTAATACATAGGCGTCAAGGAAAAGCGGGTTCAGGTTTTACACTCTCTTTTTCCTCAGTTTCTTTAAATATCCTTCCTTATCAACCACCCTTCGCTTGGAGACATATTGTTTTTGTTTATTTGCCGCTTTCACAGGGCAACACCATCTTCTACCACTCGAGTGAGCACAGCTGCTGTGGCGCTCTGCATGCTACCTCATCGTCGTGGGAATGCACGACTTTCTCAGCTTCGTGTAGCCACCTGCCTTCAGTGGAAAGGTATTTTGCGATTTCTATTCTGGCAGCAAAGGTCTGGCACTACGGTAGCAGTCATTTTCGTATACCCTAGACCGCTTCCAGCCCATGCTTATCCTTCAGATGCCATCTCCAATTATCCTTACTTGAAAAGCATACCTTATCTCCTCCTATCGTTTGTGAATATTTGCAGCTTTCAACAGTGCAGATGTATCTTGTTGTGCTCGAGTGAGCGGAGTTAACGTATCGTTCTAGCTATACCACGTTGCCGAAACTCTTGTTGCAGGTTTGGCATTGGTGGGTTCTTTGGTGGTAGCGAATGTGGTGCCTTCGTTCGGTCAGCCAATATAGAAGGGGGTGGGAAAGGGGAATGACTTGAGCTTATATTGCTTGTCAAATATTCTGGCGCAGCTCGACACTGGGAATTGGGTTTGATGCCTCGGGACCTAGACTCTGCTTTGGGCTCGGTGGCTAGGGGGAGATCAGGTTGTGGTTGAGTTGGCTCTTGAATGCTTTGGGAATCATCCCCTTTAGGGTCTACTGCTGCAATCTCGTCTGAGAGTGGTGGAACTGCCAATGCAGTATTTCCTGTTGAGCATCAATGCTCAATTCAAAATCGTAGCAACCAAGCAACGATGGACCCATGACTTGCCCTGTCTTACACACTGAGGAGGTGGCGGAAATAGCTTATGCCAACCTTGGTCATCTTGGATAGAGGTTCTCGCAGATGCCAAAAGACTGACAACAGTCCTCCGGGCTTGTCTCGAAGAGTTGTCGAGTTCCAAATCCGTCGGCCTCCATATATCGCCCGGGCCGTATGTAGGAAGCTCTTGGGCCCACAGGGTAGGGCTTCCTTCTCCTATTTCCCCTCGATCAATCTCCTCTCGTCCTAGTGTTGCAGAGTATAGTCGTAGCTGAGGTATCAGCTCTCTATTGCCATATTGCTGGAACCAACAATATACGATACACCCGACAAGTACAAGGCCAAAGGCAATGCCAATACCCAGTCGGGTGATCGCCCCAGGCTTTTTGATTGTGTCCTAAGAACGAGGAGAGAGAGGTTTCTCACTTAGGCCTCGAGAAGAGGGATTTTGTCTAACATCGTCTTCCAAAATCAAACCCCAAAAGGTGAGTGATGTCAGTAGTACAGCTACCAGCCATCTGAGAGCTCGTTTGATGAAGAATTGCGCCAATCTCGTTGAGAAGAGATGAATTTTCAAGGGCGTATGATGGAGGTAGCCGGCTGAGACCATTTTAGCGTGTTCGAACAAAAGTTCTTGACCTATACAATACTCTACGGTATATTGAGAGAAGGTTGATTCTTTCATGATCATCACTAGGAATCGCGCGAGGTACAGTAGTGTAAGGGCCTGTTTCGTACGGATGCACGTCTTTTGATTGCTAGCAACTGCTAGCAACATTACTAGCGTTCAATACTCAATATTCAAAGCTAGTATCCGCATAATTTAGAAGCGTTTCGCAAAATGTAAAAACTCAATAACCATTGCAATTACAGAGGTTTTAGAGTGATCTCTAGCAGTCTTAAATCTTATTGTTTACTTTTCTTTAGTAATTACTCCTTATAATTATAAAATATTATAGCCTAATATTTATTCCTCTTTTAAAGTAAAAGTAATTAATTTATTAATTACTTTATTATAGCTTTCTTATTAAGAAAGAATTTAAAATAAAGATTATATAAAAAATATAATACTTATAATACTTATAAAATAACTAAAATATTATACTTTAAGAAGCGTTATAAAGGTAATTAGAGAGAAGTAACAAGGGACTATGAAGCATTACACCAGTTGAAAAGTGTATTAGGAAACTATGCCGCGTGTGTACTAATAGAAATCAGACAAACGTTTCATCGACTTCCCCCGCATAACCGTCTCTCGATTTTCTTCATTGCCCGCCCATTTTCTGAGAACATTGAGAATACTTCCCACTCTGAATTGAGTGAGGCCTAACTATCCAGTTGCCCCAGATTCTCGCATGCGCGAAGAACAGCCCTTTCCTTTCGAGGTAGTCGTTCCTCCTACTAAAGAGAGGCCATCCCATTATCATAGTCATGGTCTATAATCCCAAAGCTGTCCTACGTTCATAGATCCTCGAGCGACTTTTGTCGTCATCGAGAATCTTTTGCTCATAATCTCATTTAATTTCGCAAGTTCTCTCTTACCTACTCGTCCTTTGAGAGCATGGACAACTTCCCAATGTTCTCTATCCGCAGCCCATTCCAATGGTGTATGGCCTCTGATATCCTGCTGGTCCAAAATTGCACCATCATCTATAAGCATTTTGACAATTTCCACATGGCCATTTCTAGCAGCCCAATGAAGTGCCGACCAGCCGTCATATTCGAATTTGTTTGGATCCGCGCCTGCATCGAGCAGTATCTTGACACATGCCGTGCTGCCCATTTCCGAGGCCCATATCAAAGGCGTGTCATTCATAGTAGAAACTGCGCGTATAACTCTCCGATCTTGTGAGATATAAAATCCGACGAGCCAGGGAAAATTGAAGTAGGCTGCGAGGTGAATGGGGTGTTGGTGAAGAGGTACGGCGGAACTCCCTCGGTGGTTGATGAAGTAGGTAAGTTGCATGATACTGTCTCTGCGCTCTTCCAAGGCAAGAAGTGTGAGGGCCAGCTGGAACAAGGTCGCGGAAGGTGAGCCTACGGCTCGGAGGTGGGAAGCCCACCCTTCGATTGCGTAGCACAGGAACGGATGGCGGCGGAGAAAATCTCCTACTGTAGACTTGTAGTCCGAACCCCAGTTGCTTGAAAGCCGCCGTCGAAGAAGTTCTGTGAGGTCTTCATTTTTGACTAGATACTGCACACATATTTCTGCCAGATGTGCATCCACCTCCATGGTACTCATTGCTAGTCCTGCCACGTCCTCAAAATCCGCAGTTTCTGTATATGCCTCAAGAAAACCTCGTGCTGTTTGATGAACCAAGTTGATTTCTCCCCGTGGGCCGTCGAATCGTACGAAGGACCCGCATAGAAAGTTTACGTCCCCTGCGAAGTCGTAGCAACGAGGAACTCCAGTTTCTAGGCACAATGCCACTTCCAGTTCAGCAAGAGTAAGACCACGTCTCGCAAACAGCAGCCAACGAAAAATTCTCCACATATCCTTTTTCCGAGTTGGCGGGGTATTACGGAGAATTGCTTCGTAGGTGTTGAGAAGTGTCAAAGGAATGCTCGACAACTTGGCTGTGATTACCTCCTCAGTCAAGCGTTCATCTCGACGTTCTAGATCTTGGATTATCAAGACTACCCAGAGAAACATTCCATGAGAATTTTCTTCCAAAAAATCGATAATTCTTTGGCTCGCTTCCTTATCCAGATGGCGGCGGCGAGAAAAGTCTTTAATCCGATTATTTATGAGCGTGTGCATATCAGTCGCCGTATCTAAAGCAGTCATCTCAATAGTGCGGAAGCACGATAAGCTATCGAAGATGTTTCCGTCCGGTCTACTCGTGATGGCAAATTTGAGCGATGGTCTTGAGGTCTTCGGCATCGCTGAAAGTTTACCGTTATTAACCAGCTCTCGCAACCAGTCCAGAAGCAGTCGTTGAGACTCCGGTTCGCATTCGTCCAGTGCATCCAGGATAACGTAGACTTCTAAGTCGATTGGAATACGCTCAAGCATATTTCCAATCATAGTCAATAGATTCTCCCATGACCACTCGAAATTACCTTTGGTGGACAAGAACTCATATCGGCCCAAGACAATCGGAAGGACATCTGGGACTTGACATGCTAGCTGGCTGACAATTGTTCTTAAGGCACCGGTTGCTGTCCCTTCAGCTTCCACGTTGGACTTGTGGAAGAAAAAGTATAGTATCACTGGCTTCAGGTTGTTGTTGTTGGAGGACCGAGATGACGGGTTTGCCTGGACCTTTTGGGTAATGTGGGATGCTAGTGTCGTTTTGCCACAACCAACCCTTGCTGTGATCCAAAGTAAGTCCGCTTCGTTGTTTTCAAGCCAGGAAATATATTTCGGATTTTTCAGAATCCATTCCCCAGCTTGTTTAGAGCGATTCAGCATTTGCGATAAAAATGCGCTTTGGTCAATCGCACTGAGACTCCTTAGGCAGACATCAGTCTTTTCTGACATCGATGCATCTTTTGTTTGAGGCTCTCGATATTGATCCTACGAGGATTAGTGTCGTCATTTATGAGGCTCGTTCAAATTTCGAGCATGCAGATAATATACTTTTCCTATTGTGAGATATTCAAAGGCCGTTCGAAGGCGTGGCAATTCATCGTTCACGTTTTGGGCGACTTTCTCCAAGTCACGACGCATAATCTCAAGGCGGCTATCAATATCGTATAGTAGCGTCCTGTATCTAAATTAATTCCAATCCTTCTCATGTGAAAAATGTTTTACTTACGAGTCAATCCTAGTAATGCATAGAGTGAGCGCATACGGTACTGCGTGTATCGTCGAGAAAATTGAGAATCCGGCGACTGCTCCAGTCACTGATTAGTGATGAGGAATCGATGTTTTGGGATTAAGGAAGGAGGGCCGGGTTGTGGAAAGAAATTTGTGAGGCACCGCCGAGGAAACACCTTTCTCATGAAGCCACAATAATGTGCTGTGCTGACCAAGTACGGGAGGTTTAAATGACGGAAGTATCTGCTAAGGTAATATTTTTTATTGCGACTGAATTTGTTTTGAGGTATTTGGAGTCGTCTTTTGGGCCGGATATGGGTATTTCCACTTTCCTTCCTCCTAGGCACAACACTTCAAAAGCTCCACCTCTTCTCGAGAGTATGATTTAATTTCATTGAGCTTTTCCGTAAAGCCAGCAATCTCAAGGAGTTTTTTTTTTTTTTTTTTGTTTTTTTGGTTGCTAATACTTCATTGCAATTGCAAATATTGCTCCCGAAATTTACCTCGCATTCGAATACGAGGACGAGACATATATTGTCATGGAATATGTCCATGGACAAACTCCTGCGGAGTTATTGCGAGACCGTTCCAATAAAGCGGATTGGATCTATGACCTAGTGGCAAAAGCAGTTACCCATCTCATAGCAATTCCCGTTCCTGGCGACGCACACCCTGGACCAGCTGGAAGTGGGTACATTCACCACCGGTTCCTCCGAGACAACGACGCACCGACAGAGTACGCCTCAATCGATGAGTTGCAGCACTATATCAATAAGGTAGTACCAAGGGAAATTCTGCTCCCTCCCCTCTTCTGTTCCTTGCCATATTATGATCGTCATGCTTATGATTTGCAAGGTTCTCGCCATTAGAGGCTCAGAAAGTAGATTTTTCCAACGAGCAACTGTGCTTTTGTTACTCCGACATTTGGGAGCATAATTTTGTCATCACCGAGGCTCGTGAGATATATGTGTTAGACTTCGGAGATGCAACATTCCTACCAACAAGCTTCATGAGCCTTGTTCTACAAAATCCGGGGGATTTCTCCTTTCAAAGATATCATCCAGGATTTCTTTCCCAGAGTCGCCGAACCTCAATGCAATGCGCCCGGGCCTCTTATGTTCTTAAGATTGCTTCTAGTAGCAGGATTAGTAAGCAAATTCTAGATAAATATGTTGCAAGAAACTGACAACCGCATTTTACAGGTCTTTAATATTTCCGATTCGTGGGTGCCTTTCAAGATCCTTGGACAGGGAGAATATACTAGTTCCTTGGTCGCATTCGCTTTCGGTTCGATAGTGCTGAGATGGGGTTCAGGCGGGCATGACGGGAAATTCAAAGGGCTTCCTAACAACAATCAAACGCTACGCAATGCCACTGTCTGTGGGACGGTTTGCTACCTACTAACGTGCTACTATTTGGTACTTGTACTCCCCACTTCCTATGTATCTAGCTTCGATTTGGGCGAGGGCCAAGGTCGTGAAAGGGAAGCCCGCTAAGGAGGACATCATCAAGAAGATTAAGAAACTCAATGGCATGCAGCGAAATGCGACCGATCATAGTAACATTATTCCAGTATCAGCAAAGACAGCTCACAGTCCTTCTCGATGAGCTCGCAGCAAAGAAAAGGACCGTTTCTCTGAGTGGTCACTTGTTCAACCCCATTGCGTGAAGAAGCCGTTCTATTTGAAATGTACACCGGTTCAAGTCGATGCCGTCGCAAAACCTGCCAACTCAAAGCCTTCAGGAGGCAAGCAATTGTTCGATACCATTTCCATGACTGCTTTCGCCATGCGAGAACCTCTCAAGGATATCGATCCTCCATACTCTGGAGCAATATCGAGGACATGAAGCTTCGTCCCCCTCCCCCTCCCCCTCCCCTAAGAGTCGAGGACAGACTCCTGAATTCGTTGGAGCTCGTTCTTTTCCTCCACCGATTTCTCCGCTTGGTTCTTTGAGAGGTCCATAACCGCCTCCACTGCCCACACCACTGCTTCCACAACCTCACGATCATCGAGAGCCAACGGACACAGGGCGCAAGAGAAATCAGGATTACGATAGTTCGGATGGATTCTCATCTAGTTACCGGTTTCTTGACTCTGAGAGTGACTTCTTTTCTAATGAAGCCAACCCCTGCACGGATTCCGCTAGAAAAACCCAAGCACTATTATTCCAGAGGAAACACCCAAAGCAGGGCTGTCAGTTTGTCATGCACGTGATTCTCCCTCCCCTTTTTGGATTAGCGCAGCTGTAGACGCATATAAACCCTCTGTTGAACCGCACTTCTTGTACTTTAGACATCTCAATCTATATCAACTTTACCTTCATATTTGGAAGCCGAATTATATTCCAAATACTGTCTTGTTCATGCAATTGTCAGAAAGGGGGCTTAAAAGCCTGTCAATTCGAATTTCCATTGGATTGTTGTTCCGATCTTTTATTACCGAAGAGAGTAACATGTTTAGCTGCTCCAAATATCGTTCTTGTTCATATCGCCCTTAAAACGCTATCGACTAATAGAGACATGGTCTGACCTCCATTATATCCCTGCATTTGAGTTGAGCCTATCGCATTTGCCTGAGGCCCTGTAAGTGTAGGTAATTTTCGATGCCTGATTCCCAAAACTGAAGCCTAACGCGGCGGCCGCTCCTTGTACTTTACAACCTCCCACTTTAAGCTAGAACCCCACTAACCCTAATTCTGGAGCCTATCTCAACAACATTACGAAAGGTTCTAATCTCACTACGAGGGCAGCAGAATCACGATACACAAGGCCGCCGCTCGCGTCCCCAGAGATTTTTACTATAATCCTCTTTCATACAACAGGGCGTGCATCCACCGACGTTCAGATCCAATCCCACATTCCGTCCTTGGACAATTATCCTATGCTCCAAAGATGGAAACAAGTATTAAAGACAACGTAGGCCCGCCTAAGCTAGTACTAAAAGTTCTCACGCAGCATTTGCCGTACTCCCTCCCTACTTTGAGAAGATTACAGTTCATGGAGACCCCTGGAGGATGTAAGACATCACATTCACATATCTTATCTACATTCGACACGGAAGCTCCCAGTAAGGACTTTCTCATTGCCTTTTTGGATTTCTCTAGGGGTCCAGACACAGAAATGTGGCTCTATTCATCCCTCGAGAATCCAGCGACTCCTGGTGACGACACAGTGTGCGAGGAACAGGTCCTGAATCTCTTGGCACGAGTGCGGAAGATCGAAGGGAATTACGAAGCACAGCGGGTAACTCCAGGGATTTTGTTGATTGGGAGTATTCATACGAGAGTATTCAAAATCCTCCAAAAGCATTCGCTGGTCAAGAGCCAGACTCCAGAGCATTTCAAGTTTTTGTTTAGGGTCAAAGATTTACCGCTGGGAAGAGAGCTCCCTGATGGACTATCGTGGTCAGAAGTTAGACCATCGGACATGCCGCTCATCCTCTCGAGGACTCCGATCCCGTACCAAGAGTCAGTCAGTCCTTTCGGCAAGGGCCCGACAATCGACTGACAAATTGTGCAGGAAAATGATGAAGTTGAACCCCAGCGCGTCTATCGAATCAAGCACTTGTATCCCAATAGCATGGACATTTCTAGGTACACTTCCTCCCGTAGCATATCTGTCTTAGAACCTCACAACCAATTGGAAACAAAAGGTCCGGATGGATCATTGAAGCTTTTGCACTGCGAGGCAAGTTTAGACCTCTCGCCGTATAAACGCACGCACACAGCTAACCAGGCTAACAGGAAAAATACCGCGGTCGGGGATTCGCAAAAGCTGTGACTCTGAAATTGTTCAACGACAGTGCCGTGGATCTTGTGAAAGACGGTTTGTATCATGCTGATGTTGCTGTGGAGAATCTTCAGAGTCAGGCAGTGTGTAAGAGCTTGAAAGGGACTGTGGAGTGGACGACTTATTGTATGTTTTTCTTTTCTACTCAATGCTGTGTTATTACCGAGAAACTAACCTGTAGCAAGGGGGTTGGGTAACTATATCCTAGGATACGCTTGAAGAGTTGCGTTTACTACACTAGAATAGATAGAGGAGAAATTGGTGACTTGAGTATTTGCTACGCACTTTCAGTTCAATTATGTCTTTTCGAGAAATCGTACTAAATTGTCATGCCACTTGCATTGTAAAGAGAGTGGTGAGAATAAATGTCTCGTTTTATTCTAGGACCTTCGAATCTTCTGCGATAATCTAGTATGGTATGTTTGAAAAGCAAGCCACATCTTACTGGGATTCCCACTCTTCTCGTGCGTCACTTCAGCCTCTTTCTCCAATAAATCTTCTCCCACCCAGGGCCGGAAGCGGCGTTGTCCAGCAGTTGTGAGTAACAGCAGCGATCCAAAGCGATGAACAAAAATGCAGCTTCGTCGACTGGACGTCCGTCAGCGGAACCGGATTTAGGTAAGTACTAGTAAAAGTAAAAGACTGTGCTTCCCCAGAAAACTAACCCCTGTCCTGTGGTTTTCCAGAGAATCAATCTCTGTCTATCTGTGGTTTGCCAAAATGAACAATCTCGAAGATCCTTACAAATATTCGTTGATTTAAGCTCAATCTTTTGGGATTAGCATATCGTCACATCGGCTGTCTTCCAGGACTCAGGATCAGTTTTATCCAATACACAAATCCCGAGCCGCTCAAAGGTCCCCGATTGTGCTGATATCAACCCCAATACTAATGCAGTGCGTGATGCAATATACAAGCAATGCAGCCCCTCATAAGTAAAGCATTCTTGTCCTAGAGCGGTCCTGCCGTTAACTTCACCTCTCCTCCTAGACGAGATCTCAACGCCCCCATCTTCTCTTAAAACATCCACCGACTCTACATCCGCATCCAAATGGAGTTGCAACACGTTGCCCACCGGAAGCTGCAACTTGAAACCCATCTCCAAACGTCCTTGATCTCCCATGACGAGACTGCGAATGAGTTTAACTCCATCCATAACTTTTGCTTGAAATGTGATAGAGGCAAAATGTGGATGGCCAAATGGGTTGCTTGGCGGCGATAGATATTCGACCCTGGTGACTTTTGGACAGTGTGCCAAGGTAACCTTTCTTAAGTGTAGGTGGGAGACACTCCCTTGAACAGACGCCCAACTCCAAGACGGTGCTCCTGGTATAACCCCTTTCGCCTCAATACAGAGCCAAAGAAGCCCTCTGCTTTCCAGATCTGCTCTCCAAATTCCAGCCAGATACTGGTCTGACAATTTCTTGGAGAACTCAAACGCGACGGCAGACAGTGCTACAAGCCTGTCGGAAGACTTGGTTAGTTGGCGCTTGGAGTAAGGCTCAACAACATTCCTGCGCCAGGCGCCGAGCAACCTCGTGTTTGTTATATCCTGCTCCATTTCCGTTTCAGATTGTATTTTCGGGGAGCGTGCACGACGTTCCTAGTAGTGAGGATTTCGGAATGAATTTGAGAGTCGTGCGAGGTGAAACACTCGCATTCAAGCCTAGAGGTGCATTCCCAACAGACCTCGCGAATTCCAAACGATACAAAACGCCTTGCCAAAACTCTTTCCTGGTAAGCCCAAGCTCTGGACTCGAGTGGTCCTTCCATTGCTGGCCGAAAAGCTTCTCGGTTCGTTGTGTATGGGTTGTGCGGTAGACTTGAACGATAGCAAACCACCCAAGATGTTTCTTGAGGTCCAGTACGGGCTGCTAGATTTACTGTACCTTCGAAATACTCATGACGCCGGCCCAAAAACCCGAAGGACCCATCAGCAACCGATGTCGCGCCAATTACAAGGTCCGCATTGCCGTAGACGGTCGCCATAAGGCCAGATTCTCGTTCCCAATCTTCAGTATCGTCCTGGATGATACACAGCGAATCTATCCACATATAAGAATATCCTAGATATCTGCTAACCTTGATAGCGTCTCGAAATGATGGGGAAAGGCAAGCTTCAGGGACTCCGGATTTGCAATGTTCCTCGAAATTTGAGTGAAGAGTTCTTGGAGGCTGGATGCTACTGGTGCAATTCCCCCAACAATGGCTGAGTGCCACGAAATACCCGCATTCATCACTGGTAGCCACTAATTTTGGATTAATAGAGCCTATGTCAAGGATGCGGGTTGGAAGACGTGATTCGTTGTGAATAGAGCAGCCTTGGCTGTTGTGATGAGTCTTGCATTCGTGAAGCCAGCCCTGGATAAGATTGAGGCATTGTTTCGATCCAAACTGTAACGCAAGATCTCGGCGCAGTGGAAGACCTGGAAGAGGGTTTTGAGTATCTGTAGAAGCATGTGAGCCAAAGTAATATCCTTTGCTTTTTAATCAAGGATTGTTTGATCATCGAATTAGCGTAGAAAGTAGGCAAAAATGAAGTAGGGTCTACCTTGTGTGGCATAGAATTCAACTTCCCATAGCTTGTTACGGAGGTTTTCTCGAAGGTCGTAGCCCGTCGCACGAATACAATGGGGAAAGTCCTCACGTTTCGGACTGATACGAAATTGGACTAGGTTAGAATGCCGCAGGTTTTGATCCTGTTCGATATCCGGGCAGAGCTTTGTGACGAGTCCGCAAAGGATGCAGCCTGACTTTGCACCGGAATTCCAGCGTTCAACTGTCTGCTCGACGTGACGAGATTTCAGAGACTTTGGCTCGCTGACAAGACTTTGCAGGTGTCCTAGCGGGTTTGCCAGCCACAGTTCGCATTCTTCACATTGCTTATGAACAAGGTCCTCGAACCCGGGAAGCGGCTCAACCCCAAAAGGTTGGCATTCGGCAGTTAGAGATGTCATGGAAATACTCTCCGAACCCATTGTCTGTGCCGTGTACTGGGAGACGATTTCGCTAAGGACGCTCTGTCTGGGAAGGATTTCCGATGCCGAGACGTTGGGTCAGATGCGGTCTTCGTTGCTGCCTGATGCCTAACTACGAGGAGTAAGGTACGCAATTCGTTCTTGTATCACTAACCTAAGCTTATTTATTACCCTAATCGTGTCATACTGTAATATAAGGCCAAAAGTCCTGAACACTACAATAGAACAACCCCGCACCATATGAACTATTGAGAGTTTCAGCCCACGGCACGGCCCACTAAGCCAAAACAGCACATCACGTGCGGTCCGCTCTCTTTGCGGAAAGCTCGGTAACGGCTTGGACAAGCGCCACCAGACTAACCTAAAGTAGCGGCGCTCGGACAGGAACACCAAAACTCTGGCTTTTTCTTTAATTTAGTTCAACTTTATAAGGAAATAATATAATTCAATACTTGTTTTATTTCCTTATAGCGCTAATTAAGGGGTATTTAAATATAGTTTTTTAAAAGGGTTGAATTAGTAATAAATCTTAAAATTAAAGAAGCTAAAAATTCCATATTTTATAGCCTAAAGGTAAGCTTAAGAAAGTCTAGAAATTAAGCAAATAAGTTCCTAAAACCAAATATAAGAACCTTATGAGCCCCTAATTTATAGGCCTTATAGGGCTCAAAAACTAGAATCTAATTAATTAGTATATAAATTTCTTTAAATTAAAATTCTATCTTAGGGAATCTTTTTATTATAAGTTAGGAAGCACTTGACCGGAATACTAGGGTTATAATATACTAACTTATGCTTATATTAAAAAATATAACTTAACATTTTTGAAGAGCTTAGGTAGCCAATTACAAGTTTATTAACACCCCTGCCCCAATCGACACCCCTAATCGACACCCGGGGGGGGGAGGCGTCAGGGTTTCCGGGGGGGTGATGTGACGGCGCTGGCTGGGGGCCAAAGGGGGGTGGCTGTCACATGACTGGTTTCACCTAGCTAGCCGGCGTTTCAGTGGTTTTAGCTAGTATTTCCCTCCTTTTATCCCCTCTCCTTCTCTCTCTCTCTCCTTCTTCTCTTTAGCTTAGTATTTTCAATACATGAGATTCTTGGATCTTTGAGCCCTGGCCATTGCCTCGATCCCGCCGTCACAGGGGGTTTACATTTTCCCCTTTACCGCCTAAAATCCAGCCCTAGTGTCGCTTAAAAACGCGATTTTAACGATAGTTAGTAATACGGTTGTATCAGCACTGTGACTAAGGAATTTGACAATGATAAAAGTTTCGTAATCGCAGAGATTCTTTTCATCACGAAAACCTGATTTGGAATTTTGTGAGCTGTTAACACAGGCAAGTTGCCGGTTTTACATCTCTTCTCTAGCAAAGTCCATTCGCAGTTCAAAACTTGCTCTTTTACTATTCTGTGCTCAACATTGCTCAACATGGCATCTACCTCTCCAAGCTCGACCATTGATTGTGACGTGGTAGTTGTCGGAGGAGGGAATGCGGGATTTTCTGCCGCCATATCTGCTGCGCAGTCAGGATCTGGAAGAGTCCTCCTAATTGACAAATGCCCAGAGGAGTGGGCCGGAGGTAACTCGCATTTCACGGCAGGGGCATTCCGTACCGTACACCACGGGTTGAAAGATATTATCCCTCTTGTAAATAACGTCGATACTGGAACAACAAATATCATCGATCTGGCCCCTTATACTCGAGACGATTTCCTTGCAGACCTGTCTCGCATCACACATGGACGATTCGAGCCAGAATTGGGCAAAACTTTGATCGAAGAGTCAAATGACACTGTCAAATGGCTTGCTAGAAACGGTGTCAGATTCCAACTCTCGTTCAACCGCCAAGCCTACAAGATCGATGGCAGATTCAAATTTTGGGGTGGCATGTGCCTCAAAACCGAGGATGGCGGGAAAGGGCTGATTCTTGATCATCAGAGAGCGGCGAAGAAACACGGAGTGACCGTACTATACTCGACGGCGGCCAAGAACATCCTTCTGGATTCGAGGACTGGTGCTTTCGAATCATTACTGGCATCAGATAAAGATGGGAACTCGCTCCTCATCAACGCTAAAGCAGTAATTCTTGCCGGTGAGTCACCCGGTTTCGTTTCCACGTGTATTTTTATATTTGAGAGTTTTATTAATGACCTGTATTCAGCGGGTGGGTTTGAAGCAAATCCACGTATGAGGTCGCAATATCTTGGCCCTGGCTGGGATCTTGCTTATGTTCGAGGTACACCGTACAATACTGGAGAGTGTCTAGAAATGGCCATTCGAGATGTTTCAGCAAAGCAAGCAGGGCAATGGTCCGGGTGCCATTCAGTGGCTTGGGATGCCAATGCACCTGCCAACACTGGAGACCGAGAGATCTCAAACGAGTTTACCAAATCTGGCTATCCTTTGGGCATCACAATTAACAACCTGGGAGTGAGCAACCATTTCCTGCGCTTTTTGCTTTCATCAAGTTATCAACTGCCGATTTGCCTTGACATGGCTCGCATGACTCCCCAAGAAGCCTTCGAGTTGAATTCACAGTACCCATTGTTGTTTTGTTTTAACCACATCCAGATTTGGATGGTTTTAGCTGACTTGACTTCTAGGAGCGCTTCTTTGACGAGGGCAGTGACATCCGCAACTACACCTACGCCAAATTTGGACGTGCTATTCTAGCCCAGCCACAAGGAACAGCCTTCCAGGTATGGGATTCGAAAGGCATCCCATGGCTTCGAGACGAAGAATATCGAGACGAAATTGTGCACAAGATCCGTGCGTCCACCATCGAAGAACTGGCTCAGAAATGTGCCCAGTCTTATGGATTGGAAAACCCGAGACAATTTGTGGAGACTGTGAAGGAGTACAACAATGCGATTTACCAGCATCGGAAAGAGTTTGGTGATTTGAAGTGGGACCCTGCTGTTAAAGATGGATTATCAACCCAATCCTCTAAGAAATCCCTCAAAGTGCCGAAATCCAATTGGGCATTAACTGTTGACGAGGGTCCGTTTCTAGCAGTCAAGGTGGGGTGTGGCGTGACTTTTACATTTGGGGGTCTTGCTGTTGACCCAAAGACGGCTGGGGTTATCTCATTGACTGGACGAACTGTGCCAGGCGTATTTTGTGCTGGTGAGATGGTTGGTGGGATATTCTATGAGAATTATCCAGGTGGAAGTGGATTGACATCAGGAGCGGTATTTGGTCGAAAGGCTGGCATCAATGCTGCGTTACATTCCGCTGGAAAGGCGGCGGGGACCACGCAACGAGTACTCTCTCGATTATAGGCCCCTTTTCACATAGCTGCGGGCTTCAAGTAGTCTTACATTGAACACTGCTTAGACTCTTAGGTGCTGGTACTGCTCAGAATCAGGAATATCAAATTCGAAATCTGGGATCACAGCATGGGCAATTTTAATCTCCATCTTGAAGTGTAGCTGTTCCTGTTCTGGCAACGACAGAGGATGAGTGAACGAGAGTGATACTAGGTGAGTGAGTTAAACCATGAAGAGGCATAAACTATGGGGTTCCTGTCCTAAAGCTGCTTTCCAAGCCAAAAAAAAAAAAAGGAAAGGGATCCATATCGAAATTCCGGATTCTTCAGGGGCTCGCTAAAAGCCCCCTTTCCCCTTTCCTAATATCTAGTTGATCCAATAACTTCGCAAGGACCCCCTCCAAAAATAACTTAAGGTTAGGTGAAATTGGCCCTTACCATGGTTGGCGGACCTAAATCTAAGAAAGTATAATATAAAGAGGGCAGGAATAAGCAACTAATAATACACAGCGAAGTAGAAGCAAAACCGAACTTTATTGAAACAATTCTGTATGTCAGGCTCAGGCATCCTGAACAATCAATAGATCTTAACGGATAAAAGGTTCAAGCCAAATCGGATTATAGCTATTGCGCTAATTACTTTATTCAGATCTTTCTTGCTTACTTTTCTTGCGTTCAAAATACCAAACGACTTCGCTGCTTATTTCTCACTCCTCCTCTATCACAATTGCAAGGATTAAGCTTAAACGCCACGCTGACAAAAGAAACAGCGTTTAATATTACCGGCTCGCTCTTGTAATGAGAATGCATTGCGCTTTTGCTCCTCGCTGTCGGGTCTGGTCGCATTACTCACCGAGTCTTGGGAAACAAGCGGTCAGCAAGAACAATCTTTCTACACCTGGTGACAAACTATTACTCAAAATTCCGCAGCTTAATGTAATGGTAATGGAAAAAAGTGATGTGTAATATTGGCCTGATCATTCTTTTCAGTCTTTCATGCCAAGGTGTTGCGTTTGCATTCCTCGCTCTCTGGTGAAGCTGTATAAAAATTTCCAGACCGGGTTGAATCATGCGTTTATTGATTTGAAGACTTACTGCTGCACAATCCACAACTTCCGTAATAGCAACGGCAAGCCTCATTGCTCGCTTTCGCTCGTATAGGTCCGTTGTCTACAGCGTTGTATCAGTATACTCTTTCGCTCCAAGCATACTGCTCTGTCGCCTATAAAGATTCTAACTTCCTTCTATCCCTGCTCACATAATAACCTTCATTAATCACAGCTTTTCTCTCGAAAAGTTCCCCGCAGCGTGTCATCAAACATATTTCATCAATTCTCGTTCCAACTCGTAATGCAGCCATTCCACCTAAGACTACTAACAATATGATAAACTTAAGTGCTACCACGCCCAGGATCAGCAGAATGTTCTGAAGAGGTTCGTGCTGCTAAAGTCCTGAATCCAACAATAGGAAGCCTCGTCTTGAGCACCAAACTCGAGCAAATCACACTCAGCGAACTCAACGCCATCGCCAAACTCGCCCACACCGGCCCCAGTCTCGGGTGTCCCCTCGCAGGATACGCCGCCCCCGCCGCAATAGGCAATAAAACAACGTTGTACACCAGCGCCCACCCAAAGTTGAACTTGACTCTCCTAAATACGGCCCTTGAAAGCATAACAAGCGTAAGCAGGGAGTTCAGATTTGAGGACAAAAGCACGAATTTGGCGCTCGCGATCGCAACGTCTGAGCCAGAACCAATGGCGATGCCTGCGTCAGAGGCAGCGAGGGCAGGGGCATCGTTAATCCCATCGCCAACCATGGCGACGGTTGCGGGGCCAGGTCTGCCGTTGCGTTTGGGAGATGTGGATTGCAGAAGCCGGAGCTGGTCTGCTTTTTCGGAGGGGAGCACGTTGGCGATTATGTTGGTGGCGGGGATGGAGAGTTGGGAGCCGACGGCGACGGCGGTCTCAGCATTGTCGCCAGTTATCATCCAGATGCTTAGGCCTTGGGAGCGGAGGGCGGAGAGGACGGAAAAGGCTTCGGGACGGAGGGGGTCGGTGGTCGAGAAGAGGGCGGCGAGCTTGAATGGGGATTCATTCTCGGAAGAGAGTGATAGGGGGCGGAGGGCTAGGTAGGCAATGCTCTTCCCAGCTGCTTTCCATGTCGAAGTCAGATCAGAATGAGACCTATCTATGGCAGTATCGAGTGATGAGATGAAGGCTTCACTGCCAATGGCAGCTTCGTATCGGCTATCATTGGTGGATGTGTGGATGGTAAAGGTGCCTCTAAGACCCCGTCCAGGCTGTTCCTCAATGGTAGATTGTGAGATACTGGCGCGGTGTTGTTGGGCGGAGAGGGTAGCAATGGCTTTCGCAATGGGGTGACTTGAGGATTCTTCCAGCGCTTGCGCGATTGCCCAGATAATCTTGCCTTCCTCTTCACTTGCTGCCAGAATGACATGATCCGTAACTTTCGGATTTCCACCCTCAGTTAAAGTTCCGGTTTTATCAAAGACAATCACATCGAGAGCAGATGCCTCTTGAAATGCTTCTCCTCCTCCCTTAACCAGTATTCCGTGCTGAGCCGCCAATCCAGAGCCAACGAACAATGCCGTGGGAGCTGCAAGTGCAATTCCACAGGGGCAAGCGCCGACGAATACTGCAATGGAAAATTGCATTGCCCAGAACGCCCAGCCTCCGGTATCAGTGTCTCGCCAGCTTTCCGGGAGGATCCCGCCTTGCCCAAGTCCAAACCAGATGACAAAAGTCAATATCGCAATGAAAGTGATCACAGGAACGAAATATCCAGTCAAAATATCGGCAACTCTTTCCACAGGAGCCCGTTTAGTCTGCCCTTCTCTGACAACCTTAACGATTTGGTCGAGCATAGAAGCACCTGAGACACCACTGACTTGCACACTAATGGGATTTCCGATGTTGACTGTGCCAGCAAAGACTTGATCACCAATTTTCTTTGTGATAGGACGAGACTCTCCTGTTAATGAGCTCTCGTCAAAGATAGAGACACCCAAGACAACCGTTCCATCAGCTGGTGGGGAGGCGCCATGCAGAACTCGAACTACATCGCCGACCTCGAGAAGGTCTACGTTGATGGTATCGATATTGGCCGCCGGAAGAGAGGACTGGTTCTCTGCAGAAGAATTATTCAAGTCTGGGTTTGATCTCACAAGCAAAGCTTCCGTGGGTCTTAGGTTTCCAAGCAGCGTTACAGCATCGCCGGTCTTGGCTTTGCTATACGCCTCCAGGTAACGACCAGCGAGAATAAACATTGTCAAGAAGATAACTGCATCAAAGTAGGTAGAAGTCTGCACACGCTGGCCAGTTTCTCGAGCATTCACAGCTAGGACGGCGATGGAAGGGAAGTACGCCACAGATGTACCGGCTGACATGAGCAGATTCATGCTGCCAAAACGGTAAAATCGTCGCAAAATTGGCACCTTGCTATTTCGGCTCCATAATGCTTGAATTTCCTTGCCTGCTCGGACGTGGAAGATGTCGGCAGCGAAGAACATGACAGGTGTTGCGAGGAAGAAGAGCGCCCACTCGACACGTGTGTCGGCACCAGACCACATCCTTTGCTCGAAGAACATTCGTAGATGGTTGTCGGGTGGGACTAAGCTAACCCAGACTACACTGATCATGAAGGTTGGAATAGCGACGATGAAGCTGAGAAGAAGTCGGAAGAGGAGGCGTTGACGTTCATGGCGCTGCATGGCTTGAGACCGCTCTTCAATTGTTGGAGGGTGATAAATTGCGGCCATGTATCGGCCGTTCAGGTTGTGAATGGTGGCAAGTATATCTCTGATACTAATGACACTCTGCTGAGGACAATACGTGACTGTGATTATGGGATGCTTGAGTGAAGCTGATTTGTCCACGGTGAGAAGTCCTGGGAAGGCCGAGGACAGAGCTTCGATAATCTGCTGCGGGCAGGCATCACAAAACAAGCCTGTAATTTTAATCATGACTGTCCTTTCGGTCGATTCATTCGCTTTCTGTCCACCAATTTCCACAATGTTCTCAATGTCACAGTCGAACCCTCGGTCCTCGATTCTCTCAATGATCAAACTGATGTCGTCTTTCTGGCCAGCGAATGTGACTGTTGCACTGTTTGTCAGTAAGCTGACGCTGACGTCCTCCAAGAAGTCGAGCTGCTGTACTCCTTCCGTGATGGAGAGGATGCATGCTGCACAAGTCATGCCAGCAATGCTGAGAGTAGCGGTAAAGTGTTGGGGTTCAGAGATTGACACTACAAAATCCTTTGATAAATCTTTTTCGCCCGAATTTTGGCAGGAGAGGCAATGCTCCAGATGCTTCTCGTTCCGCTTCTCGTTGTTGACGTAAACTGGTAACAAGGCAGGCGTTGTCTGGTGAGATGAGATTGTCGATGTCTGTTGACTGAGCGTGGGCGCCGGCCCCCCTGAGGAAGCACGTCCCTCATGTTGCTCATAGATAACTCGACCGAATTCATTTTCAGTGCGCAATCCCACCACCTCAAATGCGGCATCCGAAAGTGCTCGAGATATCTCATTTCCCCAGTGTTCAGGCGAATGGATCACCGTAAGTTCGTGTGAAGCGTAGTCGGCAGTAATAGACAATGGCACCAGCAGCAATGTACCGAGAGCATTTTGTATGTGAGAGAGACAGGAAGCACAATGGAGGTTGCGGATCAAGATGGTGGTTGTGACGAAGCCTGCGGGGGCGGGGTGCTGAAGTGCCATCCGATAACGGCAAGTCCAGTGACCAGTCGTGCGATTGCTCTGCCAGCAGCTATGCAACCTTTGCGGACAGGGAGTGAAGAGCCGTTTATGTATTGTCCCAGAATAGCGGAGGGCCAGAGCAGTCGCGCAAGAGTGCTAAGAGAAGAATTTTATCTTGGTGTCTCGACTCCTGAGAGATGTGTTGCCGAGGGTTACTGTAGGCGGGCAGTCCAGCTCACGGCATGGTCCGTAAGCACCTGGTGCACCAAAACCAAGTACTATTATTACCTGATTGGGTAGCAAGGTAGCACTAGATGCAGGCCCTCCCAGAGCTTTACCAGATTAGGCTAGCTCAATCACGTGCATAGATAACGTGCATTATTCAAGTTATATTTATGAATATTTATGAATAACTTGAATAATATATGAATTAAATAAGAGTAACAGCCATTATTCAATTTTACTCTATTCATTTGACACACTGGGTAAAGACACTTCTCTAAAGCTCCTAAATATATATATGGCCTTTACTCCCTTATTTTATCGTCACTGAGTTTCTATCTGGAAAAGGGGCTCGAGAGGTGTTGGAAGAGACCCATCTTGTGCCCAAAATGCTATAGCATCCCTTGTATATTGTTCTGTGATGCTCTAGACAATGGTGATATCACTCAAGCCTCTTAGGTAGAGGATATCCCGGAAGACCGTCTCGTCATCTCTCCACAATGGGCCAATAAAAACACCAATACGTCTATAAGTTTCCTTATCTTGGTTCTCCTGCAACACAAGGCCACGGTAGGTCCTGTTCCAGTTTTTATCCTTCGAGATAGGGAGCAGCGTGAAGCAGATAACCCTATTCACATCATCGAAACCTTTGAATAAAAACTCGTCGGTGTCGGGGTAGAACTTAAATTCAAAAAGTGTTCCGAACATCATTGTTCTCATGCTCCAGTTATTGTCCAGCCTAAAGTGACCACTTATAGCTCGCCCTCTTATTGTGAGATCTCCCCCAGACAGAGCACCGTAAGGCGCAACGGGAGAGACCGGCACAACTTTGCAGCTTATAACCTTGATTTCACCCTCGATTTCGGAAGATTTGGGAACATACCAGTCAATTTCGCCCTCCAGAGATGCCCAAGACCAAGAAGGTGCAATGTAGATTTCGTCTGGCTGTGCAATTCCAAGTCTCTGTGGCCGCCATTGCAGCTGCCTCAGAAGGTCACCCCGCCATATACCGGCAAGATATTTGTCTCGGAGAGCTTCATTCGCTTTCTTGGCAAGTGCTGATATCGCAATCAACCTATCACTTAGGTGAGAGAGATTCCGCTGTGTGTAATGCTTCACCAGTTGAATCCACATCGGCCAAATAAGATCGTGCTTCTCGCCTGCGTCCCATATGGAATTGCTAAAATGCGCAGACTCGTGGCGTGACAGTCCGACAAGATAGAGAGATGGGTGTCCACCATCTGCCTTAGAAACCGTTCGACATGTCCATTCAAGTTGGCGGGAGCCGTAGAAGACAAGCCTCTGTGAAAGAAGACTCTCTTGCAGCGTCCAACCTCTTGAGTTAACTACTTCGATCTCTTGTTGGCGAGGGGATATCACAACCTTACTTCCTTCCCCAGTCGGACAATTGAAGGGTAGTTGCAGTGACCGAGGCATATGTGACAATCGAGGATTCAGGAACCCTTCCTCGCTCGTTGCTGAATTTCCTGCAACAATGGTAATCCGTGCCTGGGAGTAAATATCGCCCATCCTGTCCATCTGAGCAGTGAAATCTACCTCCCTGTCATGGATAATGCACAACCTATCTACCCACAGGTAGTGGAGACCAACCCCTCGGCAAACAAATACAGCGTCTTGAATCGTTTGAGGAAGTTTTGCTAGGCTAAGTCCTGCCTGCGCCTTGGCGATTGTAGACTCTTTGGTTTTGAATCCGATATCTCCACCCCAGCAGTAGCTCAGGGCCGCAAAAGGCGGTCGGCCTTTCGGTGTTGTAAGAAACACACTGTCCTTGCCAGAAGATGACGAATCCAAATCGAGCAAGCGGGACGGATACCGGCTGTTCGCAGTCTGATTGCATCGAGCATGATTCTCAAGACAGTCTAAGAGGCATTTCTGGACGAACTCCAAACTTGGTTTGGAGCAAAAGTCGCTGTTGGGTATTGTGGGGATCCACTTTGATGCCAAACTACCTAAAGAAACTTGTCAGTTCATCTAAGTTCGGTAGTAGATGACAGGAGTGAATAAAACTAAGGAAACAACTCTCGAATAATCCCGATATACCAGAAGTATTAGGACAATGAATGTAGAGCATGCAATACCTTGTGGCGCGAACATTTCCGTTGGATTGAAGAATGAGTCCTCCCCAAGCTTTGTTTTTGAAGGCTTGGACATAATTATTAGAGAACAAGAGGGCTCTTTTGGCAGAAGTCCAGCGCTCATATATTCTACTGAGACTTGAACGGACTTATCGGAGAGTCTGACTGCGCTGAAGTCGAGAGCAGGCAGCAGATGGGGACCGAAGAGCTGTAAGAGTACACAACCAGCTTTATACGCCATGCGCGCGCCAGATATGGAAAGCTCAAGCACAGGCCAACTTGTCTTTTGGTTGCCCTGCTTCGAGAAAGAAATACGTGACAGGCGGTTCTGGATCCCCGTGACGCGAGGTGTAGCATCAACAACGGCATTCTGACAATATTGACAACGGTGATAGCCTGCTGCGTCGAGCGGTAGTTTGCCCATTTGAGTTGGGATTTCGAGGCTGAGTGCATACACCCCCTTGAGGTTCGTGACTCGCGATTCGATTTGTAGATCCTTCGATGCTCCCCCTGATTTTCAGTGACTTTGACTATACTCGGAATGAACACAAGTTGCTCTGAACGACGAGCTCCACTCCCGGCGTGAAGTTGCTTGAAAAAGAACACGCATTTCTTAGGCTGCCATCCCCATCAGGCATGAGGTAGAAGAAGTACGCCCGCGCTAGACTTCGCGAGGCAGGAACAGCCACCGCCACAACTTCCATTCCATGCATTGCACTCTTCCTCTTCCAGGCACCTGCAGTACTCTCCCCTCTAAATAAATGTAATAGTGGGTCCCCGCAAAACCAGCCTGGCACGGTCCAGTTGCCATACAAGAAACTCCTACACTTTGACCCACTGTTACATTTATTTAGGGGAGGGAGGGGAGTATCTGTGAGGGGGTAAGAGATCTGACGAGCCTGATTTGAAGATGGACGGAAATTCAGATGGATACCTCAGGTCGAACTGTCGAGATGCTCTCCTCTGAGGGCCAGGTGAAAATGGGTCATGGAAAGGAAAGCGAGATGTCGGGGACGAAAAAGAAAGGGGCACAAGGCGTGATAAAAGCATAACCGCGCAACTCGTGACGGATTTCGCTATCTTTGACCGAGAGGAACAAAACAATTCTATCACTCGTTCAAGGCTCCGAAGGAGTACAGAAACCTCTGATATCTACCCTCAAGAACGCATCCCCCCCTGTCACCGGCCGACCCACGCGCCGTTCCTTCGAGGCCCAGCGCCATCTAATCAAACACTCGCTTACAACACCAATCATGCTCTCGCCTCCACAAACACCACGCCAAATCTCCCAGCCTCATCCGAAAGCGCTCTCTCACGGACCAACGTCCAAGCCATGGGATCACCTCAGCACCGAAAATGGGAGGAGCATGACCGCTCATCTCGTTTGTCGAACGTCTCCGTTTCTTTGTTCTCTCTCAGATCTTGAACCTCAACTCTACATCTGTCTGTCTCTACAGTCTTTAATGCCGCCCTACGCTCCTTCTCACACTCATTCCTGAAGATATCTCTTCACGGCTCTCATTATTTGTTTTATCTATAATTAATCTGTATACTTAATCAACATGCGGTCCTCCACTTCAGCTTCATCTCTAATCCTCTTCTCCTCCCTCCTCTCCGCAAGCTCCGCACTTCCAGAGTACGTCCCTCCTCCTCTCCTTCTGCGTTCCTCTCTGCCCCCCTTTCCTCCACTCCCCTCATCATCCACCTCCCATCACTAACCACTCTAACAACCAGCAAATTCTCCTCCCACCTAACCCTCACAATGCCCTGGCACCCCCCACCAGCACCGAACTCCGACCTCCGCCTCAAAAACAGAATGCTAATGCCCGACTCGCCTCGACCTCCTCAATCCCCTTCCTGGTCCGTTGGCACCCAGCTGCCCGTCTCCTATCGTGTCGCGATAGCCGTCGATGCATTCGTGCTTGTGATCACGATATTGAGTCTTGTGGGACTGGGGGTGTATATTAGGCGGCAGCTGAAGAGGCGGAGGGAAGGGTTGTTGGGTGATGTGGAATATAATTTTGATGATTCGAGTTCGGAGGATGAAGTGGATAGTAAGCAAGAGGAGGCGGCGATTGAAAGCGGGATGCCTAATGGAGTGGAGAAGAAGAAGAAAGGACATGTGCGGTGGACGAGCTCTGTTGTCGGGATGGGCGTATTTGCGCGGATGAGCGTTGATGAGGGAAGGGTGAAGCTTGAGGGAGGGGAGGGAAATAAGGGATGGAAATATGACCCGAGGGATGCGAGAGCTGGGGCCAAGTATGAGGTTAGAGGCGATGAGAGGCAGACGAGGGTTAATTTGAGGGTTGCGGCTGGGTATGATGGATTTAGAGGTAATTAATTATACATAATTTGGGGAAGGAACAAGAGACTTGGGAGGATGGAAGGGGGCATTGGAGATTTCGAATTGATGAGACTTTTGGCGGCATAGCGTTGTGAGCATTTTTGAGATTGGGTTGTTTCAATGAGAGATGATTTTAAGCGTAGAGTTCAATAGATCAGAGGCCCTTTCACCTCCTCTACCCATGGCATCTTGTCCTGTCTTTAGCTCATCCAATTCTAGAGGCATGCGTGATAAGAATATCCAAGCTGCACTGGACCTTGGTATCAGTTCAAGAGCTACAAGTCCCATCAGAGCTTCTCCAACGGAACTCGCTCAACTGCCTTTCTTCACCCTCTCCTCCTCCGCGATTCTCAACAACCCACCCAAACTCTCCACCATCCAACTCCCAGTTCGTAAACCTTTCAAAATTCTCTCGATCTCCTCAACCGAGTAACCCCTCCTATCATGCACAATAACCACCGCACCAGACCTCACCATACTCAAAACATGCCTCGAGTTCCACTTCGCACTGTGGATCTGTGCATCATGTGGAAATACGCACCCCAACACCGTCCTATACCCGAGTCCCTCTACCATCTCCACCATTTCTTTACTAAAAAACCCCGATCCAGGTCTGAAATATTTCTCCCCATTCTCATTTGCGGGTAACAATTCTTCGAGTTCCTGGGTCTGCTGTTTGAGATCAGTGAGCGTGAGAGACAACGATGCTTCATCCCGCCACGCGTGTGACCCCGTCTCGTGACCTTCAGCATGGATCCGTTCTAAAAGTCCTGGATGAGAAGCGATCTGAGACCCAATGATGAAAAACGTTGCTTTTGCGTTGTACTCTTTGAGCAAGGCCAGGATTTGCGCTGTATATGGCGACGGAGCGTCGTCGATTGTGAGCGCGACAATCTTTCGGTTTGAGGGGAGAGAGAGCTGAAAAATTACGGAGGGGTATTTCCATTGCAGGAAATCGATCACAAATTTCGGCGGTTTGTATATGATGTAGGCGAGGAGGAACAGGGTGAGCAGGAGGATGAGGAGGGCGAGGAAAAGCATTTTTAGGAGGCGGAGCCGAGGGGAGCGAGGCTGAGAACGGGTGAAGGAGGAGCCAGAGGAGAAGGCCCGCTCTTCGTCGTCGATTTTGATGTGCTTTTTACGCGTGTGGGTGCCGGATATCAGGTTGTAAGAGGTCGTCCAGAGGTAGGCCAGGAAGGCGCGACGGGCTCTGAGGAGGTTCTTGAGGGGCCTGAACATTGGTTAAAAGAAATGGGCTGGATTTCCAGCACCATTGTTCGAGGCGAAGATCGGGATTTGAATCAGGGGTTCAAAGAGAGGTTAAAGGGGGGGAAAGGGGGGTGGATGATGAAAGACGGAGCGGGTTTAGACCTGGAGGTGCAAGCTCTCAAGTTTAGCGAGAGACATACTACGGGCTCCTTTAGCGACGCTACTACATCTATTATTTTTTGAGAAAATCAATTCGACGATATTTCAAAAATGTGCTATTATTAATAATATAACTAATACCTATAGTTGAATATAATTAAAACAGTCAATCTATATAGTATTTTATTACATTCCATGGTAGGAATGCGATAGGGTAGGAAATTCAATAAAATGCACGTGATATGCCCCCTGATATACTAGCCCTCCTGTACACTTCATTCATACTTCTGTTCCTTTATTATTATCAATTCCTTAATCTTCTATTATTAACCTCTTCGTAATGGCTCGTTTAAAGATTAATATCGATTACTATCAAGCCCATATTCTTTATTTAATTGAGCAATAGCTGTCACATGAGGAGATTATTGAGAGGTTACAGTATGACTTTAACGTCGATATTTCCCTTAGAACTCTATGCAATAGGCTTTCCGAATAGAAAGCACCTTCCTAATGCTCGATATTCGAGCCTTCTCCTCAAGTAAAGGCTCTTATCGCATGATTCTTTTGTGATATCCATATGACTGATGCCAATATACTTACCAACCTCCGGGGCTTAGGATATGATATTCCTAATCTATAATTATTATAGCAGGTTCGCCGAGCTATGGGGCTTCGATATTAAATACTTAATTCGCAAGTTGAGCTAGAAAAGGAGTAACTTTACTATATCCTCAAGTAATATACAGTGAATAAAGGCCTATAGGGTAATACTAGAAGTTATGGATGCCGGCTTCTATATACTTATCTTAATTCCCTAGGTAATAGTAAGAAGTTTTCTAGGAATAGAATAGCTTCTATAATATAGGAACTTAATCCAGAAAGTATATAGCATTATTCGGAAGAGATAAAGGCAGCTAGGAGAGAATATAATATTCATGGGCCGAACTTTGTTTAGTCTATTAATGGCTATTATAAGGTAAGTATAGTATGGACTTAATTTCAAAAATCATTATTTAAATAACTACTAATACGTTTGCTTAGCTATGATTTTATAGTATTAAGATATATGCCGGTATTAATATCTACTTACGGTTTGTACCTTGGATTTATATTAGAATCTCAAATAGTTGTGTTATAAGTAGTATTACTTCCTAATTCGGTATGAATATACCCCCTCGCAAATGGCCAATATTCACTTAGTCGTGATTCCGGCTATGTAATTCTGTAGTATTATAGAGAACTAGTTATTTGAATTATACTTAATTTAGGTAATAAAACCCCTAAATCTCTATACTATATTCTTCTTTAGCCTGATTAATATTATACTAATATATACTTACTTATGCTACCTTTTAGGTTACTATCCTAGTTTAATACCTTGACTTGGTAGACGAAATGAAGATTATTCCATTTCATATTTAATCGGATAGAGGATGCGAAATACCTATGGTTACTAATACCTATTATATCCTTTATAAAGCAATATACTAAATAAGGGGTATTAATCTATATTAGTTCTTAGATCTTTATTAGTTTGGGACTAGTATAGCTAATTAACGAATTAAGGCATGGTGGGAGCAAGTTATAAAGGTAATTTATTTAGTCTAATCCTATAAAGACTAATTTAATTAGCTAATATAGTATAGGATATACTAAATAAATAGAAGATATTTTTTAAGTAATTATACTTTTAAAGGCTTTATTCTTGCAAACTTCTCCCCGATTATATAACTATGCTTTTTGTCTATTTACCTATTATATAAGAGCAAACTAAGGAGTTCGTCCGGGTTTAGAATATCTATTTAATTAGGAAATAGCCTAATTGTCCATATATCGTTTCTGGCTAACCTTTCTAGAACTATATGTTTTTAGAGTAAAAGGGGGTCAGGGACTACGGTATTCCTATTAATATTAATAAACTAAACGAGCTATATAAAGGGTATACTAGCTATAATAAAGATATATATTTACTAGAGATTATACTTGAGTAGTATGAGCAAGAACTTAAGGATACTAGCTTTATACTCTTAATTATAGAGTCTATATATGATTCGAATAGAGAAATAAACTACCTGAGTACCTATATATATTTAAGGGAATTAATTACCGACTACCTAATTAATACGAAGAATGCTTGTCTAAAGCTAGGGCTTTTATTAATACCCAAGGGTATATATAATTGGAATCTATTACTAGAGGTAGCTATAGGATTAGAGGAGGCAAGGCTAAAGGATTATAATAATTAAGATAGTATTTAGTTCGTTAATAAAGGGAGAGATACTAGCTATAGAGATAAAGATCTTATCTATATTAGCTCTAATAATAAAGCGGAGGTTAAAGATAATACGAGAGGTACTGGATTTACTATAGATAGTATTACTTTTAATAGGGCAAATAGTAATTGGGTTATAAATAGCCAAGAGTATAGGCAGTTTATAGAGAATAGATATGCATCTGAGCCTAAAGCAAAGGAGGAAGATAATCTAGAAATTCCTTCTATAAATATTAGACGGTTTGCCCGGTATTAGAGAAGTTAAATAAGGATATATTAATATATATTCTAAAGAAAGAATTAGCTAAAAATATTAATATTTACTAAAGTAATTAAATATAGAAATTAATAGTAATCTGCTTAATAAGTCAAATTCATATAGTTATAGGTAATTTATTTCTAATTTAATATTAAAAGATTATATAATTCGCCTCCTTAGAAAATCGACTCCTACTCCTTTAATTTCCACGCCTCCTATAATTATTCTATTAACTTATTATTTTGGTAGTAAGGACTTTATAGTATAGATAAAATTCTCCGTTAATACTAGCTTTATTGAATTAATAGTTCTTGTAAACTTTTGAAATAATTATAAGATATATTTGGTAAAAATAATAAGAATTATATCTTAATATATGGAATTTAATTTTTCTCCCTTAATTCCTATAGCCCTTTATTTAATATTCTATTGCCCCTAATATAGGAAACCATATTTTAAGTAATAATAATACTAGGGATAAATAAAATAAATCTAATTTTAATTTATACTAAGGGATATCCCTTATAGTTCTTGTATTTATTCCTTTTTATATATTAGTAATATGCTACTATCTATAATTTTCGAAATGGGTCCCTAGTATATAAATTCTTTAGGGAAAAAGTTATAGGAATATAGGCTAAAGGATTAAAATAATATTAATATATTATAGTTCTATTCTACTAATTATTTTTATACTACTATTTACTAAACTACTAGATTTATTAGCTATACTTTCCTTCTAATATTTAATTATAAATCAAATCCTTATTCTTTTATCCCTAAACATTTATAATAGATAATATTAATCTATAGAACTCTTGTTTTATACGGGAGGCACTATACCCCCCCTCTATAGTAAAGTGTCTACTATGCGGTATAATTAACCCCGCTACTTCTCCTCTGGCTCCTATTACTCCTATACCGATTATTATATTAGACGGTATATTATTTTCTAGTTAAACCCAACTTTAAAATACTGCTATCTAATTATTAAGAGATTAAGGAATTAATATCTTAGCTAATTCCTATCCTTTTTACTACTTCCCGGGTATAGATCTCTTAGAGAAGGTCCTTGAGGCAGAAGTACGTAAGAGGAAGTAGCAGGCTAAGCTCGAACGTTTAGAGTAATTATATAGTAATTTCTATTAAGAAGCTTAGGGCAAAAGTACATATCTATCTATTTAATTCCTAATATTAATATATTATTTACTAATTTTATTAGATTTGGCCCAGAAAAGGGGTAAAGCCTTTGGATCTCTTACTCTCGGCCAGGGGGCACGTATAAAGGCCTTTAGTAAGGGTAAATCAATAATCCCTCCTGCTCCTATTATCGAAAAATAATACAAGGTCCTTATTTCTATTATACTATATATATATGAAATAGAAGAACTAGAAAGTAGCTTTACTAGGACGAGTATACCTGCTTTGACTATAAAGAAGTTCCTTAGCTTGGAAGAGTACCGGGAGGCTCAAAATATTTAAATTGAGCTATGGATAGTAGAATAGTTTAATACGTACGTAAAGCTTACTTATAGAAACATATATCTCTTTACTAATATAGTTATTTATTATAGTTAAAAACTATTATATAAGGATTTCGCTATATATTTAGCCAAGGCTTTTTTATTATTAATTCCGTTATTTGAAAACTGGGAGCTTAATTAATGGATTACGATCTTAGAACGTATAAATATAGTTTCTTTTGCAAGTAAAGTAAGCTATTATTTACTAGTATCCTAATAGAATTAGTACTAATATAAATAGGTTTGGCCAAGAGACAAAAACAAGAGAATCGACTATATAACTAGCTAGATATTTGAAGCTGAAAAGGATATTAATGGCTTATTATCTTACTTTAACTAATTAAATAGAAGCTCGCCAAAGCATATTTATCTTATATTTAATTAAGATATTAATATAATTTAGTAAAGAGATAACGAGATTCAGGATAAGTATAAAAGAGCTAATAGGGAGATGCCTTTCCTAGATTTTAGCCCCCTATTAGGAGGCTCTCCTGATACCACCCCCAATATAATATCTATATCTATAGTTATATCTACGGTATCTTTTTTACCTGCTTCGACTCCTAATTAACAGATCGAAGCCCTATGAGAGAAGGTTGCTCCTTCAGAGAATGGGTCAGGTGACGACCTGAATTCTGACGATTTTAATTCGGACGATATGCCTACGCTAGAAGCTAGAATTACGGTTTCTCCTGCTCCTGCTCCTACTCCTGCTCCTGCTCCTATAGCTAGTAAGTTTTAATAAATTTAGATATACTAGTAGATCTGACGTTTTTACTAGCCTTCGCTCCCGCTCCACCCACTAAACCTCCTCAACCTCCTCTGAAGTCTATATTAAAGAGGAAGCGACAAGTGGAAGTGACTATATCAAGCGATAACGACGATAATAGATCAGATCTTGACGATGGAGGGAAGGAATTACCAGGGGATGGTGATTATAGGCCGGGGAATAGGTCAAGACGTAGGGATAATCGGGGGCAGTTCAAAAAAGCGAGAATAGAGTAATAGTACTGGGCGCATTCGACTATAATGCATGGGAATTGCGTATTTGGCCATTATTAGGTGTGTTTTCCATATAAAATGTGGCTTTAAAAAAAATCTCGATTCATAATTCTCATTTTGCGATTGCGATAAAATAATAGATGCAGTAGCGTCGCTAAATCAGCCCGTACATACGCTAAAGTTACAGGCACCACCCGGCACCGGAGAAGGAAGATGAAAGTAAAATGTTACCCGTTCATGGGCGATGAATCTCTGAAGTCAAAAGCCTTGAAAGATAATCAACCTTCAAGAGAAATATCTGTGAATAAAGAGGCAGAGACCCTGGAGTTAAGAGAGGTTCGGAATTAGAAAGTCGGTGGCTAATTTAAAGCTTCGGGTCGGGAGCCATTTCCCCGCTATTGGTATGCAAACAGGGGTCAACGTCCACCTTCTCGTCCTAATCAAGCCGGCCGTGCAACGTCAACAAATCTGCCTCATGTCAGCCCCCATTCTTCCTCCCTTCTGTCATGAACATCGGACAGAAAGACCTCTACTCTTTCTACTTTTCAACAAGCGGTCCGGACTAGCCGAATATCCAAAACACGTCAGGCAGCTGGATGATACACGTCAAGACTTCAGTCATTGTCAACATTCCCTCACCGTTAATTTCAATATACATCTCGAACTATGAGCCACTCAACCTCTGAGAACGGCACCAAGCCAGTCATCTCAGAAAACACACCTCTCCTCGGCAGCTCGACCAATGAGCCTGTCAGCGATGCCGAAATCCTCAACCATGAGGCCCACGAGAATGGCGGTCCAAAACCGCATCACGAGAAGCCCCTTCCCAAACTCCAAATCTTTCTCCTCTGCTACGCCCGAATAGTCGAGCCCATCGCCTTCTTCGGCATCTTCCCCTTCATCAGCGAGATGATCTACAAGACTGGAAATATTGAGCAAACTGATGTGGGGTTCTATACTGGCCTCATTGTATGCCCTCGCTCACCTCATTCCCCACTCCCAATTCTGACTTACGGTGCAGGAAGCAATGTTCTCATTCACGCAAATGATGCTGATGATTCAATGGGGTCGTGCTGCGGATCGCATTGGAAGGAAGCCAGTCCTTGTTTTCTCCCTTGCTGGGATGGCGATCGCGACGGCTATCTTTGGGCTCAGCAAGAGTATTTGGCAGATGGTGCTTTTCAGATGTTGCGCTGGAGTCTTTGCGGGGACTATTGTGTAAGACTCTCTGCGTCATCTCTAGATTTTGATGCTCGGGTTGGGCTGACCGGCAGCAGGACTGTGAGAGCGATGATCACGGAGAACAGCACCAAAGAGACACAGGCGAGAGCATTTAGCTTATTTGCTTTCAGTGGAAACCTGGGAATCTTTCTTGGGCCTATGCTCGGTACGTTTAATCTCACCATGAACATACGATCCTGTGCTGACATTGGCAGGCGGTGCACTGGCAGATCCAGCAATGCAGATAGGAGGAATTTTCAGGCGCATTGATTTCTTCACCAAATATCCGTATGCTCTGCCAACATTTATTTCCGGCATAGTCGGAGCAAGTGCTGCTATCTTGTGTGCTCTCTTCGTTAAGGAGGTCGGTTTAGTGCTCAGCCAGATCGTCACCAAATGCTGACATCGCATCCAGACACTGAAGCGGAAAGTCAAGGGGGATGAATCGTCGGCCGAAGCTCCTATGTCAACGATGGAGCTGATCAAAAGCCCCGGTGTGCCTATGGTGCTCTTCCTCTACGGCCATGTCATGCTCCTTGGTCTCGCTTACACTGCCGGTCCGTCCCTCCCTGTCCCCACCCAAACCTTCCCAACAACTACGCTGACTTTATATTCTCTAGTGGCACCAGTTTTCTGGTTCACCGACATCGATTTGGGTGGCTACGGTTTCTCGCCTAGGCAAATATCCTTCTTCATCGGCGGCGGCGGACTCGCTCAAGCCATCTGGCTCCTCTTCGCCTTCCCAATGTTACAACGCAGATACGGTACTGGAGCCGTGTTGCGCGGCTGCCTTTCTGTGTGGCCTATATTCTTTGCGTCTGCGCCGCTATGTAATATGTTCTTGAGGAATGGATGGACGACTGGTTTCTGGATCATCGCGCCAGTACTCCAGATTGGGGGGAGTGGGGTTGCTATGGCATTCAGTAACTTTCCCTTTCCCTTTACTTTCTTTCCCTTGAGTTACCTAACTTCTTTCTTAGCTGGTGTCCAACTCGCACTGAACGATATCTCGCCGTCTCCGTCCACACTCGGAACTTTGAATGGTGTGGCACTCACTATGACTGCCGGTATCCGGACCGTCGGACCAGCGATCTTCACGAGTCTCTTTGCTACCGGAGCGAGGACTCAAGTTCTGAACGGGTATCTTGTTTGGGTTGTGTTGATTTCTGTTGCGATTGCCGGGTCGGCGGCAGTGAGGTATCTGCCAGAAAAGGCGGAAGGTAAGTTGAAGGACGTTAACGAAGGTGAGGATGAAGACATTATACGATGAAATCTATGACACCTACGAGAGACATATTTGCATTATACGCGTGGGCTATATAGAGATAGATATCGAATGCATGGATATTCTCGCTGAGCTCTGGGGAGTCCGAGGGAACTTGAGATGTGTGCGAGGGGGTTTTTCTATACTGAATTCTGTTCACTTGTTTTGATCCTGCTTTGCGCTGTTTTCTCCTGGACTCTTTGAACAACATGCTCCGTTCTTTTCTTTTCCTCTTCCTGGTTCAATTTACTTATCCCGCTTCAGCAGCTGCCGTGTTCTATCCGAGCTGTCAGCTGCGTATGCCCAGCGTCAGCCCCACTCTATTGCCGTCGATTGTTGGGAAGATGGGCCTGAGCAAGAGTGCACATTTGGGGAGGGAATTTATGTGCAAGGCCTTTGACACCCAACGATAAACGGTTCAGTCCCGGGTTTCGCCCTCAGAATTGTTCATTTCTGAAATTCTGTACTTGACGTAAAGTGACCATTGTATTTCAACACTCGCCCCTCCTTCTGCTCGCGCCACACACACTCCCGATTCCTTCCTTTTCTTCTCACATCTCGTTCCTGCCAACGCCTTTTTTCATGCTGTCTTGGTCTTCTTTTCTAATTTGTACGGTGTCGCATGCATCATTCCATCTCTTCCCAACTAGGAACTCAGCCAACCCGATTTGATAGGACATCTACAACGTGTCGCACGGTAGGCGATAATTTCCACCTCGCAGAGAAAACCCGCGCTTCGAATTCCTTCCCCACGCAAGCCGCAACGTACGAGAACATCGCTTAATGTATCATTGGCTCCGGAAAGGGGGGTGGTTTACTATATTGAGCTGACATCCGTCCCTGTGGCTAAATTTCAATTACTGATCAGTCTTTCCGCATTGCCCCTGTTTAATCGCGACCGTCAGAGTCTCTTTGAATTTCGGAGCACTTAAGGAGAGGTTCTATGAAGAAAGAAGAAATCCAATGAATCGTTTGAAGGAACGATGGAAGAAAGCATCGGCATCAATTGACGCGAAAGTTTCTGCGATGGTGATGGTCTGGTGTGAAGGAGGGATTGTGTCGGCGAGATTGTGGGGTTGGATGGCGGTGCTTGGGGGCGACCGTAGGGAGAGCGCATTAGGGGACCCTGGCGGAGATGGTACCTGAAAATTTCAGGTTTCGAGCGACAACATCGGCATCTCAACATCGTTGGGTATAGTCAAAGATTGAGTGATTTCAGCTGAGAAAACTGGGAAGAAGGAGGGCGAGAACGAATTTGCTGTGATGATTTGATGTTTACTTCGTTTGCGAATTGTCTGGAGGTACGTTCTCGCTATTCCTTCATTCGCCCAGCTCAGCTCAACTCAAGACTGCAGAATTAAATCATTTTCATCAATCATCAATATATCGCCATGCTCATCGATAGCTAGCATCATAAGTAGCAATATACGCCCTCTCATTCCTTGTCCTCTCTTCCGCTCTTAATCTATCCTGCCTAGCCGCTTCATCCGCTCTCAATCTATCTTGCCTAGCTGCTTCTTGCGCAATTCGATAAGGATCAGGATCGGATGTTGTGTTATTGCTTCTGTTGTTCCATGAATACTGATTTGGGCGATTGTCTTCCTCTATACGACGATCTTCCTGCCTACGACGTTCTTCTTCCCATCTGTTATGTCCATAATTCCAACTCTGGTTGTGGCCAGAATGGTTGTATGCAGGAGCTGGAAAGCTGGGTGGTGAAACCCACGGCTGGTCAAGTCCAAGAGCTCTGGCTTGTTCGCGAGGAAGACCACGTCCCCAAGCAGGATTACTCCTTCCGGAGCCCCGGTTCCGAAGACAAAGGCATATGTACACTGCCCAAAACAACACGAAGAGAAATACGCCGGCAGCTATGGCGCCTTTTTCTGTGGGTGACAAGCCGGGAGAAGGAGGTGGGTCGTAAAGGTAGTCGTGCTGGGCGCTGGCTTGGGTAGCAGCTATTTCGTGGGTCAATTGCGAGTAGCAGGGTCGGAGAATGGACACAAGAGGTCATTCAAGGAATGTCCACTCACTAGGTACTGCAGCTGTGAACGTGAACCCATCGTAAACTACAGTCACAGCTTGGGCCATCGTTCAGAGACAGCTGGATCTTATGGCTACGTTGTTGAACTGAGCGTCAGGCTTTTTTCCCTGCACTCGAAATATGATGGAAGACAAGGACGGGACGGATTGGGCTCCTCTGATATCTTTCGCCATTTCTAGCCTGATGAGGGGTAGCACCCACACTATCAGCTCAGTGGCTTTTCGTTGAGATATCTCAATGGTGTTCTCGCATCGTGTGACGCGAGTTTATTGGCGATTCTGAGACATGTTTTCCAAGTACAGCCAGTCTTTTTTGACCCTGTTATCTGTGTTGTATGGCCACTGTTTTGCTGGTGTTTCGTGAAATGTGAAATGTGATGTCTGGGAAGACGGAGCGTGCCTTTGAGCATGTATAGAAACATTTTGCACATGGAGAATGGCGAAACTCAGGAGCCAATTTGCTTGTATATCAATGCGACGATTCTGGGGGTAAAGAGCCAACGCCCAGCATTGGGAGGGACTTTATCTGCTTCCATACCGCTGTCCACCTCTTCAAGCGATGAGCGCAGCGCTCTTGTGTTTCCGACTACGTCTCGCCGTGTCTGCGGTACCTTCATTTCTCTCGTACCACTCTTGCGGTTGGATGGAAGAAGTGAAGGATGGGCGACGTAATGTAAATAACTTATGGCACTCTTGTGGCAGCCCAATATCATTGCACACATCCATTTTAGATAAATTGCTTTGTGAATAGTTCTTATCTCGTGTTGGAAGCGTTTCGAGCTGCCTGACTAGTAGTAAGTCAAAGATTGATTTTCCCCCTCCTGTTTCCCCGGGAAAAAGTAAAACGACCCCCCCCCCCGGTGTCGATGGGGGCCACACTAACCGAAACCAGCAAGCGGTAGCAGGTGCCCGTATACATTACTTTGTATGCACCAATGTATGCAAATCAATGTATATTGGCACCTAATGACTTATTATTATCATTATCATTTCCAGACAAATTTAGTTATATCGCAATTAGTCAAAAAAAAAAAAAAAATTTAGGGTCTTATAAGCTTATAGTAATGCATATTTCCTAATAATCTCTAGTAGAACGGGAAAATATAAAACGATATCTCCCCAGGTATTAATTAGGGGTGTCGACCTTCAGAGAGCCTGAAAATTTAGCGATTAAGCACCTGGAACTTATTTGCCTCGTACGCAATAATCGCCTCGCTCATCCCATATCCCAAAACTAGAGCTTTTATATATAAGCTTATATAAGTAATTATTTAGACATTATTAAAACTCTAAAATCTATTAATACTCCTATTTCATACCCGCAGAAGGGGGGGGGGGGTTCCTTAGTAATAAACTCGGGAAATGCCAAGCTTAAGTTGCTAGGTCGAGTTACAGGATCATCCACTCCAGATATCTTGGGCAAGCCATTGAGGTGTTCGTTGATACGATCGACAGATAAATCGACTGACTCGATGTCACAGTCGAACTTTTGAGCAATCCTTTTGATCACAGGCTCAACAGGTAGCATATAAGCGCAAGTTCGCCCGGCGACAATCGAGAAGATGTACCCACAGACCAGGTTGTTTTGGATTACCCACGAGCCAGAGTCCCCATCGGCTTTCGGTGATTGAGGTCAGCTTATTTAACATGTTAAAATTACAGGTGCTCACCTAGCGGCTTTTTCAAATCGATAATAGACCTTACACTAAAATCAGTTTGTCCTATTATCACCACTGTAGGAACGGTGTCTAAAACACCAGTTACCCGGCCACTAACGCCTGCGCAGACCACGACTTCTCGCGCCTCGAAATGCTCAATTTTCATATAGTCTTGAATAGCGATGGGCTGTCTGTCGTCGTTTACCGGTGCATTGCTTGCAGTTATTGGTAGTTCTTGTTGGATAACGTTGAAAAAATTCCGCTTCAGAAGGTCGTCTGATGATAAGAGCTCTACCAGAGCCCGATCCATGCCCGAGCTAGAAACTGCGTCTTTGGAAGCTTCGGCATCATCACCTAAAGCCAGAGGCTGCGTACGCTTCTCACTCACAGCATTTTCAGTCCACTCATATAATGTCACACTGCCAAGGGGGGCAAATCCTGCAAAATGTCAACTTGATCTCCGGCCACACAGAAGTAAATTGCGAGTACCTGTGGTCCAGATTTCTGTGTTTTTTCTGAGTGGATTGACAAGTTCAGCAGGCTCATTCTTCTCCGACTTCCCCTCTCCCTTTTGACTGGCACCTTTTGCCTTTTTAAGAGACTTCTTTGCAACAAAAGCATGCGCCGTTGTTAAAGCGTACAGTTTATTGCGAACCAAAAGCACTCCTCCAATTGTAAATAGCCCGGAATTCTTGCCGCTGAATTCATAGATTGGGGTTGAATTCTTCTCAATCCAGCGGCCATACTTCGCTCTGCCCACCTGTCCGCAAAGTCCTGCCCATCCAAGCCACTGAGTAGTTGTAAAAACTCTGCTCTCAAGTCTCCATTCGCTAACTCTTAAGACTCTGAATTCGACAAGACTGTGTGCTTCTTCTGCCGAGGTAGATGAAGCTCCAACGCCCAGGGATCCCAAGACAGGAGGGTCTATCAGTATCTTAAACTTGAAACGGCTGGGAAGATCAGTGCGCAGTTTTAACTTTCTAGTAAGCTTTTTTTTGCGACTCCGACTTCCGCATCTGATGACCACTGTTGGCTGGATGGGATCGCCAGCAACACCTCCCATCATGAATTCCAGACTCTCGTCGGAAACCTTGCCGCTTGTATAATCGAGCATGTGTTTGACCACCACCTGTAATGTATTAAACGTCTCTTTGTCGTTGGGATCTACATTAAGATTGCGCGCTCGATAGAAGGTTTTACTGCGTTTCAAGATCGGGACAGCCTTCTCTAACATATTCCAAAGTCCAGAGTGATGAGTGGACTCTCGGACTACAACAAATTCCTCGCCAGGTTGCACTTGTTGACTACTTCGTGTCTGCTGGACTGCTTGCCGCGCTTGCACTGGAGGTGGAGCATCTGCGATTGAAAGGCGGTTTGCTTGGACTACTGGAACTTTCGCAGGTTTTGAACGATTGCCAGATTCCAGTGGGGGACGGACAATAGTTCGGTCATCAATCGTAGCAGTAGGTTCTGCCTCCTGACTGATTGGGTCCAAGTTCGCCTCGAGAGCTTTCGCTTGAGGAAGTTCTTCATCGCGTTGGCTCGTGGTGACTAGGCGGGATGCAGCTGTTTCCTCTGTACAATAAATAAGCTTTTAATTGCCTTCTATGCCTGCATCAATTGGACATTGGGATGTGACCTTTATTGTTGATAACTCCATCTTGAGGCGGTGTTGATATAGAGGGCTGCTTGAGTTCATCCACGCCATCAACTTTAATCGGTAAGGAGTCTCGCACTCTATTTTCCATCGGCCTTGATGCTATCGAAGGCATCGTACCATTATCATCACTCGGCTACTATGCGAAGGAAACGAAATTTGAATGCCGGGTATGTTGTGGGTGGGCATGAGCAAATATCAACCACCTTTCGCCCTTCAAAAATCCCTTATCAACGAATTCAGCAAGCTGACAAATCTACTGCCAGAAGTAAGTCTATCAATAAGCAAAATTGTGGCTGCCTTCATAGCGCGCAGACAATCCATACAGCCCAATAGACCCTCTCTCCACTCCCCACCTGATAGCCCCTGCCCTCTTTCACATCCTTCTGTGGCCTCACACTGCACGAATTCATGTGCGAACATCTCAATTGGTTTTGAGTAACGGGGTTTTCCGCAGTTTAAGGCCCAGAGATTTGAGGCTGTCACGTGCTGCGCACAGGCGTATATATAGCTTCTTCACCGCCCTTAGGGCACCATCATTCATACATATTTACACAAACACACCCACATTCCACTTCCACAGCTTGTCCAGGCCGTGACAGAGGCTGAGTTACACAACTGCTGGAATCAGTTAACCAGCTCCAATTAGCTGTTGCCACATAATTTTGCATTCCTACAGCAAACCATTGATATCACAGCGCAGGAGATTGTCTAGAGGCCTATCAAATGCTCGCAAGAATTGCCGTTAAAACGGGGACCAGTCTAGCTGCTCTTTATTTTATTTTATTTTCAAGAACGGCAGCGCAAATTCCTCCAGAGAAATCTAGCTGTGAATGATTCTGTAAAATCATAAGTTCTTTAGTTAACCGACAGGCGAGGTGTGTTTACATATATCGGACTTTGATCAGCATGGTGAAACGTCTGATTACTTACGAAGAACCCGGCATACATCTCAAGAAAGTGATCATCAAAGGATATGTTGGTGGACCTTGGAGTTTCTCGAACAACTAGGACTTCGAGAAAGCCTATGCATCTTTCTTTCAGGAATACAACAAGTTGCTAAAGCAACCAACGAACGTTAACAAGAACACACCCACGAATGTTAACAAGAGCGCACCTACGAACATTAACAATGCCGCACCGGCGGATCATCCGCCTTCTCTGGATGATGGAACGAAACGGATAATGTGACAAATCTGGCCCACAACAGCCATGAACATTTGATGCGGATAGTCGAGGCCATCCGGCGAGCTCCAACCGATGATCGACGTTGTCTCCATCGGGCTCTGAAGGAGGATCCGATGTTTCAAGGCAAGGAGCCACTCAAGATTGACCGATCGATTAATCTCGCTCTGTCATTGTGGCTCACCTTAGACTTCTCAAAGTCCACACAGCTACTTGAGGCTCCGCCTGTTCCACAGGAGCAACATACCCCTCCACCCAATGGAAAAGAGCGGCCTCTCCAGGGCATTTTTGACAATCAAGAAGGGGGACGAAACCTTGAAATAAATCGTGCCTCAGCTCAGAACGTCAGGGAGCATTCCGCTGGTTCAGATCTTCAGCATGCTCAAAAGGCCCCATTAGAAGTTGATTCGCACCGTGCCCAAATTTGGCCCCTGAAGTCTGGAGAAAAAGCGAGTCGTCCTGCTCCACCGAATGGCGGTCGCCAAGCTCGTTCAGATCATATACCAAATAATGAGGGACAGCATCTTCGAGGTCCTCCCCCCGATCTCGAGGGACAGCATGCAGAAGCGCTGAGAGACTGGCTGGCCTTTCTGCTGCAGCCTTTCACTAATCTCATTCCCAAATCAATAACTCAACGCGTGCAAACTTATCAAGACCAAGGACCCCTCCAATGGGAGGGCACCGGGACTTTAGAGAGTGTTGTCAGTCAACGCTTCCAGAATTTGAGAAGCGTTGAAGTTACGAAAAACGGTGTCACTTTGCAGACTAGCTTTACAGCTGTGAATCTGCAAAGATTTTGCGGCTTCGAGATAGAATTGATGTGCAATCTGGTAGAACATTTGGTGTTTAATCGCAAGCTCAGGATTTTAAAAATCTACCCCTTAAAGGGATACCTATATGACATGAAAAGGAGGTACGAAATAGATTTCTATTTTGCGCACCGAATTCACTAACATAAAGCAGCGACATTGGCATCATCCCTGACCAAGTAATCGACGAGACTATTCTTACGCTCAACCTCCTCTTTCCAGACTGGGACACTGATACCATCAAATTTTTTAAGAAGAAGAAGAACAAGCACCACCATATTCTGATTGCCGAACCTGCGTATTACCCTGCCCCGATCCGCCTCAACGAATTTTCGTTCTGGAGGGACCGTCTCCACGAACTTTACGTCGAGTTCAATTCTCCCCCTCCAGCTTGGAAACAACTCTGGAAAGATCGAAGAAACCCGTTGCAGTGGTACACGTTTTGGTTTGCGATTCTCACCCTAGGGTTGGTGACCATTTTGGAGTTATTGCATCTGTAACAGCGGTATATTCCATGAACTATGCACGACAGGCTGCTGAATATGCTGCCGCTGCTGATGCTACTGCAAAGGCTTGCCCCCCTATAACTTGCGGAAGGGCGCCAACCATTCTAGCAGAACTATGACAGGCTAGCCGAACACTCGTCTTTAAAGTGGCTGTTCGAGACCCCGCGGAACGCAAGTGGATCGAACTCGAGAATGTTATGATGATCCGCTATCAAGATCAATGGGATGGGACAGGTGATTCTGGATGACGATAAATTATGGTCATGAGATTGATAGGGACTATCTGCTATTTTAATAGCTTGTCAATGTAGAAGGTTGGGTGTGTGGAAATGATTGACCATTGGTCTTTTCTTCGGAGACAGACACCCCGAGTTAGTGGACTAGACTGCAACCACGAGTGCCACGGTTATTATTATACCAAGGCTGGGCATAGCACCGTTTTTAAAGGATGTGATTCCAATGAACCAAATCACAATTTTTACCTTTAAAACTCTTTTCCTTGCAATTTTCTTCGGAACTGGTTCTAATTTCCAGAACAACCCCCCCGGCTTCCCCCTTTTCACGTCTTGACTAGTGGCTCGGATCTGCGAATCCAAACGCGTTGCTAACTATTGGCACCTGTGATTCCTTCACGACAACAATGTTGAAATACCTAATAGGAATATTAGCGTGTCAGTTGAGATTATGCATAGGTAAGATTACGTTAGCCTTGGTGAGCTTTTACTTAGAGAATAGTAACCGTCTTCATCTTCCAATCTGGGCCTTCCACGCCGCGGCCTAGTATTTTAGCAATGCCAATTCGTCGATAGGAAGCCTCGAGCCCAGGTATTTCTTGCAGGAGCAAAAACGACGTAGCTTCTACTGGTGGTTGACGGTGTTCAATGCTATCAGACGTGGGTTCGGACGAGAACATCCCAATCCTCAAGATATGAATATCTTCGCGTCGCCAAAGTGTTGAATTTGATTCGTCCATGACGTCCATATACAGTTCCAATGCCCCCTGAGGAAAATAGCCACTAGTGAATCGCCGGTAATTCCGGTCTCGACAATCCTCATGGGAACGCCACCCGGACAAGAAATAGAATTCGGCTGTCTTCAGTAACTCATTGAGACAGTGACAAAGACCTCGGAGGGTAAGACTGCCTGAGATGACCTGACCAAAAGGATCATCGCGTAGATTGGCAACGTAGATATCAATAAGCTCCACCTCATTGGGGTCAGCGACGTATGTCTGGTGTGCATATACCCACTCGTAGATTTTTGGGTGAGTTATGGCCTGGTGACCCACAACGGCCCAGCTCCAGGAAGGTGCGACTTCTATGTCCACGGGCCGACCACAAGTTTGCCATAAAAGCCCTCTACGGAAATCTTCGACTAATATTCCAGCCTTGTAGCTGTAGCCAGTGCGGTCGGAATACGTTTTTGCAATTCCAGAAAAGGCTGGAAATTTGTCGTGCTGAAAAGTCAATTGGCGATTGATATAATCGCTGACCCGACGGTACCACCACTCGATTATTTCCCAATATCTTTCATCCCTTTCCCGCTCGTGCACATATCTTGGCGGAAGAGATTCATAGGGAATTTGATACACAGAATTAATATAAGCACTTTGCTCAACCAAATCGTGGATCTGATGGGGTCGTGTTTCTTCGCAAAATGTGGGAACTTGCGGACAGCTCCAAGCAAGTCCGCCGGAAGTATATCGCAGTCTGCGACGAGAGAGCACGGCTTCTGCCAAGACCCATCCTCTTTCTTGGAGAGGGTCGTTATCTAAAAAACGGTCATAGTGCCACCGGTTTGCATATAGTGTGGATTTGAGGCCAGTTTTGGGGCTATGTACCGGGATTTGGATGAGATCTGGCCTCGGGGGTGGAGTAATCGGTGTCCTTCCATCTATCTTTCTATTTGAACTGGAGAAGATACCTTGGAAGGAGTCTGCAGCAGCATCGGCCGAATTATTCAGGACTGCATTTGAGTATATCGTATTCATCTTGACTGACTCCTCTTGCCAATCAGTCAAAGAATCTTGCACAATCAGTGTGTCAAATGAGTAGAGTAGAGTAGAGTAGTGGGTCCTACTCATACTCTACTCAACCAATTATAGCGCTACTCAAGCTACTCATGAGTAGTGTGAGTAGTGTGAGTAGGTACCCACGTGACAGTTGCACGTGACAGGCTAGCCTAATTAGGTAAGCCTCCCATCTAGCGCCAAGTTTCTACCCAATTAGGCAATGACATTGCTTAGTAAGCGAGCCAAAGGTCAGGGGGAAATCAAGATTCTAAGAAGCATAACTAGTTTAGTATTATAGAAAATTAATATTTAGCTAGTCTTATACAAGCCCTAGCTTACCTTTACTGGGGCTACTTAATAAATATCTTTATTATTTAATAATTATTAAATAAACCTTAGTTTATTATTGTCACGTGACGGCTACTCATTACTACTCATACTACTCATGAGTATATACTCTACTCTACTCAAATTTTTAGGACATTACGCTACTCATATTCTACTCACGCTACTCATGAATATTCATGAGTAGCATGAGTAGCATGAGTAGTTCTTTGACACACTGTGCACAATGCAAAGGGAGTCAATCCAGAGAAATTGATAGCCAAGTTTCCGTGTGATAAGAATAGCATCTCGGAAAGTTTGAGGGAGCTTAGAGATTATGATTCCGGTGCAATGATTGTTGAGATTACTTTTCGTGGTAGCTGCAGGCTGAGTCTTGCCCCAACAATGGCTTAAAGTAAGCCATTGCCCATGCCGGCCATGAGAGATGGAGAGGTTGACGAAAGGACTCGCTAAAAGTCCAACATCAAGTACCCGAGTTGGCAATGGTAAGCTGCCTTGGATTTGGCATAGAGAATCGTGGGTCTCTAAGCATGTCTTGAGCCAGTATTGAGCCATCTTAAAACAAGTCTCGGAGCTGCTATCATTTGCCACTGGACGGCTGGTAAAAAGTCCAGGCATCAAATTTGTAACCGGGTCACCTAACCACCTTAGAAGCTACTTCCCGAGATTATAAAATGGCGCATACCTTCGAGTGCACTCAGTCTTATACCACAAAAATCCCTTGGCCAACCCTTCGAGGATGAACTCTGGGTTTCAGTGTCGAACATCAGAATGTCACGGGTATTCAATCGGAAATTGATCTGTCCTATAACCGCCGTTGCATTGTTGGACAAGGTCCTTATATTCCCGAAAACAAGTTTACAAATGGCGCAACCTGCTTCAGCCGAATTCTTGAGTGCTGCGACGTTCTTGTGGTGTCCCAGAGGCCGATTCTCTGCTCCAGGCTCAAGCTTGCTAAGAGACGTGAGGAGCATATCGAGGTTGACGATCTTCTGGCACTGATCACAAAACATATTGGGCTCGTTCATATCTGAGGAGTATAGCTTAGCGTTAACAAGGCGAGCAACAGCTGCCTAAGAGTACGATGTGTTGTATACTAAATCCAAAAGTGATGCAGCGATGCTTATAATTTATCGGTTGCGCAAAGTGTTTGATACGGTGTAAGCCTGAGTGGCAATGGGAGCCTAAATCTATCCTAATAAGATCTTGTTAGCGTCAAAGGCTGTTTGCTATACTACGGGTTACAGCAGGATGGAAACCCCTGGCCGTGCAACCTTTCTCAAGATCCACGGTTGCAACTTTGGAAAAGATCTGGAGGTCATGCTTTGAAACTTTGATTGCCTGGTGTGCAGATTTTTCCTGATACCGATAAACCTTCAGCTTCAGAGATTGTTGAACCCAAATGTCCCATCCAATAGTCAATGCGATCTTGCTTGGAGGTAGGTTACATTGCGTCTGAAACAAGTCAGCGCCACAAGGGGCAGGACAAACCTCGTCTCCAGCCTCTTCCAAACTTCAGAGGCCAATCCTCTTCACCAAAATTCTATTCGTACATTTTCGATTTAATCGTGAGCGTGCCCACGGATCAGGAACGGGCTTATGACGCAAGGCGACCGAGACTCCGTCTCAGATCACCGAAGAGCAGAGGCGCACCGTTCTCGGGCTCGTCGACCCGGCTGCGAAAATCGCCCAACGCATTCAAAATCAGTGGAACGACACCCGAAGAACTAGCAAACAAAGTCCTCACCGATCCGGAAGCCGTCGCCGAAGCAGAGTGTCACTTGATTCAAAATGGAGATCACATTTAGGATCGTTCCGAACAGATGGCCGACAGCCACATCACCTGGGCCTTGGAGGATCAGATGGTTAATCTTTCTACTACAGTTGCCCTTTGCACCCCTCAGGAAATGCTGTTAGCATGACAGTACGGACTTCTTCTTTGAGGATGGGGAAAAACAAGCGATTTGAGAATGGTGACGGGGGGCTCAACGATTAATCAGAAAAAGCAGCTGGCTTTTTGAAACAGGTTGATCAACAGAAATGGCCTTGAAGGTCTATGCGAGCACGAGTACTACTACACTCTTCAAAACTCTAAAAAGCCACAGGGATATTCAAAGATACAGTTCCATCAGGAGACGCTGCCAACGTATATATATGCTGACGACCACATTCATCTTGTTCAATCCCAAGATCTATATCATAGAGCTCTTTTGAGGAAAAGCTCAAAGACAGCTGGATCAAGCTTGGTCTGTTGAGACCAGCGTGGGGAGATACCATCACCCCCTAGTTCTTCTGGATAAGGCACCATGTGGCTATTTAATTCTTATGAGCTTGAACAAGATGCTTGGTTCGGCAACCTATTATTGCGGAACATCCAACTTGAACGTTCTAAGGTTAATGAACGTTCAAATTGAGACGAGCCTAGAGTCTACCAAAGTTTCTCGACCCTCAGAAAGTTGTTCCGCCACAATTTCGTCACCACCTGGTGAACGAGTTTCGCAGGAAATAATGAGCCCGGAATAAGTCGAGGCAAGATATGACAGGAGCGGTCAGGCAGAAGCACTCTTGCTTCGCAATTAGACCGATAAGATTATCATGGTCAGCTACCCTCACTGCAGTTCAGTCGAGAATGAGACTCGCACAGCGTGAGTAATGCAGTCTCAGTTAAATCAAAACAAATTCATGCATCCCCTCTTCCCTCCTTTTAAATTCCTCCGCCAGTGACCTTCCTTGCCCCTCTTCCACCTGAGTATCAGGGTAACTACCCAATCTCAAGAGCAACTTATCCTGCTGCAGCATACTCGCAATCCTCCCAAATTGCCGGTCCCCAGTTGCAGCGTCAGTGTCCTTAGTCGACTTCGGATCACAGCTATTAAATGCCCTCCTCTCCACTGTTTTCACATTGTTGAATCCCCCAAACAAACGCAAAAAGCCAGACTTGATAGAGCCAAACTAGTAATCTGTAGCGAGAACGATGTCCGTAGCGCGAACATCGGCAAGCGGTATCAGTGGTTTGCTGGAAGAAAAGACAAAATTAGATAAAATTAGGTGAGACTGGTGCGCCGATGGAAGCCCAGCCCCAGCTTGGAGCGACATATCCTTCTTCCTCAGCGCCTTTCCTTGGTGGTGTCTTCTCTCTTTCAACTGCAATCCAGCCATCCCAGAGTCCAGCAAGGTAGCGCTTCTTCAGGATTTCTGCACTTGCTAGTTCATGGGCGATAGAAGAGATGGCAATGAGTTTATCTGTGTGCTTCGTTAGTTTGCACAAGGTGTAGGAAGTCACTATTCTCTGCCAGCCCATGTCAAATGTCCTTATCCGCGCACCTGCCTCCTCTGTGCTAAATCGTTGACCTAGAACTCTAAGACATCTTGCGCAGAAAGAAACTATTAAACGACTTTTTGATTTATCGTCAACGACAGCTTGGTGATTGTTCGACTACTCTCTGGGAAGCAGGGTCTTTTGCGTCCGACCATGGCCAGAGACCGGATGAAAAGCCAAGCTTTTCAAACGATTAGATTAAGGGAATAGGGTATAATCAGGCTGCATTCTTAGGAGCGAGACCGTAATCTACGTACTGCCACGAATACAGTCTAAAATACAGCTCGGAACCATTGATGGAACCGAATGACGACCTAAGGAGACAACCTCTTCGGTGTCCGGACATAGTCGGAAACCAGATGAACCGTAGGCAAGTTCAGATAAAACGCCACCACTCTGTCCAACCCGATGCCACCACCACCGTGCGGCGGAACACCCACACTCTTGAACACATCCACATACTCCTTGATACCAGGTTGCTGCGGGTCCAATCCCTTGAAGCGAATGTGCGCCTCGAGTTCAGCAGGAAGGTGCAACCGCTGTCCACCAGATAGGATCTCCTGCCCACGCATGAAGAAATCGTAGGCATTAGTGAGTTTGGGATTTTCAGGGTCTGGCATGGCGTAGAACGGTCTCGCATCGACGGGGAATTTGTCGAGGACGTAGAAGTCGGTGTTGTACTTCTTCTTGATCAATGCACCGAGGGCCTTTTCTTGGGGCGTTGACATGTCTTCGTCGTCTTTGACTTCGGCGTATTCAGGTGGGCCTTCAGAGCGCAGTAGAGCTTGACCTTCGGCGAATGTGAGGCGAATTTCTTTTCCTGGTTCTGGGAGAAGGAATTCTTCGGATGGGTAGACAGAGCGGACGAGATCAATTTCTTCGCGGCATCTTACAGTGAGGCCTCGGAAGATGTAAAGAAGGACACCCTCGAGCATGTGCAGTACTTCGTGGTAGTGTTTTTGGATTTCCATTTCCAGATCGAGACCAATGAACTATTTGAGTGTTAGACTTAGTTTTGATATTGGTTGAAGAGAACACACTTCAGTCATATGTCTTGGAGTATTCGAGTTTTCGGCACGGAAAACTGGCCCCACGCAGTAAACTCTCTTGCGACCACCAGCAATCTCAAATTGCTTGTAGAACTGAGGAGACTGAGCCAAGTATGCCTCCGAATCAAAGTATGGTAGCTTGAAGACATTCGATCCTCCCTCAGACGCTGCCCCAATCAGGCACGGGGGATGGAACTTCTTGAATCGACGTTCTCTGAGGTATTCGCCGAACAAATCTTCGACAGAAATGCGGATATCAGCAATTGCTTGGCTGACTGCGGCGCGTTTGTGCATTGCCGGGTTGTTGAGATGTGTTGCCAGACTGGCAACTGGTGCACCTTCAGAAATGTTCAGACCTGCTCGAGTGCAATTCCAATCAGCGGTTGTTCAAATGTACCAAGTGCTTGTCGTACCTTCAACATTCGGATCAGCGGTCTCGTCCTGCTCAGCAAGACTACCCACAACTCTGTTGGCAGTTGCGAGTCCTAAGTTCAGCATCTCTGGAGCAGGTGCCACCAAATACAGCTTCGTGATATGCAGCTCGTAGTCGCTGACCTTACAACTCTTAACTGGTTCCAGAGGCTTCTGCACGGTTGCCTCCACCTGCACAAAACTCTCCAATTTGACTCCACCAATCCACTTCACCATCTGCCTGCTGACCGGTGTTCCCTCCGCAGACGCCGCAACAACACCCTGTATAGCCCAGCTGCCCTCCTCCCTCAACTCGACGAACGCCATCTTCGCTCCCTGCATTCTCGAGTTCTGAATCCACGCACGAAGCTCGATCGTTTGCCCGATATGTTTCTCGCCCAGCTCTCGAAGTGGCACATACTCGACGGTGGAGGATTGATTCGCAGTTTTGATATCGCCATAATTATCTTTCGCAAGGTCCTCAGCAGCAGCTCCAGTGGAAGATGAAGCAGCAGCAGCTTCGCGCTCAGCAGCCTTGCGTGCCTTCTCGGCCTCCTTCTTGGCCTTGGCTTCAGCCTTTTTGGCGCCTTTCTTCGACGTTGTCTCTTCCATGTTGCGTGGTGTCAATTGGTCCTGGCTCTTCTGAGGCAATGGAGAGAGTTTTATAGTTGGAGGGAAGAGGAGGTGGGGTGAGAGTCACCGGCGAAAAAGTGCGCTAATATTCGGATTTTTTTAAGCGAGGGTTCAGCCTTGTTTACCCCGCGAGGCTGACGACTTCGGGGAACTTGGGTTCATTTGTTCCTGAAAAAATGCAAACATTTAAAATATTTATTGCTTCAAGGCACGCAATTAAATTTGCACATGCAATTACCCTGTACAGCAGAAATTCGATCGTTCAACAGTATCCGATCGCTGAAAATTTGAAGTCACGGGCAACTTAGGGCGAGAACACAAACGTCGCCCAACTTTCATCTCGTGCCTTTCATCAAGCCATTTCAAAATCACCACACAGCATTCTCTTCTCACTCTCTTCTCTCTCTTCACACATTCGAGTTCAAGTAATGTATTATCGTACATCGCATTACTCATTAACTACTTACTCGCAAACAATTCGTATCCAGCCCAGCCTCCTGGCACGCTAGATATCCATGCTTCTTCACCAGTTCCCTTCAAATTAAAGGAACTCGGGGAAAAACGCATCCTGAACGCCATACCATCCAGCCACGCAATGCAGAAAAGATTAGATTCTCCAACGAAAACGCTGCCATGCTTTACCGTATTAGAAGCATGGATGCCATTCTGACATCTCCCAATGCGCCATAAAAAAGTCTTCAGAAGGGATCTAAAAACCACCTTCTTTCCTTCCCCTCATCCTGATACGCCATTATTGACTCGAAAGGGTATTGTAGAAATCAAATCTCCATTCCACTTCCACCCGGTACCTTCTTCTCCGAACATGTAAAGAGATTAACATGGTTATCGCCTCTCGCTGCACAAGCTAGCATCATGTGATGGGGATGGAATGCAGTTGCTGAAATGGGAGCCTGACGGGCTTGGTGCAGGAAGCTGGAGTACGGCTCGATGCGCGAGAGCTCTTGGCCTTCGAAGTTGAAGACTTTGACGGCGTGGTTGCCGGTGCCGCTATCCAATCGTTAGCAACTGGTTCTAAGGGTAAAGCGGGGGTTGGGGACTTACACAGCAAATACTGGAAGATGTTCATGCGTACTTGCTGTTCGTAACGTTTGGCCGGTGGTGTTGATCGTCCGCAAAGGCTTGTCCATTCGGATATCCCAGAGCTTGACCTTGCCGTTGCGACTGGCGGATAAAAGCTCTCGCTGACCGCCTCGTTGCATGTGCACGCTCTTGATCCAGACTCTGTCGGTCTCGTCCTTCCATTTCTTAACCATCGCTTCTTGAGGCCTGTTCCGAGCATCGAAGACTCGAATCGCTCCATCTCCAAAACCAGCAACGAAGATGTTGCCGGTCATTTGATCGGAGGTCAGAGAAGTGACACACGAACCCGATCGTGCATTGATGTCGACGACGCAAAGCTCGGGTGCTGCGGCCCATACTCGAATGACTTTAACATCACCAGCGACCAAAAGCTTGCCAGATACCTGCTGCCAGTCGAATACCAAACCGGAGTTGACATTGCTAGGGACAAGATGAGTCAAAGCTCTCCAGGCAGATGCAACTTCGATCTTCTTGTCGGAATCATAGTTCCTATATATGCGAATAACACCGTCTGAAGAACCTGTGAGGAGAAAAGCCTGGTCGTCTTCGTTGATGAACTGAAGGTCACTGATCTTAGATCCTTCCGGGTTACCATTCGAGAATCTGCTCAGCCGGTCTTGCTTCTTCCAGTCCCAGATACAAATTGTATCCCGATCATCTGAAACTGCCAAATGGTCCTCGAACTGGTGGAAAGTCATCTTCGACGGCTGGCTTTGATTATTGAAGAAACCAGCTGGGGTCGTCCATCTACCGCTGCCTGCAATCTCCTTCTGCGGCTGCGTCTCTCTCAAAATTGCTTCATTGCGAGAGCGGCGCCACAGCCGCTCGTTGTAGTCAGTGCTTCCCGGCTCTTCGGCTTCGTTTGGCTTCATTTGAGGTTCCCGGAAGTACTCAATCGACCATTCAAAGAAAGTGCTTACGAGAGGTAAAGTGGGAGGAGTTGACAGCTTTCGAGGTACGAATCCACCAGACATCGGCTCCTTCGCGGCATGATATGTTCCGGGAGTGGCTGCGGTATCATTTTGCTCTGGCGGGGCGTTGAAATCTGGGAGCCTTGAGCGTAAAGGAAGGGGACTCCGTTGAGCTCCAGGTGACTTTGGAGGGTTTCTACCCAAAGAGTGTTCTGGTGATGTGTCTGCACTTGAGCCACCAACGAATGGCATAGTAAACAGATAGCTGGCGGTCCGCTTGAGAAGGCTTTGTTGGGTTGTAGGTGCTGACGTCATTGAGTCTTGTCTGATAGGTGTGCTAGGTCGTGGATCAGTTGCGCTCTGGTTTGATGCGGCTGATCTTGCAACACGACGATTGATGTCGTCAATGATATTCTGAGCATGGCCACCAAGCGGAGATTGGAGCAAAGAGCAGTGGATACAATCGATGATTATGGTTGCATTGCGTTGAACTTCGGGATGTGGATCGACCGCCATGATGAGGACATGCTTCCAAACGGCTGCGAATATCGAATTATGAGCCACGCCATGAGCTGTAGCTTTGATCGTGCCGTCGAGGTTGCGATTTTCCATGCGGGCATAATGCAGGCCCATCTTGTGATCATTTCCATCATCAGCTGGCGGGAATTGCCGGTACTCGCGCTCCTCTTGCAATTGCTCGTAAGCTGCTACCAAGAACTTGTTTTCATATCGCTGAATGAACTTGGAGAAGTAGACCAAAAGTTCTTTTCGTACCATGGCATTTCCGTCGTTCGCCATCTCCATGACGGTCCACGAAATGTTCTCTTCGATCCGGGCCACCTCATCGGTCAAATCCTGGATTCCCAAGAATGTGGTCATAGCATAAAGCATTGCAGCCCGGACTTCGCAGCAGACATCCCGAACCAGAAATGCAAGCTTTGACGGCGCATTTTCTCTAATACCTCGCCATTTTGCATCCGGAAGATCCTTCCATAACTGGCTGATACAGAGACACGCCCATTGTCGCAAGAGTGGATTTTCGGCATTCTGGAGATGGACCAAACAATAGGTCATGATTTCTGACTGATTGCACACAGTCTGGCCTTGTTTGTAGCCATCACAAAGTCTGGCTAAAATGAAGGCACACATAGCCTTGTGCTCAAGACTGTCGACGACCGGGAGCCCCTCTGTGGGCTTTAAGATGACGGCGAAGTACATGTATCCACTATCCCTGTCACTCATAAAGTCAGTAGCCACAAATGAACGAGTCTGCATCACCAACGGTATACTATATATATTCTAGAATAGGAAAATAATTATTGATGGAGGTGGTCGATGTACTTACTTCAGTAGGTCGGTTTGGCAAGTAAGGTCAACAGCCAACACTCGGGTCCAGATGAAAACCATGACCGGCTTCAGTTCATTCGCAGCCGATTGGAGTAGCTTTAGAACATAAGGGAAGATACCGATGCTCAAAGCAAGGTTGACGGCCCAAGGGCCCATATCCAAGAACTTGCCCAGCAGAATCAAAGCTCTAACTCTGTGCTGCTGACTTAGAAGGACTTGGAGAACAACTGGCAACTGATCGGGAGCTTTATGTGTGACAGCGCCTTGAGTAAGATAAACCTCAAAGGCTGTGAGCTGCTCCGTAAAGAAACTTGAGTTTTGGAACTCGTAGTCAGGGCGGATTCCAGCTTCTTTCTCTTCCAATTGAGGCAATTGCGCAAGAGCCATCTCCACGGCCAGATCCCAACTCTCCCAGAGGGGGTGTTGATGAGTATCGGGAAGCTCGGGAAATGATTGAGGATGGCAATTGTAAGCAGACATGATTCGTTGCGAGAGGAGGAAGTTTCGGAAGAGTGCTGCGACCATCAGGTCTTGTCGGAAGAATTTTCGGAATAGTGGGCGGGGCAGAGTGGTCCATGCAATTGTGTCGGTGATGGCAGTAAATATCCAATTCAGCTCTCCAAGTGGCGTTCTTCTCTCCTGCAACCGCCCTGGAAGCTTCTTCGCTCTCTCTGGCGTGATTTGTGAGGGCAATGGATTTTGTAAGACGAAGAACCAGAGGGCCATCTCAATGGGTGTAGTAAGGCATGATGTAAATACATCTGCTGGCAGCAAGGGATTTGTAGGGAGGTTCTCCTTCACTCCGCAAGCCGCCAAATGAATGTAGGGTTTATATGGTTGAGAGATGTAGTTTGGGTCTTTGGCGCTTTGGTCTACTTCCTCCTGTTCATGCTTTTCGACGAACCGGTGGAAGTTATTCAGAATATTGCCAGCGTCAGAACAGTCCCAGACATAGAATGTCGGCGCTCCGAGCCAGGATTGGAGATCGTAGAGCGAGACTGGGATGTACTGTGTGTAATTCTTGTTGAAGACCCAGATCTCGCCAGAGGCGGTAGGTTTCGGGACTCCATGGCCATTGTAATGAAACAAGACTCTCTCCTCCTTTGCATTTCTTCGGAGCGACTGACAGAATTTCTTGGTCTCCTCAACCGAGGGATCCAGGTATTGCTTGTACCTTGTTCGAATCGCGAGGGTCTCGTATTGATTTTGGAGCGACTTTCCAATAATTTCAAGAGCCTTTTGTACAGGGGGGTTTGTCGGATCTTGCCAAGCTTCGAGTTTCGCTCCAGGGGTCGTCTTCAACTGATCCGGAGGCTCAACTCCTATGTTCAGACATATCGCTAGCGCAGCGGAAACTGTTTTTAGCCGATCCTTCATTCGCCAATCTTGAAGTTCGTAGCCAACGGATTTCGGGTTTCCTGTGGTCTCATGTCGCTTGTCGGTGAAGTACATATACCAGTTCTGATTGAGTTGGTTAGCATTTTCTGCAGATATCTCTCCCCAGCAAGCATTCCAAGAAGACAAGCGAGCAAGGAGCTGACTGCGGGTGCGATCTCGCGTCAGGCGATTGGTACCGCATTGCAGAATGATCCCGCAAGTGCCACCGAGGCTTTCCCAGACGTTGAGGTTCTCTTCATCAGAAGAATATGCCCTCTCAAGGGTGCCATCGAAAGTAGGGAGAGTTTCGTACATCATAGGGGTTAAACAGAGAAAAGAAGGCATTGCTTATATCCAAAAGTAACCAGGAAACGGGGATGCAAAGGTGAAGGAAGCTAGACGTGGCCAGAGTTTGGCTAAACCGGCCGCCTCAAGGAAGTTCAGACGAAAGGGAAAGAGCGACTCACGTTTGCCAACTGCGACACATATTCCTCGGAAGCATAATGGTCTTCAAATCCATGTCTCGCACCCCAGTCCTGGATGTCATCATCCGCCTGCGATTCCTGATCTTCACCTCTTGGTCCGATATCACTCTTTGACCTCTGGAGTAAAGGCTTTGGTCTATGTCTTCTTCTGTCTGGTTCTGATTCATCCGGGGAAGTCTCTCCTGCGCCATTTGGAGCTGATGTTGGACGTGCTTGCAAGTACGCGCGGTGCTTGCCTTTGTCTGCGACGTCACCTGCATTTGGTTGTGCTCTTCCTCCTGAAGCGGATGGCTCTCCAGCAGACGATCTACTTCCATTGACCGCCGGTACTGGATCATTGCTCACAGCTGGCCGCGAATTCATAGCCCTTGAACCTCCATTTAGCAGAGGTGACTCTTGTGGTGGAATCTGCGCAGCACTCGAGGAGCTATAGCTTTCGGGTCGCGACTGATGCGCGGATGACACGTTTGAGGAGTGAGGGGAGTGTCGTGGGCTATATTGCTGGCGGTGAGCTGCATGCTGCTGGACTGCGACTGCAGTCATCGTCATGGCTGCGGAGATGCCGCCCTGCTCAAATTATGGGGTTGCTCATGTGTTTGTCTTCGGTGGGGTTTCGATGCGCCCGGTATCGATAGCGGATCGTCTTCGAGGGTCTTCAATAGTCGGTGTGGCGGTGGGAAGCTTCGGTCTGGCATGGTCAGTCAGGCAAACACTTTCGCTTTCGTCGGCCAATACGAGAAAGTTCTCCCCTGCACGGATGTTGCTTTTGCTGGGCATTACTCACTGCGAACAACTTGATAGCGGATCTCACGGGAATCCAGACGCTGCAGATGATGCTGAATTGCATGCGCGGGGTGTGGGCAGTCGAAGTTGAGCAAGAGGCATTCGTATCCGAATTCACCAGTGTGCACCGATCTAGGTCTCGAGCTGCGGCACAAAGATGTCACGAGCTTGTCATAACCGGCTCGAGGGAGCCTCAACGCCAACAAGAGCCAAGAGGAGTCCCGGCCACCGAAGCGAGGCCACCCTGTGCCGAAGGGCGCGATACCCAATTGGGACCTGCCCCACAGACGCTCCCCTATCGCCGTGCATGTATGTCTGCGCTGTGTGCGTAGAAACAGACCGACTTCACCGACCTCAAAGTCAAAGACGCTTTCTCCCTCTTTCAACCGCCTCTGGTGCTGCAGCTGCAGGTGAGGCTTCGGGTCAGATCAGACGAGATGAGAGCCAGCCCTCCTGCCAGCCCTCACCCTGACGAGATTCATTGGCTTTGTATGGCTGCACTCGCCTCCTACGTTGTACCTTGTCATGGCTATTCTAGGCGCCCACAGCATTTACTGGTCAACTTCCGCAGGCCATGGCCAATTGCATCTCCCAATAATGCTTTTGGTACCGCCAGATTCCTTCAGCACCAGGTACCAACGCACTTGTTGCTGATCAGGTCACAGAAGGCTGCACAAAGGCCGATCGTGATGTCTGCGTTGCACAATTATCAGATCCTGAGACGTATCCTCTCCCGGGCAACCCAATTAACGCTGCTGAGGCCGTTTCCCGATCAAACTGTTGTGACGGGAGACATACTGATGGACAGCAGAGAGCATAGCGCCCATGGAGCTCCTATCCTTATGCCATTCCACTCTAACACAACAGCATGCCACCACGCCACAAGCGATTCCGTTGTGACGGGTTATGTGCCCCATGCAGTGCGCATATTTGTGGATGATGCAGTTTTTTGTCTTGCTGAGCCTGAAGGCAAATATTTGAAGCTCTGCCGAGGCCTTCCATTTCTATTCCTGTTCTCTGCTCACGCACTCTGCGAATCCTGGAGGATCGTCATGTTTAAGAGGGGTGCGCGGTGGTCACCTGGAACCTTTCCTTGTCACGAAGCACAATGCAATCGAAGCACCCATAAACCTAATGCGGCATGCCACGCATCTCCAGCTTCAGAGCTCCAGCACCCCAGAATCCAGATCCTCAGATAGGCAGAGGGAATATATCCTCTTCCCTTCCACCAGCTTCAATAAAGTTTGGAGATTTCCTCCAGAATACAAAAAACTCTAAAATCACGTCCCGATCCTCTCCCTTTGATGAAACAACCGCCGTTGCCCAAACCAGCATGGCGCCGGTTGAGCCCTGCACTCTCAACTGAGACCTCATGTTCGTTTCTGGTCAGGGGTGCCGGCTGGCTCAATGAACTGTGGTGGCGAGCAGCGTGGACGTGATGGTAGACTTGAAAATTTGAGAGGAGAGCCTCCTTTCTTTGTACATACAGATTATGTTAAAAGCCCGCGGCACTCAATCCTACACGGCATTCTTGCCAATATCAAATATTAAAGCGGATTCGGAGTGCTGACTGGACGTTGATGTTGAACCTCAGACCCCCTTCTTGACTTCGCTGCTCCTAAGCGAATTATTTCGGAGCGCGCAAGAGAGCGAGCCTGCATCATTGACCGGGTTCCATCATCGACAATCCCCATTACTCCAATTTCGCACCCCCGACGACATCTCCGGCCTCCAAGGAGACGGTATCTACTGTCGCTCTCATCTCTGCTCCTCGCTGCGAGACTGCGGTCCTCGAGGACGTTGTCCAGCTACCGTCACCACGCTCCTCTTCTGATCGCAGATCCCCAGCCATTTCAGGCCGGACCCTGGGCAAGCTCAGACAAAATCTCCTATCCCACCACCACTGGAACCTTGAACCTCACACCCCAAACGAAAAAGATTTCTGGAAATCTCGAATACCAGCGCGTTCTGGGCAGACTGGCATAGCACAGGAGGTTGCCGGCCGCGCATGGCACGATGGCATTCCTCTTCAAGAGCAAGAAGAATGCGGACAAGGCACAAGGGGCCAAGGATGGTTCAAATGGCGTCGCAGGATCGCAGTCGTCCTTCAACAGCTCGAATGGCCGCATGAACGAGAAGGGCGCTGTGCAGCAATCGTCGACGCCCTCAAGTAGTGTCAATAATTCGATGAACTCGCTGCAAGGAGGTGGAACCGCGACACCCAGTCCAGAGCAGGTCAACGTCCGCCGAGCTCCCAGTGTAGAGCAGACGTCGGACCTTCCGGTGAGTGGACCTTTCTCTGGACTTGCGCGACGCGCATCTCCATTTCTGGTGCAATATGCTGACTGCGACAGTTACGGAACGGTTCTGCGCCTGCAGTCCAATCGATGAATACAAATCCGAATGCCTCCTTATATCCCTGGTCTCAGCGGCGGTTAACATACACAACCTCTCATCCAAGTCCGTTTCCTCGATATGGCGCCGCTGTCAATTCAGTTGCCTCAAAAGAGGGTGATATTTACCTCATGGGAGGGTTGATAAACAGTTCTACGGTGAAGGGAGACTTATGGATGGTAGAGGCTGGAGGAAATATGGCGTGTTACCCCTTGGCGACCACAGCTGAAGGACCGGGACCAAGAGTTGGGCATGCGAGTTTACTCGTTGGAAATGCGTTCATCGTCTATGGGGGAGATACCAAGATGGAGGATTCGGATACCCTGGATGAGACGCTGTACCTCCTAAATACTTGTAGGTTCGGTCTCAACAGATGTTGGGATGTTGCTGACAAGCATAGCTACGCGACAATGGTCCAGAGCTGTGCCCGCAGGACCTCGACCTTCCGGACGATATGGACATTCGTTGAATATTCTAGGCTCGAAGATTTACGTGTTTGGAGGTCAGGTGGAAGGATATTTCATGAACGATTTGGTTGCGTTCGACTTGAACCAATTGCAAAATCCGACGAACAGATGGGAGATGCTCATCCAGAATAGCGACGAGGGAGGTCCACCTCAAGGGCAAATACCTCCGGCGAGAACAAACCACTCGATTGTGACGTTCAATGACAAATTATATCTGTAAGTATTACGACAAAGTATGGTCATTTTGTACTGACAAGCATAGATTTGGCGGAACTAATGGCTTCCAATGGTTTAATGATGTTTGGTGCTACGATCCTGTACCTAATGCCTGGATGGCTCTCGACTGCATCGGTTACATTCCAGCCCCTCGGGAAGGTCACGCAGCAGCAATCGTGGACGACGTAATGTATGTCTTTGGTGGACGAACGGAAGAAGGAGCAGATCTTGGAGATTTGGCTGCATTTAGGATATCCTCGAGGCGATGGTACACATTCCAGAATATGGGTCCTTCGCCATCACCAAGATCCGGGCACAGCATGACAGCTTATAACAAACAAATTGTTGTTTTGGCAGGAGAACCGAGCACTGCAAGCCGAGAAGCTCAAGACCTTGCAATTGTCTATTTGCTCGACACTAGCAAGATTCGATATCCAAACGACCAACAACCTCCCGCTCCTGCTGCAGATCGTGTTCCTGGAGCAAGGAGACCCAGCACATCGGATAATAAAAATGGCATGGGACCCACTCGCAACCTCAGCTCTCGAGATGGATCGACATTACCAGAGCCAAAGAGACTCCAAGGACCTCCTGGGCGGGAAAGTGTAATGGCACCTGGTTATGGGCGTGGGAATGGGCAACCTGGTGTAAATGGCAATGACCAGAATGGAGTAGCGCCTGGGTCAGCGCAACCGCAAGGAGCTCCCATTGGTGCTCCTCAAGGACCCCAAGGTGCTGCCACACCAGGCTCAAAGCTGCCAAGAGCTTCGATGGCACAAGCTCCACCAGGTCCTCCTCCACAACAGCAAGCGCCAAACCCGCGATCAAATGGCCCAATACCAGCCGCCAATGGACGCGGTAAGCCTCAAGGCAAGCCAGAAAGAGGATTTGGACCAGCCATTGACACAAACGTCCGAAACCCATCTGTGGAAAAGATTTCCGGGTCTCCGATTCAAGGACAGAACCGAACAATGTCCCCTGCTCGAAGAGAAAGCCCACAGCCTCGAGAGAGTCCATTGGCCAATGGAAGACGTACCCCAACACAAACCCAGCAGGCTTCGAAACCAGTGGGAGTGGAGAATAATGGACCACCGGTCAGCATGGGCAATAATGTTGGAACAACGAGAGCCTCGTCGAAGACCCGGACAGGCCGTCAACAGAGCTCTATTGACAGCACTAGCGAGCAGTCTTCTCTACGAAATGTTACAAATGCACGCCAAACATCACCGCCTCCCCCAACAAGACAGACTAGCAATCCATTAGTACGAAAAGGGTCCGCTCGGAATTCCCAAACGGTTGCACTTCTGAAAGAATTGGACGCAGCAAAGAACCGGAACGCGTGGTATGCATCAGAGCTTGAACTTGCGCGGAAAGCTGGATACGTCCCAAATCCGTCAAGCAGTCCAATTCTTGATCAACGAGCCGCGGAGTCGTTTGATGACGATGACAAGCCGCTCATTGAAGCTTTGATTGCCATGAAGAGCGAGCTCGCTAATGTCCAAGGATCAATTGACAAACAAGCCGTTCTTGCTGCAAAGCAGATTGCGGAAGTTGAGAAGCAGCGCGATGCAGCTGTCAGAGAAGCAGTCTATGCTAAGGCCAAGCTTGCTGCACATGCTGGAAGTCAAAGCAGTACCCCTCAGCCGGACGCTGAAGGCGTCCGCGATCTTGGTATCATGTCGACCGACAGATCAACGGATATCAGCCGGAAGCTTGCTTCTGCACTCGCCGAGCAACGCGACCTGCAGAGTAAACTTGAGATGCTGACTACTGAACTCGACGCAGAGAAGCGTGGCCGAAAGCTCGCAGAAGATACCTCAAACTCTTGTCAAAGCAGGATATCCGAATTGGAGATGTACAAGCAGCAAAACTCTGGCGAGGTCGAACAGCTAAGAGCTGAGTTGCATGAATTCCAAAAGAGAGCACGGGAAGAGGCAGTCGTCTGCGCTGAGGCTGTCTCAGCTGCGCAACTTCTCCAGGCAGATAAAGATGAGCTGAAGAGCAAATACCAAGACGCCGTTGGATCGTCAAAGGACCACAGCGACACCTTCGAGTCGCTTCGTGAAGCTATCGCATCCTCCGCGGACATGAGAATTCTCCTAGAGCGCAAATTGGACGAAGAACGTGCTCAAAGAGAGAAAGTTGAGAATAAGCTTAACAAGCTAAAAGCAGAACATGAGAATCGTGTGACTGAGCTGGAGACTGCAACTCGAAGATTACGGGATACTGAAGAGCTGGCGGAGCAACATGCAACCGAAGCACGAACACATCGACAAGCTGTCCTCTCTGGACTTGATCGAGTTGCCGCACGCGACGTCAATTCGAAGAGCTCTATGAACAACGACCGTATTGCGGCTCTCCAAGCACAGGCTGCAGCTTCGAATGCTTTGGTTCGCAAGTACCAACAAGCAGCTGATACGGCCTCTGAAAAATTACGCAGCGCTGAAGAGCGTATTGCTGGTCTTGAAGCGTATCAAGAGCAAGCTAGCCGGGAAGGCATGTCAATTCGCAAGCAGCTCCAGTCGACAATGCGAGAAGTCCAAAGTTTGCAAGCTGCGAACTCAGAAATGAAGTATCAGCTTGCAAATCAACAGCTCGAGACCAATGCTGTCCATGTGCAGCACAATACCTTGAAAGACATCCTTGGCGAGCGTGGTATCAGCCCGTCTGGTGCGGCCAGAGTCCGCGGTCTGTCAAGTCCCCAATCAGGCGCCAATACTCCTGACCTGTCTCGTCTACGCGAACTTGAGCAACAGCTAGCCTCCAGCGTCCAGGCCCACCAACAGACAAAGCAAACTTTCGAGGCCCGCGAGCAAGAGGCCGAGGCAACCTATAGAGAAAAGTTAAGCCAGCTCGAACACGACTATCAGTCCGCAGTCCACTACGTGAAAGGCACTGAGAAGATGCTCAAGCGCATGAAGGATGAGTTGGACAAGGCCAAGTCTGATAATACTCAACTGAAGAAAGACCTCTCCAAGGCTGAAGAAGGCAAGGGATTGTCAAAAGAGGGTTCATCTGGATGGGAATCCGAGCGTGCTTCACTCAACACACAAATTGAGTCTTTGCAAGCAGACATCAAGACATCTGTCAGCCAGATGGAGCGACAAATGGCTGAGGTCAAGAAGGAATTGGCAGCTGCACAGCAGGAGCGCGATCAACTCAAGCATCATAACGAGGAGACTCAACGTCAACTGTCAACATCGACTCAACAAGCACGTTCTGATCTTGCCCAACTGCAGCAAGAGAACGCTCTTTTGGAACGTCGTGCTCAGGATGCAGAGCAAAAGGTTTCCTTGCTACTCGACCAGGTCGAGCAATCAGTTGATACCTATCGACGCCAATCAAGGCAAGTCGACACGAATGCTGCCCCAGGCAAATCTCACGAGCGCACCCTCTCAACCTCTGAATCCGTCTCCGAATCATCTCTCTACGATGGTGGAAATCGAAATTCAACAGCCTTGGACAGCCTTGCCAATGAGCTTGAGACATTGCGGTCTCACTGGGAGAACACAAACAAGAACTATAGACTCAGCAATGCGTTTGAGTTCGAAGAGCGAACACTGATTACTCGTGGAGCCAACGATACGCTCGCGGCATCAAATGCGGGTGATGGCTTGAGTGGCAGCCTTGCTGACTGGAGAAAGAGACTTGATGCTGAGGAAGAGGTTGCGAGGAGTCGAAAGGGAAGTAATAGTGAGATCTCGCCTGGTGGGTTAGCGGGGTCCAGGGAGATGAACCCAAGTGAGGTTGGGATGGGTGCGGCTGGGAAGAGCCAGGTCAATCTGATCTGATCCTCTTCTCCATCCACGAAAATCATAAATGGCAAGCCGAGGATAGGGCTTGGGGAGTTGAGTAAACGAAAGAGAGTGGGGGTTCCAGGATTGCTGTTGCATATACCATTTGGATCATACCGGTGGTCTTCTCGCACTCGCTCAACACACACTACAAGATTCATGGTATTCTGGCGTTTTTTCGGTTCAGGATTCGATATCTCTTCATTCAATTTTTCCACAGGACTTCCTTCGTTTTGTCCTTCTAGGGTCTTAGTTGGAGTCTTCTACCGGTCGCAATTTTCTAGTCTTCATTTTGAGTGCGAGGTCGGTGATTGACATTGAATTGGGAGTCACTGCTGGGGTTGGATGATGCATATGATGATTGATTGATCGATGGCGAGCTAGTTTATTGGTGGCAGTGTCAGATTGAGAGGAGGGAGATGGAGAGAAGGGGGAGAGAATGGGATGGTGAATGAAAGAGATAATGTAAAATATGATTCTTTGTGTGTGTTTCGCGGCATGCATATTGTAGGGTAGATGGAAGGGCCGCTCCTGAATAATAGAGCGATCGATATGACATGAGGATGGAATTCAGATCTTTTACCTATTGCGTCTCGCTCCTCGCTAAGAGCAGCAGATTCACGTTTTCAGCTGTGCTCTCATTTTCCTCGCCTTCCCCGGCCCTGCCTTCCCCTCCTACCCTTCCTTTTGCAAGTAAATCTAGCTTCTTCCTTTTCCTCTTCCTTTCCTAGGGCTTAGATACGCCTTTCCTTCCGTAATCGCTAGGAAGGGAAGGGAAGGGTGTTGCGGCATATTGTTAAAGGAGTAATAAATAAGGAAGAGGGGGGATCTCTTCCTTCTCTTACTTCTTAAATTATTATACAAAAATAAGGATAATTCTTACGATAATTTAATTGAATTAGAATTAATAGAAACTAGGAATGAAGGCGAAACTATTAAGAAGCTAGTTAAATGATGGGGAGCGGTTTATAAGAATCGCGAGGTAAAACTTTAAAGGGGGACGCTTAAGAATACTGGACTACTTTCCTCCCTCTTCCTTTCCCCTTTTAAGACTCTCCTCGGCTTGCCTTTCCTAGGCCCTTCAATTCTTTTCTTTCCTCTTCCTTCCCAGGACTATTCCCTTCCTCTTCTTTCCTACATAAGATATGAAAGGCGGGCAAACTAAAAACACTGCTGTCAAGCTGAATTGATGCGATTGACTGAGTGCAACACGAAGATAGAGCTTACATAAATAGTGTGAGAAACTGAATCGTGCAAATTGAGAGCATGAAGGCGTATGCAATCCAGATAAAACAGCGCTGTAAATCAAACAAGGACGCGCACGTAACAGGGAACTGGCAACTAGTTTTCAAACAAGCCAGAACCGCCGTCTCTTCTCCTGCCATTCAGAATCCACCACCTCATTATTCATAAACCCGTGAAGATAGCACTCTCCAATAATCTTCCATCTTTCACGATCTTGGTCGGGATCTTTCTGTCCAGTCGCTGGAAGTCCATCGGGTACCAACTCGTTGCCGCTCACTTTTCGAAGAATAGAAGGGGTTTGCGCACCGTCGAAAATACAGATCGCGTCACCTGCTTCAGCGAAGCCAGGACCAATTCCAATATATCCAGACTTGGTAATGATATATGTCCGCCCTGTAGATATATTTAAGATCGAGGTGGTGTATGCCCGATGCTTTTCGCGCAATGCCTTAAGCGCCACGGTAGAGCATTCCATATTGGATTGAGAAGGAGCATTGTTATCCACAAGACACTCATACCAGTCTTCCCACATTTTCAGCATGGCTTCGGGACTGATTGTCTTACCTAACCTGATCAGACTCTCGGTATCCCTATTGTCCAGGAGCATGCATCGGGCAAAAGCCAACTTTGGATCTTCCCCCATTGGATAAGAGTTCGTCGTCGTCCTGCTGCTGAAAGCATTTCCGAACAACCGAACCCTTTCTACTGCCCGTTGGAACCCCAGTGTGGAATCTAGCGGGATCTCCTCTGTTAAGGAAATCGAAATGTCGACTATATCGACACAAACACCGTCAAATCCCACGCTATAGGTATTAAAGTTTTCGAAATAGACTTTGGGTGATAATTTTGTCGCTGCTAGAAATGGGGGTTCTGTGTCCAAAAATGACGTTCCCTTGCGCTCGTGTCTCCCTGGAAAAATTGAGTCGTCAGCTTTCGCTTTGATTTAGCATGATGAAAATATTTGGAGTTAAAAGGGATTTCATTCAATATCTTTGAACTGGTAATACAAATAGTCGATTGGGGAATATATAGAATCCGTGCAGGGCGCAAGTTGACCTACAGTCTGGGACCCAAGATGGGAGTGTCGGCCCCGGAACGTACCCAGAACTCGGGCTGATTCCAATAGCCGGGGTTTTCTTGGAATAACCACTAGTATAATTAAGAATGTCGAGATTTCCATTCTTTAGATACTCCAAGGCCAGTCGAATATAAAGCGTTTCAACGCTTATACTGTAGTCTATCTCCAGGTCTAATCCTGGCCCCTTGGATACCAAAGCGAGTGTTCCGTAGACACGATCAAGGTCAAGTGTACATAGTCGTCGACCATGGAACCACAGCCCATCCAGTAGGTCGAACTCTAGTTTGTTTCTGTGAAAATCCTCCCTATCGTTAAATAGGTAGACAGTCTTGAAGAATTGCGTTGCAGATAGACGTTGTGTAGTCGGATGCCTTTCAAGCAGAAAGCCGAGAGCTACCGCTAGTAGGACTTCCTCATATGATAACAAGTCGTGACAATTAAGGATTTCAACTCGTGATGCCAATACAAATTCCTGGACGATCCAAAGTCTATCAAACCAGGCCTGGGCGAAGAATGCGTTAAGTGAGGTAAAGTCGATATCCCATGAAAGCCGGAGCAGCGCAGCTGATATTCCATTATTCTTATCCCATAATTTCCCCAAAAGTTGCTCGGCATAAAAGAAAGGTCGATCGGATTGTAGACCATATTTCCAAGCTGAGTCGGCAAGTCTTCTAATGGTTTCGATTCCAGCATGAATTTCGGCATTGCCTTCACCTAGCCATACCGAAACGCACTCTGCATTCCGAAAGATTTGTGCCATGAAAGCAACTTGATGGCCTTTCTCTTGATCATCCTGCTGATTGATACACACAGCATCGACCCATAGATGGCGAGGCCGGTCACGATATCGCAACCTTTTCAATCCAGTTGCCGAGTTCTTAGTGATCGCCAATGTCCCACTGGGAAGATGAATCCTCTCAGTTAACGCTTCAGTCCCCCAGCAATAAGAGAGAGCCTCATATGATGGACTGTCTGAAATTTCCGCGGTCGTGAGATGGCATCGCAGTTCGGGGTCATCAGACGAGGCTGGCGGCAAGAGGATGAGGATTCTGATCTTGCCTTTGGGGTCGTCGATTGGTTGGTACTCATATGGCTTCATGGGACTGTCGGTTTCAGCGATTGAGGCATTGGAAGTGTCCATCTTGTGCGGTGGGGTTTGTATCAGTGATGATGGAAGAAAAGGAATGGGGTTGACAGACGAACGGTGAAACGGCAGAGAGAGATTGTTCGGCTCAGCCACGTTGGGAGGCAGGCGCCATCCACGTGGCACAAGTAACTTCCAACGGAGTATGCTCTTACTTCTTTGTCCACGCCTGGTCTCAGGAGAGAGAGACAGTCTTATATATCAGTATTCCTTAATCACCAACTCCGTCCGCTGAGACGCGTAACGAAGTTTGGCGAGAGCTTAGAATTCGAGGAGTTGGTGTGTAAGAAAAGAACTGTATTGTACCCTTTTGTTCTTGAATGAGCTCGCTAAGGTCTCGCAATCTCACCTTTTCCATCTTCAAGCAGTGTTCGGCATTAGGTTAAGTTTCATAGGTCCAACCTAGGTAACCTACCGTAGGTTACTTACCTAAAGGATTTATTTAGGTTTAGGTTTGGTATAGGTCATAGGTTGAACCTATTCGGCCTATCAAAATTTGTATGTAGGTTAACCTACCTACAGCTCTCAAATTAGGTAAGGTTACCTACCTATAAGGGGTGTAGGTTGGGTAGGTCCAACCTAATGCCGAACACTGTAGACTTCAAGACCTTAAGAAGAACATGGAGCACGATTATTTGTCCATTTGTTCGCTAAGAAATAACAAGTAGATTTCAACGTTTTTCGCCGCAAAGGACAAGCCCTAGGCGATGAAAGAGAATCCTTGGCCAGAATCCCATGGTGTCCAAAACATTGCCTTCAAACCATCCAGGAAAGAAAATTTACCAAAATCCTTTCCACCATTTTCCCAAACCTTCTTCCCGCTCAACTCGTAGGCCTACACTTCGTCGCGGCACAATACCCACTACAGCAATTCCCCAAAAACGTCCCATGCTGTCCTGACCACTCGCACGTCGCTACAGAATTCCTCAATCAGCCTTCTACTTTCTTCTCTCGATTCCCAAATCTCTCCTTCAAAGGGTTGAATACTCACCATAATTAGGCAAACACTGTCCACCGGCTCCTGTAGCCATACAAGCCACGCCCGTAATCGGCTGCGGCGGCCCAACAGCAAGGTTGCTGCCTGCGGACGACATGCCCGTTAGCACGATGGTCGCGTCGTGGGGAGTGTAGAAGTTGCATTCGTAGTAGGCGGGGAAGGTGCCAGGGGCGATGAGGGAGACGGATAGGTCGTTGTCTAGAGGTTGTTAGTGCTTGTTTGTGGGGGGGGGGGAAGGGGGTGCGAGAAGGCTCGTGGGCAAGAGGAAGGAGATTGAGACGGGGAAAGGGGAGAGGGGAGGTACTCGTTGGATACATATTTCCGTCTGCGGGGAATGTTAGAGTATAAGATGCTGGCCCGCCAGCGAAGATGAAGGTTAGCTGTTCGTAGGCAAACGGTGGGTCGGCGTCGGTAACTGGAGCAGCGAGGAGGAAGGGGAGGTTGACGAGGAGGAAGAAGGGAAGGAGTGTGAGCTGCATTTTGAAAACTCTGGTTGTTCTTTTCAGACTTTAGGAATTAGAACAGGTTAAAATTAAACAGAGTCATTGAAGAGGAGGGTAGTCATCTATCTTTGAATTTATAGAGAGGGTGCCAAAGCTGGGGTCACGTTGTCATGCCAAGGCTCGTATTGAGCATATCATCTGACAAGATGTCCACCAGCTGTGGGAGTGAAAGCGGTGTGAGTGAAAAGTGGTAACACCAAGCGATGGTCCATCGAGAAGATGTAGGATGCCGTGTGTCGTAAGAATTGATGTCATGTAAGCGTGTGCGAAGAAGAGGCTCCCCTACACCCTAGCTTCTGGAAGCGAAACGCCACCTAAGACCTCTCACCTCTCTTCTGATAGAAGTAGGGAGAGATTCTAAATAAAATATTTGGTTTTAATTCTCTGCCATTCGTTCTCTAAGACTCTGGAAGATGAACTTCGCTGTTGCAACATTATGCACAAGTTCAACTCGGCTGCCGTCATGGTCACACCACGTCAGGCTATTGACAAACCCGGGTGCTTTATTTCGCCGCTGCTTATTTGCGAACTGAACTTTATCCCGCAAGGTATCAAGTGACCATTGTCTGACACGGCGAGAGGTACTCGTATTCTCGGCTAGCTGCAGATAGGCTAAAATAACCTCGCACCCTCAGACCAAATCCTTCCTAACTGCGTAGAAGGAGTCAATGACGGAGGTCGTGGTGGGGGCGAAAAGCAGTCCCTTGTCCAAGGGAGGAAGAAAGATTGGGTGTAGCGATTCACGCTATTTGGGAGGTGCTATTACATAGTTTCCGACCCTTAAGTGTGATTTAAACACCATTACGAGTAGCTTGTCTCGCCTCTCTCTGCAAATGTGCTTCTCCCGCCACTTCTAAGTCTTTCCATAACTAAAAAGCTTTTGCGCAAAAGACGCTCTCTCATTACTTGACACCAGTCGAGACGATCGCGACAGCCTGACCCAGTAGTTTTGAAAGAGGTCTTCGCAGTCCAGAGCGCAGTGATGTGGACGCAGGTCCGTACAGCTTCATGCTGTCCTGGACCAGACACTGCATAGCTTGGCATAGCAGCGTGGAGAGTTCAATGATGTCCTCCGGCGGGACATAATTGAAAAGATCGCAGGATTTCAAGCTCTCGGCAAAGACAGTCTCCAGCACCTCCATCTTCGTAGTAAAAACCACCTCGAACGTCCAGAGGTGAGTCATAGCGTTTGCATCCACACGTTTGGAAACCATAGGGAAAGAAAATGATCATAGCGAGATTCAAGACACTCGCGGACTGACCCAGAACATGCGTTATTCATGGTCCAATACAGTGTTCCATCACCCTCGACTTCGAGAGAGTGCAACCATCACTTCAGAGCAAGGATGAGAAAAGCAAACGAGTTCCAGACATCCTGAGGCAAGCTTGCCGTGCTTTCTGCGTCCAATTCGCCATCTTCGAGCCCTCGAGCCTTATCGAGGAGTGAAGGGAGACCAGCGACGCAACCCAGGGGCTGCTGCATCAGCGAGGGTTGGTGTACACAAAAAGGGGTGGTTAACTACTCTGAACGAGATAGAAATGTAGGTTCTGACTGCTGGATGGCTACGATCATCTAGCACCATATCAGAAATTTGGAAAGCAGCTGTTTTTAGGTTTGGTGCAAGTACTTACAAGCAATGGCCAAAATCCAACGAAAGCTTGCGTGCAATCCCACTGACATGTGCGTTGGGGACATGATGTTCAATCTGAACGCCATTGTGACCAATCACCCCAGTTGATCCCCTTCTAAACCACCTCAGGACGCTGACCATTGCGGCAAACTCAAGTCTTGGCGGAGAATGCTGCCTTAAAAGGTGTAGGCAAGTGTCTTGATTCTTCTTTCTCTTCAATGATGGTCGTGTGAGCATGCATTCCCGGCTGGGTCGGGTGTCACCACCTCATGGGTTTCGGCAAAGAAGCCAATCTTCTCGGCACCGCATCTTCCATCCTACACTAGCTCATAGACATCCTCGTAGTTAAGCCCACAAGCTTGACGCTCTACCCGCACGGCAGCTGTTATTTTGATCTAGGTCTCTACGATAAACTCTCCGTTCTCTCATGGGCCCTCGAGTGCATCCTGTGCATTGTTCTTGCCGGCGCCGCTCACCAGCTCAGCAGGAATCGGTGCGGCGCGGATATCGCCACTGCTTGTGCCCTCTTGGTCATGCCCTCACTTCTTATGAGCCCCTGGACATCGCCCCTGCTGCTCGTTGTCCACATCTAGGACACGTACGGGTTTGGCAACTAACTTTTTGCCCGTTGTGCAAACCATCGACCGCGTACATCGCTCCGGCCACCATCTTCTCGAAGATTCTCGACAAGGCAGATCGAGAATGCGTCGGCGGAGGAGAAGAAGTGAGAGAAGGGACGTGATTAGGGCTCGGCCCGGACGTGATGAAAGAAGGCATTGGAAATTTGACGTAACGGAAAGCTGCTCTTCGACCTTGCCTAAATCACCAATGCTTCATAATTCATTAATTGCCTAGACTTGAAAACCGAACCCAGCATTCACACTTATCAGACAACTGTACAATCAAGCTGCAATTTTTGAAATGTGTTCAGACTGCTACAAGCCGTGCTGGAGTAAAGAAGAGTACCAGGGGTGGACTCCCAACGCGCCTCCGGTTCATCGTGATCCGCCGAAATCCGGGCCGAAAACCAAATTGGTTTTTTATATTAACTTCCGTAACCGTGACAATTAAGTTTTTTTTATTTAAAAATTTTTTTTTTTTTCAATTTTATCGAGGCACGGTGTCTGCATCCAGGACTGCGAGGCCGTTCAGAGTCTCGGCTTTGGTGGTGGTTTGGATCAACGCCGAGCTCGGTGTCGGCGCTGCTGATTGACGGCGGTCAATTGCAGATGCCGAGACCAGGCTCAGAATGAGAGGCAGAGCACCCCAGAGAGAGGTCAGTTGGACTATGGTGGGATTCTGAAGTCGTGGATTGAATGATTGGTGCTTCAGGAGCCAGAAAATTCGACGATCAACTGTGCGGACGGGAGGAGGAGGAGAACAGAAAACATTCTAGGATAGGGAATGGAGATTTGAGAAACGGGGAAGTAGCCTTTTTGGATCAATTTGCGTTGGTGGAGAGGTTGAGTCCGGGGAAATATACTCTAAAAATGTGGTTCCAAATGCGCAATCTGTGCAATGTTTTGCACTACCAGTGTGAGCAAAAACTACTCAAGCTACTCAAGCTACTCTAGAGTAGTCTTGAGTAGAGTAGAGTAGAGTTTGAGTAGCGTAATATGGTACTTGAGTAGAGTAGAGTAGAGTACTACTCTAGAGTAACTCAAGAGTAGTCACGTGCAAGTCACGTGAATGTAATAAATTAATATTTATTTAATTATTAATAAATAAATAAGGTACCTATTAAGCAGCACTGTATAATTTAAGCTAGAGCTTATAAAAGGCTACTTAAATACTACTTTTCTTCTATAAAAAAACAGATTTCCCTTCTCGGAATCTTTCTTTTCCTTCTTTTTTCCTTCTCTTTTTACTTCTTCTTATTTTTCTTTAAATAATCCCTAGCTTTTTAAGTAAGATATTATCTTAATAGTACTCTTATTAAGTCTATTATATAATTTAGATAATAAGAGCACCTTGAGAGAAGAGTTTGCCCTTAATAGCTGAGGAAGCCTATAAATATATTAAGGTTCTACCTTACTTACCAAGCCTCGCCACTACTTGATTGGGTAGTGCAGTGGCGCTAGACTCGGGCCACTCCGGAGCCTTACCTAATTAGGCTAGCGTATTACGTGTAATATCACGTGTAATATCACGTGCACACTACTCAACTACTCTAGAATATTCTAGAGTAGTTGAGTAGAGTATTGAGTAGAGTATGAGTAGTGAGAAATTTATTTGAGTAGAATATGAGTAGGGCCCACTACTCTACTCTACTCTACTCATTTCTCACACTGTGCACTACCGAGGGTGATCCAATATTGGCATATACTTTGTTGTAGTATTACCGAGACCACTAGCATTGAATTGTGAGCCAGGAGGCTGTGACTGTGACTTATGTACTGTTGCTTGAAATTGGAAGTGCATTTGGTTTCCGAAAAAGGGGGGTGAACGGTGATTGGCACGTGACCGAACAGCCCCTGAATCCAAGATGTGGATCTGGAACAGGAAGAGAAGTTCGAACCAGACATCAGAATTGCGTTACCGCATGTGGTGTACAGTTGCGAAGACAGAAGTGCTTTCTAAAAAGGAACCCTCCCGATATTTTGAAGCGTTGTGACTCTTCGCCCCGTTCGCGATTGTCGTTCATCGTTGCTCCCGTGCGAAATTCTCTGGAAATCATCGAGTGGGTCTCCTAAGAAGACACTCTTGATGGAAACCGCTGATAGGCAAGACTGCGAGGGTTTCGCTCCTGATCGAGGATTGAACAAAAAGAGAGTTACAGACTGATCTCGGGGTTTCGGAGAGGGTCGAGGCCAAATCCATTGCTCCCAGCTTCGCAGGGGCGGGATGTATTGATGGCATGGTAATTGGACCACGAAAATAGTTACTGCCTTGGAAAACAGTTAAAGAATTGAAAGGCAGAAATGAGGAAGAAGAAGATTTAGTGACGATGTGCTAAATTCAATTCCAAGAACAAACTTGGAACCGAGGAGGGCTACGACTGCAACTCGTATCAGACAGTCGTCAAAGAAAACTGCAATGCATTACCTGTCAATAATAGAAATGATAATTGATCGCACTTGCACTTCGAAAACCCCTTCCCAAATGTTCTTCCTTCGAAGAGGCTCGATTGCAGAGCTGAATTCCAAAGCAAGCATCTCGTGATTCTCGACTTCAAGATCCCCGCACACTTTTCCTCATACCAAGAAACAATTCAAACAAAGCGGATGAGCATTAAAGACACCCGACAAAAACTTCCGTACTCGGCAGATAAAGCTGAATGCCATCCAAGAGCGGTAAATGGTGTCCGCTCCGCCCAGTCTCTCTTTTCTGTCAGTGCTGTCGCATCTCAATTATGCCAGGGCTCCGCCCCGCTGTTATTTATGCTTTTCTACGCTAACCTCCGGCCTCGTATTGAAATTTAAAGGATTTCGGGTGTTGTTATTGAGGTTAAGATAAGCTCACTGCTGTGCCGGAGAATTGATTTCAATGCGGCTATTTATAAATTCCGTGTTCGATGGGATCAGGTGTTGCTGGGAGCTGTTGAGGATTCACGGGGAAGCGAGGAAGGCGAAGCCACTGCCGTCACAGGTGCCGAGAGTTCGAGTTAGGGTCGGGCAAATGCTGAACATGAGGTACAGTAACGGGGATATTCTTATCATTTGGTGATGATAAGAAGGCTTGAATATCTGTCATATTTGGTGTCGAATCGTCTCGTTCTTGATATTCGGTGAATCAATGGGAGGGGCGGCGGAGCTATTGATGCACAGTGAGCTGTTTGCAGACTAGCGTTCGTGGGGACCCATCCGTATGGGTGAGAAGAGTGAGGCTGGAGTGTTGGCAGCCCAGTTTCCTGGTTTCATTGGATGCGGAGAGGCAACATTTTCTGATGGATTTTGGTGATTGGAGGGACGGGGTGGGATTTTTGACGCAGTAGTTTGACGGTACGACGTTGGATGCGGGAAGGAGGTTGAGGCACCGCGAGAGGCTGATGAGGATGAGGGGATCGTGAGGGATGACGGTGATGATTGGAGGGGTGGGGGGATTTTGTCTGGGACGGGGGAGATGTTGTGTAGGAGCGCTGATTGCGGTACAGTAACTTTATGCAGGCGTCTCGTTTTCTTGGATCCCAACGGCCCGACTGGAGTTCAGTTGACATTTTGGATAACGGTGAGTACGAAGAGGAGGCCCAATGCCGCCATTGATGCCGACGAATGCTTGGGATTGCGGCCATTGGAGGGAGCGGTCTCTGTATTTGGGCGGTCTCGACTCAGCACGACTTTTTGCAGCTGGACCCCCGTCCGTACGGGGACGGCTGCGCGCTGAGTGTTCAGCAGCAAGGCAAATGCGGAGGCTACAGCAAGGAAGAAGCAACGACTTCTACTGGTAACAAGAGCCTGTATTTTTCACGTCACCGTCGTGCAGTCACAGGTTGACGGTGACGGTGACGGTGACGGTGGACATCGGCCTGTCAAATGACTTCCGCCACGGTTGGAAAGCGTCTGACGAAGAATTATGAAGCACGAGTCGACTCGATGCTCGTGCCCGCCGGCTGGAGACTGGAGTTATTAATCGCGCAATGAATGGATGAGGCGAATCCAGGCCCGAGACTCCTTGAAACGAATGCCTCCACTTAGTAGTACAGTAACCTGTGCGTATCATGCCTTGGCGACGGGTGCCATGGATATTGACGATTGATGCCCCTATCCAGCGATTCTCTCTCCTCTCGTTGCAAGTATTATGATCCCAGAACCCTCCCTCATCTGTATGGGATATCAAGTATCGCGTGCACTCGCAGCTGGCCGGAGTCTGTGGAAGAGGGCGGAGCCAGCGGCTGGGGGCGCGGGTTTGGATGTTGGGCTGCTTGGGCGGCGAGGCTGTGAAGTTTTGGCGTCACCGTCGGGCTTCGGTGACTTGGGAGAGGCGTGAGAGGGTCGGCAGGCAGGAGCAGGAAGAAAGAGGGGGCGAGAGGGGGCAAGGAGGGACAGGAGGGACAGGAGGGGACGGCTGCTGGCTGTCAGCTGGATGTGCGCCCTTTGCTGCCCTCGGCCTGCCATTTGCTCCCTGCCCCTCTTTCAGGCTTCCAGAGCAGGCTTTCCAAGACCAAGCAGCCTGAGCGAGACGGCGAGACGGCGAGACGGCCATGGCCACAGCAGCGGAGCAACATATGCGAACCACTTGGGCGGCCTTGCCAGCAGCAGGATGCAAGAATGGGGGAGGCCGAGAGCGACGGCGAGGTGTTGTGTGCACAGAGAGCACACAATAAATAAATGATCGTCCCGATAATGGGAAACTTAACTTGAGGCTCTCCCATAATAATAATCTCCGGCCTGGCGCGGCATTGACAAAGGCATTTCCAACGGCGCCGTCGTGGTCTATTTATTCCTGTGATTGCAGGGGCGACGATCTCTCCAACTCTGCCGACTCGCTGGCCCTCCCATTGACCCATTCACTGCCATTGATTTGAGTCCCGCCCGAAAAGGGAAAGCGCCACCCAAGAGACGCTAGCCCCAAGCGAGAAACACCATCTCTGCTGGAACTCTTCGATCCTCAATCGACGACTCCTCCCCGCCATCACCAACCCACCGACATCCTCTCCCACGCGTGATCATTGATCTCTTGAAGCCCAGCCCACGACGAGCGGTCGAGAGAGTCACGTAACGTCCTCCGCCGTCCCTGATTACGGCAGCTTTCGACCACCCGGATCACGAAACCGTCCACGGTCGGGATCTGCAACCAAAGTCCCTCCCTCACCCTTGGGCACAGATAGGTACGTACCGGATACATTCCCCTCCTCCCAACGCATGCCTCGACAGCATCGGCCGACCTGCTCCTCTACACTCCATTCAGTCCCGAGCAGGCTGCTTTCTTTTCGCCTTCTCCAGGCCACTTACGACGCCTATCAATCACACCGCTCGTGTTTGGCAGCCTGATTGAACAGCTCACCGACTGACAAATTTCTTCATCACAGATCCTATCCCTCCCAGCAACAACACCTCCCGTACTGACCTACTCCATCGATCGCCCGCACACAACCCATACCCAACGACTCGACTCTCGTATCGGACAGCCCGATACCCAGAGTCCATAGTTCAACCTCAATATGACTACTATGGTGAATCCACCCGCTTCCAAGTCGAAATCTAATCCTCTGGTTTATACTCCCTTTCTTCAGCCTCTGCGAGCGCCTTCTTGCCATTATCACACACGCTGGTGCTGTTTGGGGTCGAGATCAAGAAGATGTCCGCGTCGCCTTTGATCTTGGCCACAGCCTCGTGCTAGTGTACACCATTCCCAACTTCACCCCTCACATCACGGCTGCTCATGACTTCTTTGACAAATATGAACTGACATGTCTCTCCGGCAGGATCTTCGCGTCGGCAACAAGTACCGCATCGGTCGTAAGATCGGAAGTGGCAGCTTCGGTGATATCTACCTCGGCACCAACATCATCTCTGGTGAAGAGATTGCCATCAAGCTTGAGTCGGTCAAGGCCAAGCACCCCCAACTCGAATATGAGGCCCGTGTCTACAAGTCGCTCGCTGGTGGTGTCGGTATCCCATTTGTCCGCTGGTTCGGTACCGAGTGTGACTACAATGCCATGGTTCTTGATCTCCTCGGCCCTAGCTTGGAGGATCTCTTCAACTTCTGCAACCGCAAGTTCTCCTTGAAGACCGTTCTTCTGTTGGCCGATCAACTCATCTCCCGCATCGAGTACATCCACGCCAAGTCCTTCATCCACCGTGATATCAAGCCTGATAACTTCCTCATGGGCATCGGCAAGCGCGGCAACCAGGTCAATGTCATCGATTTCGGATTGGCCAAGAAATACCGTGACCCCAAGACCCACTTCCACATCCCTTATAGGGAGAACAAGAACTTGACCGGAACTGCTCGTTATGCCTCCATCAACACCCACTTGGGCGTCGGTACGTCCCTGCAAACCCTGCATATGCCTGAGCATTGAAAGACTAATTCTTCCTGTAGAGCAATCCCGCCGCGACGACATGGAGTCTCTCGGATACGTTATGTTGTACTTCTGCCGTGGCTCCCTCCCATGGCAAGGTCTCAAGGCTGCTACCAAGAAGCAGAAGTATGACCGCATCATGGAGAAGAAGATGACAACTCCCACTGAGGTTCTCTGCCGAGGTTTCCCCAACGAGTTTGCCATCTACCTCAACTATACTCGTTCCCTCCGCTTTGATGACAAGCCGGACTACTCTTACCTCCGAAAGATCTTCCGCGATCTCTTCGTCCGTGAGGGTTTCCAGTATGACTATGTCTTCGATTGGACCGTCTACAAGTACCAGAAGAATGCCCAAGCCATTGCCCAGGCCGCCGGTCAACAGCCCAACCAGGATGATGACGAGAAGCCCGGCCGTACCCGTACCAATGCTGCCACTGCCGGTGGACCGACCCCCCAGCACGCCTCCAGTGCATCCAAGCCAGGAGCCATTTCCGGATCCCGCGCCCGCAAGGTCATGGAGCGTGGTGCCAGTGGAGCTGGTGTTGACACTCCCGATACCAATAGAGCCGTCGGTGGAAGTGATAGGATGTGAGTGTCTCGCTAGCCCGGTTCCTTGTAAGGGGATTTTCCTCGGCGCGTTTAGTGTGCTTCGATGACGCTGGCCGCGAGGAGAACAGTATGCTGACTGGATGGCTGACGCTATAGTCTCCGAAAATAGGCTGCGCTCTGCCTCGAAAGGTGCAGCAACTGGCCCTGGATATACATCTGGTCCTTACCGGCCGAAGCGGGATGATCAGACTGGGCAGCAGTGGTATTGATTATTTTCCTTTGGCGATTCTCCTTGACCGATCTCGACTCTCGATATTCGACTCGCGGCAGTTTCGTCTTACTTAATCTCAACTCCGTTGCTGACCATACCTGAATGTCTTGTGGAAGACTGGTACTGGCCCGATTTATAACCAAAACTCATCTCATTCTGGAATGCTCTCTTTTCTTACCACTCTTCGAATTCATGGATCTTCACATATGGCTCGAGCAGCTTCGACTTCTGCAGGACAACTCACACCCGAGTGAGCATCGTCGGCAAGGTCGAAGGTAATCGAACGGCATGCCGATGTCATGACATCCAATTTTCGGAGCAACAATGGAACAACTACGGCATTAACATCGATCGGATACGCACGCCCAAGTTATTCGACATCGCCGGTCACATTTTGGTCACGAAACGAAGCAGGAACATGGTCACACAAGCTCGTTTGCATCCTCGACGACGTTCTCCACATCATTCGTCAAGAGCATCCAGAGCAGATCCCTCTGTTCTTTCCGAGATACATATGTTTTGCAGAGCACGATTTCCTATCTCTTTTTCCTTGTTTCTTTACTTGCTTTTCGATTGTGTGGATGAGGGGACGTCCGGGGGTGTTGATTAGGGGGTGAACATTGGGGATGGGTAGTCAGATGTGAATGTGGCATTCGACTTGGAACAGCGGCACGGCGCACTTTCAGGCATCATGGATATGGCACGACACACTTGGCACTCAACTCCGGGGGTAGAAAATGGGTCGCAGCTTCTGGGGAGGTCTTTTCCATCGCATGACTTTCTCTCGTTTTTCTTTTCGCACTGTGGATGTGGGGATGTGATAATTGCATTTGGGGATGGGAAGGGAGCATAGCAAAGCGCGCTGCGTTTATGATAGCATGCTGGGTGGTTGCTGGGTAGATAGTGGTGAGGGTGAGGGGTCCTTCGGGGCCGCTTGCTCGATCTGCAAATCACGATGGCTTCTACTGGCGAATACACATACATTGCGAATAATGACATTTGACCATGGCAACCCAAAACTGTCCCTTTTTACTGACTTGTTTTGAGTGATCATGTGATTTATCAGCATAGCCTGGTACATTGACGGCTAAAGCGGAGCTTCTTGGGCAAGCGCTCGGGATTGAGAGTGGTGAGGAGATGGAGTGAGTAGTGGTTGGTAGAGGGGACGATAAACGAATGGCAGGAGGGAGGGAGGTGAGATCAGGCGGCACCGTTCGTAAACGTCCAGCTGTTGCTGGCACAATCGTTGCACTCATGAATCTGACAGGTTCTTCCGCGGTGCTGAGACAAAGTGAGGTCCAGGCCCCGAGTCCCATTGTCGAAAGGTGCGACGACGGGTAAGGTAGAGGAAATAGGTGTGGTTCCGGTTTTGGGTGCTTTTGGTCACGTGGTTTCGGATGACCACCAAGACGCTTTCGATCACTTTCTTTGCGAGAGGGAGATGCAAGGAGACAACTCTGTTTCATTCACAATGATGCTTCGCCATGTCTAAACATGGCTTGGGTGGGTGTTATCATAGCTGGAGAGCTGAGGGCTCTTGCTCGAGTCTGTTAGGGGAACAAGTGGTGCGAAGAGAGAGCTCGTGATGCTAGAAGAGTAACATTGTTCGAGAAAACTCCAGAGCTGTTTTTAACCTTTTCAGCAGAGGCTTGGGTGATGCTGATCCTTAATGTCTTGTTATATTTGAGTTAGTGGTTGGGGAGCGGGAGCTGGAGAGAAGTGATATGTGGTATTGGTTCTGTAAACGTTTTGGAAACGGTTAGAAAACGTTTATCGGCTCTGAAGAAAGGGCCTTGAGAAATTATACTGGAGATGGTGAGGTTGTGTTCTTGAATTAGCCTCTTTGTCGGAGAGTGGTTGGGAGGCATTTCACGCCTAAGGAATCCACGCTCTTGCTCCACGAACATTCATTAACGGCCTACAATATGTCGACCTCTATATTTCCTTCAAATGAGCAGCAGCTCTATGTCGTAGCCCTCTGCGGAATTAACGAGAAACTTGCACAACTCGGCAGGATCGACGTCTACTCCTCCCTGTTCGCCGCAAACCAGAACGTTCGACACAGAGCCCTCCACTTTAAGGAAGAGACTTCTTTGTTAATGGAGAAGACCGCATCGATTCAGCCTGACTCCGAATGGTCCAAGATTCTGGAGCTGCGCAATGGAGGTAAGACCAAGGAGCAAGGTGTCCGGAGTGACGGCACAGCGTTCTGGGTCGGCACGAAGATGGGGACGAAGCAACTCTCCCCCCTCAACCACCTCCCTCCCGCACTTCGGCCACCGATCTTGGAAGATCTGATAAACTGTAAAGTCTCGAAGACTCGGGTACAATCGAATGGGCACGATATGAGGAAGGAAGTTTTCGTGGTCCTGAATGTTTGGACGGAAGTCAAGGACACCAACCTGTTCAACGGGGATCCGCAGGCCGATCTCGAAGGCGTCTACGATACAGTGCAGGAAGCAAATGACAAGGTGAAAGAGGTTGCGAGTGCGTATGCGGAGAAGATAAGGCAGCTGTTCGGTATGTTTGGCTGGCGTGGAGAGGATGCTGCTCAGCTTTGCAGTTCGAAATGCACAGAGAGGTCTGATGGGACCTTATCCTGGGGCGGATTGCGAGAGTTTAAGATGGATGGCTCGGATCCTGCTACAGGTGCTGCGCATGTATCTGCTTACAAGAGGGTAATCGACGTGGTACACCCTGAGGAAGAAGAAATTGGCTTTCAGGTTTGAGCTCTTTCCGACTTAGTGTTGAAGTCTTAAAGTCAGCATAGCTAACCACTGCTTCAACAGAGTAGCACATCCGCCCCAAATCCATTCCAGTAAGAGCCTTCCGACCCCCTCTTGGTACATTGAGTTATGCTAATCAATTCAGCCTGTCTGCTCGATCCAGATGCTGCCGAACTACAAGCATATGCACCATACTCGACACAACTCTTTCTCGTGAGCGCCATTCCCACAACGATAGACGAAAATACAGCATCAATTCAAATCCACGGCCTGTTTAATACACTCGAAAAAGCAACCCGTAAAATCGAAGAAGCAAGAGAGAACGTCAGGGGCACGTCCACTCGAATGCTTGTCCAGATTGGAGATGAGAATACGGGACAAGCTCCAGCTAGCTTACGAAGCGTTCAGTCTGGACAAGAGATCTTCATCGTTGCAGAGACGGCAATGGTTGGAGTCGCCAGACCTGATACTGGCCCAGAGCCTGGTTTGAAAGTTCACGGTATTTTCAGTACCTTGAGAGAAGCCAACGAGAAAGTGAAAGAGGTCGGCATAGCTTATCAAAAGTGGCACGACGACATGGCAGAAGTAGCGGATGCGACTGCTTGGCATAATGGAGGGAAAGCTTGCTCGGATGGGGTTGATGAGAAGGGAGGGTTCTTTTGGATCGGTGCGAGGACGAGGACTGAGATTTGTAGAGTTGGTGTACATAGGTGCTTAGTTGATTGACTGCAGAACGTGTATGATGGAGGATGAGAAACGGAAGCATCTTGGGAGATGTTTTCCTGTTGAGTAAGAGAGGTGTAGTTTACTAATTAGTGGAACGTTGCTAGACTGGTTATGTTGAGTTGTGTTCATATCAGAATGAAACTTCGTGTGGTAAATTTTTTGTTCGAAAGTCCCCTCATAGCTTCGCCATTCATAATTCCCACAAGCAGGCGGTTGATGATTAGCACTGAATAGGAAAGGGCTGCGATACCACTCACTACTGCCCTACAATAGTCCAAGAGTCTTTGCGATTGAGAAAGATGTACGGCATTTTTCCACCGAATATAGCACGGATCACATCTCCAGTCTTTATCCCTTCGTCCGGCGAGACATAGTCCACGCTAGCAAGGGGGCCTGGCTCCGGGCGAAAAGGTGATAGATGACTAATAAGTTTATTAGCAAAGGTACGACTTTACAGTCTGAGCCAGGGCCCCTTGCTAGCGTGGACTATGTCTCGCCGGACGAAGGGATAAAGCTGCACCTCAGCACTTGGCGGTCGCCAACAAATTCGGTGGCCGTACCGAGTAACTCCCTCTCCTGAGAACTCAGGATCGACGTCCTTCCAACGCTCTTTGATGTCTTTAATAGTATCAAGGATAAATCCTGTGACACAAAGTCTTTTTGATGTGAAATCTAATACACAATTAGCAGTAGATCCTCCGGTAAAAGCGGATTGCTCTGACAAAGCTCCTGGACTTGAGTTTGACGATGGCCATCCTGGGGGTGTGATGCCTGATACACGGTGCTCATATTGGTCTTCACTGTCCAGTCGGGGTCCAGGAAGGAAGGTCAAGATCCAAGTCCCCATTCTGAGCTCGATTTCTCTCTACCATGCTTAGGAAATCGAGCGATTTTGACTTGTTATGTAGGACTCGGCAGACTTGCATATAGAACTCGCAAGCAGTAATTTTGTAATCAACCTGCATCAAGATGCGGCCTGATAAGGTCTCTAGTATCCCCAGAAAACCATAGATTCCGTCTCAAGAGTCTGTGGAGAACTTGTTCTTGGATAACCGCAGGGAGTGGCAAGTCCGCTGTATCTCCTGCTTGTAAGCGGAGCTTAAACGCCATGCTGCGCTGAAACGTCACTAACTCCTGGGGTTGTTCATGAATGTTTGCCTCCGTGATTTCGTCCATATAATCCAGGCAACAAATCATTGTGGGGATAGCCCTTTTGAATTCATCCCATTCTGCACACCACCAGCCGTATACAACAACTGCTCTGCGGGCCAGGAGAATCTCCTGGACAAGCCAAACACGGCTCCACCAGGGGCGTACTAGGGTGTTACCAAGCGAAGACCAATAGCTCCTGAACCCTTCATCCTGGCGAGGTGAGACAGCAGTAATCCTGCATCATGCCCGTATGTGACATTAGCAAGGCCGTAAAGCAAACGGAGAGCCGGAACCGTTTCTCTTCCTCGCCCAACCAGCTAAACAATGACCTCATCAACTCTCTTATAGATATCTTTCATCAAAGTAACCTGTTGGCCACATTCTTCGTTGTCGTCCTAGTTAATACAAACTATATTGACCCCAATAAGGGAAACCAACAAGTCATTACCCTTGGCAAATCCTTGGCCTTATAAAGACTATTGTTTTTTAATATATATATTATCAAATAAACTCTCGCTTATAACCTTCTAAGGTAATATTTAAATCTTAATATTATTAGCTCTCTTTTAAATTTAACCTGAATTAAGGAGAGGGGAGGCGGTGAAAGTAGCATTTGCGCACTTTTAGAGCGATGATATGTAGATTGAGACGAAGAACAAGTAAGGTCGTGCGGGGAAAAAAACTCTCCCTAAGAAAAGAGAAGTCCAAGCCTCAAGTTTTCTGCGCAAACTGTTGAAAGCTGCGCCTCGAAAGCATCTCAACTACCAGTCAATGACGGCCGGCCCTGGGGAGGCGGTGTAGGCGGGTCGCGCAGCGAAAGCCCAGCGAGAAAACCTAGATGTCAGGCTGTGTACTTCTGCCTAAGACCTGGTATCTGCTGCGCTGCGGCCAGCTTTGCCGTCACGGGACCAGAAAAAGCATTGTTCGCAAGGAACACCAAAACTCCTGCACTTCCTTTTTATATATAAATACACCACTCAACTTCTTGAAAACTCCTTAACAAGGAAGGAAGGTTAGTACAAGCCAGCGAGGAAACTATAACCGGTTATTAAGCAGCTGTAATAGGCCCCTTAGGTTTCCCAAATACGTAAAACGAACCCCCTCAAAAAACAAAGATCAAGTTTCTGAGGCGTTTCATTCGGTATCAATCGACTTATAAGCAGACTTTATTGATACTGAAGGCGGCAAGTTGCACCCCCGGCAGATTATCGGGCTCGCCAAGACTCATTCTCCGCTAGTCCTCTCTAAGTCGTGATAAATTCTCACTAATAGTACATTTTGGTGAGAATCTTCCCCGTTAAGTGAGTCTCGCACACTTACATAGAGCAAGTATAAAGGGCACTAGCAGTAGGCTGGGAATTCGTAACGGCGATGTATCCCCTGCCACTTATACCGAACGCTGGGATTGCGTTAGTATGTCATGTTAGGCGTAAGTTGTAAGATGTGACGAACCTATGTCGTATGGCAAACAATGGCCAAAAGAGGCGACGCTGATAATGCTAGAAGCGAATGCGAACGCTTCTGCCATAATGATGACTAGCTTCTCCTAATCCGAAGAACATGTATGGTCCTTACTCTATCAGCATTAGAATTAATGAGAAGAAGGTAATAATTCTTCATTTCCATGTTTTGCTGTTCTGAGAGAACCTATCGATGCCTCCACTTGCTAGTGGCTAGTAGCAGTGCAAAACGCCCCGCTAAACCCCGTGGAGGCTCGTGCAAAAGCTCAGGATTGATGCCCCAAGCGACCAGCCTATTGACCTATCATCTCAGTCCAGCAAGCGCCCACCAAAACTGTACACATCGTTTCCAGAGCACGCCACGTGGCTATGCCTTGAAGACCCTCACTCAAAAATGCATTTGCTGTTAGTTGTGAAAATTGCGGCCAACTATCGTTCGATTAAAAGCACGCACTGTGCTTCCACTCTTTATCTCAAGTCTTAAAAATGCGTCAGCGTTGTCAATCACATCTTTCACTCCATAATCACACTTAGTTGGAGCTTCCAAACTACCCGCGACACACATCGCAAAGTGGACGGCAAGCGGTTTTCTTGCTTTAACAAACGTTGCCGCCAATTGAGCCAGAACCAGACTCCAAAGTTACGAAATCAATGTCAGTAGATTGATTCAGCGCAAGCAGTGTGCTAAGAATTATCAGGCCAGTACCTTTCAGGGCTAAAGATCAGCTTAATCACGACTTGGACGCAAGTTCGCCATGGCAATCTAATACGGCCCAATGTTTGCCCGGTCATCCACGAATCCGTTTATCCGATATTCAGAGTCTGACTTCATTTCTCGAGACCGAAATATACTCTAATGACTTGGAGCAAATGGCGCCCTACTTTTGGTTGATGTCCTGGCGCCGCAGCTCAAATATATCTCCTTTACATCGTCAGATAGTCAAGGGCCGGGATATAGTCGTGGCCGAGGATCCAAGTCTTCATCTTGTCTGGCGTTCGAGTCGGATTCACATGAAGCCAATTCCAGCGTATTTACTAAATTACGCCTTCTGGAAACAGTACCTTTTAGATGATGAGTCGCCATTACCGGGAAGAAGGCGTGTTCGAATCTTGAGGGCGGCTCTCGGATATATTCGCACCTATTATTATTTGATAGGACACGAATCCGATTATATCTTGGCCCAAGAAAAGCACTTGATCCCAGGTTCTGTGTCATGGACGCAATTCTGCGCATTCACATCCAACTTCAGTGCGATTGCAGATGGTGAGGTCTCAGACCGCTACACCTTTGGAGAACTCCGCCTGCATAGGTTGAATTTCTATTGCAAATTTATTCTGGGCAAATTCCGCATTCACAGACTACCTACAACCTACGGCGCATATTTTTCTAGATTTTACGCGCCACTTCTATTTGTCTTCGCCATATTCTCAGTTATACTTAACACCCTTCAGGTGGAGCTGGCAGCCGAATCACTTACATCCCAGAAATGGTCGAACCTTTACACGATAAGCCGTGTGGTGTCGATTTTGACGTTAACAGTTTCGCTTGGCCTACTCCTTTGGGTTTTCATTCTTTTATCTTTCAGGTTCACTTTTGAATGGAAGTATGCTATTTTGGCCGAGTGGAAACGGAGCAGGAAAATCAAAGCCATTTCGGCGAGATATAACACCAGCGCAACAGCGTAATCCCAAAATATCGCATCGATCAATGTAGGAAATTAACCATTTGACATGCAGTAAATCTCGAGCTTTGAGTTCCCTCGCATCTTCCTCAGATTAGAGTACATGCTTCTCATCGGCTGTGACTGTTGTCTCAATCACATCTTCCGTACATTGAACATCTCCTCGCCGACCCAGTAGCCGCCTCATAACGCTGCCATCGCTCCAATTCCCTTCTACTGCCTTCAGCACTTCCTCTGTGATCTGGAAATCATCTCCCAGTCGATCTAGAAGCATCGTCATAATCGCTCCATTACGATTCCCTGCCGCTGCCTTAACCACCTCCTCCGTGATCTGAATATCATCTTGTTGATCCAGCAGTAGTGCCACAACGTTTTCGTCATAATTCCTTGCTGCCGACACCAGCACCTTTTCTGTAATTTGTAGATCATCCCCTCGTCGATATAGAAGCATCGACATAGCCTCCACGCTAGATCTCTCGGCCATTAATGCCGTTAACTCTTCCGTAATCTGAATTTCATCCCCTCGTCGATCCAATAACAACGCCATAACTCCACCGGTATAAAACTTCGATGCAGCTGCTTTTACAAACTCTTCTGTGATACGAATATCATCTCCTCGTCGATCTAACAGCAACTCTAGGACTTCTTTGCCATAACGATTCATTATGGACGCCTTCACCACCTTATCGGTGATCTGAACGTCGTCCCCTCGCCGGTCTAGGAGAAGTGTCATAACCTCCACATCAAACCTTGAGGCAATCCATGCTGTTAACTCTTCTGTGAGCTCAATCTCATTCGCCCGTTGACCCAGCAGCACCGCCATAACTTCACCATTGTAATTTAATGCTGCTGCTTCCACCACCTCTTGGGTGATCTGAATATCATTCCCTCGTCGGTTAAGCAGTATCGTCATAGCCCTTTTGCCATTCCAGTTCTGTGCTGCTGCCTCTACCACCTTTTGCGTAATCTGGACATCGTCTCCTCGTCGATCAAGGAGCAGCGCCATAGATTCACCATTAAAATTCCATGCTGCTGCCTCTACCACTCGTTCAGTGATCTGAATATCATCTCCCATTCGATCCATTAACAGTGTCATTGTGGCTTCATTAGAATTCATTGCTGCTTCCCTCACCACTTCTTCTGTGATCTGAATATCATTTCCTAGTCGATTTAGTAGCAGTGTCATGACCCTTTCACCGTTAATATTCTGTGCTGCTGCCTTCATCACTTCCTCTGTGACGCCAGATAGATATGGCTCGCCATAGTCCAGTAAAGCCTTCAACACCTGGCCCCCTTTTGCTACCACGGTTGTAAGGCAGTCCACTGGGAGATCCTTTTTCACTGCGTCCTTTTCGTCATGAAAAATAAATCGAGCAAGCCAATCAATATCTAGTTCGATTGCAACAGAACCTCGTGTCGTATATTCTGTTCGCTGACCAGAAGCTACCGTGAACCAAAGTTGGGCTCGAAAATTTTCATGCCAGAGAATTCCGCTGAACTCTGAAGATAGTAGAGAGGCATCGCCATCGCTGCGAACGTGCGAATACCAGTGCCGCGATGCATATTCAAGGAGAGTATGCTGCGATATTTCTTCTCTTCTTTCAGGGTTGTCTCGGATGTTTGCAACTAACGCTGCTGATTCAAAGTCATCAAAATCTAAGTACCTGATACAAGCCCGAGCAAGAAATGTATCAGGGTTTTCTGCATGTAGAAAATCTGATGCCGAGAGAGGATTGTCTGCCTTTGACAAAAAGTCCTTTAGTGACTGATGTATTAAATACACCTTTCCATCGCGGACTTCCAGAAGAAGACCTGCACTTTTATTTACAGATCTTTCAGTCAGATATGTTCGATATTCCTTGGTGTCTTTTGTGCACCGACAGTTCTTTTCTGGACGTAAAGCTAAAGCTGTCTCTAGTTCCATGAGAGATAAGGGTTTGCGTGCGAATGTGACCCAAGTCAGAAGTCGAGCTGTATCCTCGTCCTTCAAAAGAACCTCTACCAATATTTGATAGAGTTCATCCAATTCCGGAGGACTATCTTCGATTTCTCGTATAATTTTTTTCTGGTTCGGTAGATCCAGTCGTTTTATCCTCTTGATAACAATCGAGATCCATAGAAACGTCGGACCGGCTTTAGCAGCGAGCTTTTCCTCTATCACTGGCTTAAATCTTTCCAATGCACTGTCCAACTCTTTCAATTTGGCTCCTATAAAGCGTTGAATATCTTCATAGCGAGCTCGCAGATATAGAGTTTCGCTATTGGCAAGAGCATTAGAGATATTTTTCTTATGCCTGCTAACGATCAAGAACTTGATCGTGGGTCTTTTTGTAACCGGTAAAGAGGAAAATAGTCTTCGAATTCGCTCGAGAAGATCGATTATTCCACTCTCGAACTCGTCCAAGCCATCAATGAGACAACATATCTCGTGATGACATTCATCGGAAATCATGTCGTGAAATATGGCCCATAACCTTGCAAGCGGTGCTGTATCCCAGTACTCTGCTCGCTTCTGATATTGCAGGGGCAAGTGCGTGAACATTTGCGGAGAGGAAAGAAGCTGCACGATCAAGGCCCTCAAGATTGTCTCCGCGTTCTGAAACCGTGGATCAAGTTGGCCAGAGCAGAAGAAGTAGATAATCTTGTGCGAGGATGTTTCTTGCTTGCTTTGAACCTTCTGTTCAAGTTTCTCAAGAATATTCTTGCACAGAACGGACTTCCCTTGGCCTGGAGAGCCATAAATACACAGCAGGCCGGATACGTCTGATTTCTGCCACTGGTCGATTTTCGGATCTAATGATACCCACTGCAGAGTTCCATTTTCAGCATCACTGATCCTATCCCTGACCTCTGATACGGGAAATGTGGCCAAATGCTTTAAGCATCGTTCTTGTGCAGGCGAAAGTCCTAATTGAACTATTCAGAACAGATTTATGACCAACTAACGCGCTTACATACTTGGAATAAATCGTTTTGAAATCGCCTCTGGTGCTTCCGCTACATATTTTTTGATCTTTTGCATGACTATCTCGTATGAACCATGAGAGCGACTTTCAAATTTCACAAGGCCTGAATGATCAGTATCTAGAGGTATATGCTGATGGAACATATCTGGTAGCCCTGTCCTAGTTGCGGATTCTTCTGTGACCAGTAATTGTTTTGGTCCCGACCTGGTCAAAGTTCCATCGGTTTTTTGCTGGGATAGCACTTCCATTAGTATATTTGTAACGTTTTCGGTTCATGGGATCTTACCACAACTGTCGGACTCTCGCTCCGCTCATAAAACGATATGACCTCGAAGCCTTGATTCAAACAGCAATCTGCGAATCGTCTAGATAGACTAGATAGAAACGATGAAGGCTCCGAGTCTTTATCAACAACCAGGTCATCTATGAGCCTTTTATTTGGCTGGCCCTTGACGATTGACCTTAACTGATCGTTTCTCATACCGAGGTTTGGCACACCAAAAAGGAGCAAAGCATAGCAGCTTTTGTAGATATTGGTGTATTCTGAATCACCTTGAGCTTGAATTGCCAAAGAAAGCGCCTGCACCATCAAGTATCCAGTTAGCGAGCACATTACATCATCTGTAGGAAGCGACAACGTTACTTCTTTCACGAGTAATCCTCCCAAGCTGTGTCCAATGAATATGATCGGTCGATGATTAGTCTATTTCACTATGAGCGAAGACCAAACTACATTTAGATCAGAACAACCTACAGAAGTAGTGATTCGGAACGCTTTGATGAGCTCCAAGAACGTCTTCGCTAGGTCCACAATGGACTGTTTCGAGTCGCTCTTAGCCAACGCTGTGTCGTATCCGTACAGCAAAACTCGGGTATCTGGTACGTCGCTTGGAAGGAAATCGCGTAACCAAACATCATCGCTTCCAGATGCTTTCCACGTTCCTATCGGGTGAGATCCAAGACCAGGGACCGCGATTACACTGTACGGAACCCGAGAAAATCGAAGTCAGCAAAGTGTTGGCACCAAATAACTGCACCACTGAACTGATCATTATCAAGGGCGCTTACTCCACTATAGAATCCCTTTGTCCATGTCCTTCATAGACTGGGGTGATACCAAGAAACTTAATATCATACGCATATCGGTGAACGATTCGGGATTCCCTCTCGATATCTTCCAATGGCTGTGGAAGAGATCGAAATGTGACTGTAGCACAGGCGCCTCGTTTATCCCTCCTAACTAAAGAGAGATGTATGACATTCGTATCGCCTGTTCTGGAGACGCCAATGCGATGGCTTAGATTTTCGAGTTCGCTCAAGAGCTCGTTTTGGGTCACATTCGTTGGAATTTCCTGAATGCGCAGAGTGAGAGATTTGCTGGAGTTTTTGGGGGGGATCTCCACCGTTGTCGTAGGGGAGGTTTTATTCTGTCTGCGTTGATGGCTTCCGAGTAGAATATTACCTAATGTCACAACCAGTATCAGGGACCAAGCAAGAAGTCCCGATATCTCAGCCCAATGTGGCCAGCCTGTAGCCATAGCGGGAGGTGTGAAAAGATTTGGCCGTTAGGAATTGGCCGGGAGAAGGAGATGAACTTCACAAACACTTCAATCTGGGAGAAAATTCTTGCGCAAGTAAGAGCTGAACGTAGGAAAAACCGATGACGTAGATGATCCTTTGGATTAGCGTTTGGCGCCCCGTCACCGCCTTGTGGTGCAAGATTGAGAGGAACTGAACCGATTTTGAGCCAGGCGTATTTTTGCTGAGTTTAACATGCCAAGATTGTTAAGACAGCTGGCGAATTACCGTCCAGAATGGGGTTCGCGTCGGCAGGTAGGGACATTAGGATAGAGGCTGGCTTCCCGGGCTGGCTGGGTTCTCTTTATCATTCTGAAGCGGGCTATCTGGTCCAGCTGACCTCTACCTATCATGGTGTAGTGTGATGCAGGTGTGATCCTTCAACTGCAACCACTTTGGTGTATGCCCAGCCCGCCCAATCCTCTTCCCCCAAATCGCCACCATTCTCGTCCTGCTTCAGGCGAAGACTGCAATGCAATCTGCACGACGACAAGCAATGGCAAGCAGCGCACCCGGCAAGCCACTTGGGTGCGGGCAGACTCGAGGCTCCAGTAAGGGGGATTGCATTCGCCAGTCGCAGGGCAGCACGACGCCCCGACCAAGGGGCTCACTACCCAACTGCTCTCTGAGCCGGACGACGATTCCGCCCATAACGCTGCGGCCAGCGCACCACGGCACTGCGTGCAGAGAGACGCACAGCGCATTTCGCTCCAGCCACCTGAGAAGCAAACACAGCTCCAAGTGGCTGGTTATGTTCGTCGCGACTCGCAACTCTCCCGCTTTCGCGTCTGCATCCTCGCAGCTGGCGTGATCGTCTACTTCGGGGGAAAAAGTAAAACGACCCC